TCTTTTTTTTTCAATTATCACTTTCACTCTTCTTTTCTTCTTCATTTATTAAACAAATCACTTGTTTTTGCTTCTTGTCAAAAATAAAATTTATGAACTGCAAAAATAGCTTTCTCATATTTATTTTCATCAGTTTGTTCTCTGTTAAAGATTTATTACTTTCATCAATTATGCAAGAACTTGGCTGTATGAAAGAGTAGTATATCATTTTATTTCTAGCCATAGCATATATTTTAATTATATATCTTCTGATTTCTCGAGTTGTCATTTTCCAAGGATTTAATATGTGTACGTATATATTGGCAATGATATTGCATTTATATACATTGGTAATGATATTGCATGTATGTCTAATGATTTTTTTTTATATAATTCGATGTGCATTGTTGAAGACACACGACACAACAGAGGAAAAACAGAGAGAGATGGTTGTTTCTTGATTCTACATTTTTACTACTCTCGGGGAATGTGCATTTCATAAAACCCGATAATTTATTTGGTTACTTAGGACATTTCCAACCCATCTCTATTTTAGAGGTGAAAATAGAGATTATGCTCCAATTCACCTCTATTTTCCCCTCTAAAATAGAGATTGCTATTTTTTCCTCCAAATATAGAGGAATTCTATTTTTTCCCTCTATAATAGAGGTGAACTTTTTTATTTGTAAAGTAGTCCTATAACTTTTAAATCTTTCTATTTATGCAAAAAATATAATTTTTTATGAATATAAATGAGATAATTTTGGTTATAGTTTAAAAAAAAACATATAATATGAATAAATATAAAAATTTTCATTGATATTAAACTACAAAAAAGTAATTGCAAATTAAAAATACATAAAAATAAATGAAAATTAACAGAATTTAATTTTTTTTTAATTTATGAATTTTAACTTCTAGTATTATTATAATATGTTGAAACTTTCATAAAAAAGTAACATAAGTGGAATTAATTTAAAAAATTTTAGTAGTCAAAGGTTACTATTACTATAATTTAAGAAAACTTTTAAAAAAAGTAAAATAAAAGATTAATTCACAAATTTTATTTATCAACGTTAGTATGTAAGTTTTTGTAAAAAAATAAGTGGGGTCAATTCATAAATTTTATTAATAAAAGGTGTTAAGAACAAATAACAAAAAGAATATATTGAGAATATTCCTTTTTAGAGGGAAAAATAGAAGTAACCATTGGAGACAAATACATCTCTATTTTAAAGTTTCTCTATTTTAGAGGAAAAAATAGAGGCAACCATTGGATATGGTCTTACGCAGAGATTACAACTTATCAGCTTAATTAATGAACGGTTAAAAAGAAGCAATTATTTAGTGAACGAAATAAAATTGGAAACAGTATGAGTATGAGAGAACGACTGGAGAGTTGAGTGGTATGACGTCAAAAACAAGGTGAGTGGTGTAACAGTGTTCAATGCAAGAAGCAATCATTAAGTCAGGGTCAGGCCGACACCTTATTGTATATGCTTCATATACAATCTGATATGATATGGTCTTAATCATCAAAGTTTCTTGCTAGTATTATAAATTAACTACAATTAGTATTTTAGGTTCTTGCTACAGTTTTCTTGGGGAATGTGGGGAAGAATTAATTCCCTCGTCTGTACTCGAAGCCCAAACAAAGTTTCACATCATATGGGGGTATTCGTGTGACAACCATTTACTAAATGTTTAGTATCTCTTATAGCCTATAGGATTTGAATTTGATATTTAAGAGGAAACACAGTGTTCATGTGATATGCCATTTGGGCTATCAAACCTTTGGGCTTTTGGCCCATGATACTAGATCACCAATCTCTCTTATTAAGATATAGTATTTGCTTTTGTTTCCTCTCGTATTACATAGTTTTAAAAAATTGGTTTTGCGTAGGAAAATATAGTATTTCTTTTTTGTTTTTCTTCACACTTTTAGATCGTTCATACTTTGTTTGCTTTTTGTAGCCTTTTTACGTAGTTTTAAAAACCGAAATTACATGCTTTGCTGGTACGAAGTCATTAGAATTTTTTTCAGGTCATTAGATTACCGAGGTCAACCAGTCGGGTTGAATTCATCAGACCGATTTACATTTTAATTGTGTTACTTACAAAATATAAAAAAATAAAAATTTATATAGGCAATATTCAACATTGTGATACTGTTCATCTATTTGTTGGTAAATTTAAGCATTTTCCCACTACATTTGTAAACAGTAAAATGACTTCAAGATCCATTACTTAAATATAAAGAAATAACCTAAAATAGTAATTATATGATAGATGACTCAGGCTCCATTGCCAGGATGCACAACCAACACTATTCTGCTACACACATTAAACTCATCACAAAGCATATTGATAAAAAAATGACAATATATATTAGAAAGAACTTTAATTAAAAAAATTTGAAAAGGACTTTAGTGGAATAAAGCATATAGAATTGGTGCATATGATCAGAATATGGTCCCGTGGATAAAAAGATGAAACAAACATTACTGAAGGAGTTCGTGCAAATTATTGGGAAGATGATTCTACTTTTATGAACCCTTCGTGAAATATAATTATTTCCCATTTTTTCCCTAAGTGTTTGCAATATGCTTAAATTTTGTAAAATATATAAGAATAATTTTAACAAAAAAGGAATATTGAAACAGAAGCCGAAACGCATATTAACAATTGATCTGTAGCTGGATTTGTCCCATCATCCCATTTTTTCTCCACTTTAGTGAAAAATCAAATATTTATGTCTTATAAATTCGGTTTTCTTTTCACCATTCTTTACATTTCAAAAACACAAGATTGCTTCCAACATTAGTTCTTACCTTTAAACTCGGTTGGGTATTATTAATTAAAGCCACATGAATCTACTTCTGATGTTAAATTATTTGTGAAACATTCAACAATATTTTTCTAGTAAGATTAGGTTTCAATTCCTCGAGCGTACGTGAATAAAACGATTACAAAAGGTAATAGAGTTAGTCATCGAGTTTTACTAATGTATTGTGTGTGAAGATGAAAGTTAATCAGGGAATATATATGAAACAAGTACAAAGATGCATGCATGATGTAAGGATCATTGATAATGCGTGACAAGTAAATAAGGCGATTGGTTGCAAAGCATCTCGCTGCTTACCTCATCTTGCTCAGCTTAATTAGGCATTTTGGCCACTTCCATCTCCGTACTTTGCCTCTTCTATTTTATATTTTATTTCTTTGTTTAGGAATTGATTTTTCTAAACCAAGATTCAATTTAATCGTTTTCATGTTTTTAGTCATCAAGGTTTGGTTGCACCAAAAAAAAAAAAAAGTCATCAAGGCAATTACAGTGTTGTGACAATATATTCGACGTTGTCACCCATTAGGTGAATGCGTTAACTGACACTTCGGTGAAGACAAGATAAAAGAGTTATCAAAATGATACTAGTTTCAATTCGATGTTATCAGATTTAACTTACATGTAGTGTTATATTATAAAATAATGATTAAGTTATCTGGACTTACCAGTTATTATTATAGTAATATTTGATCTATGATTATGAAGATTATGAGTCAATGATCTGAAACTTAATATTATTCTTTCTTACATACGAGATGAATGTAAAATCATCTCTTCAATCAAATTGCTGAAATCAGTATTCATCTATGATCACAACATCTTTAATGCCACGACGTTTGGATTTAAGTTTGTACATATTTTATTAAACTAGACCAAGGAATCAAAATTTGTTTTACGAAAACTTTATGAAAAAAACCATAAATTCGAAACGTGGGGGTCATGAATGTTCTTGCAGTAAAGTAAGACGTGATTGAATGGGGAAAAAGATAGAAAAGTAATTGAATAAGAAAAAAGAAAGACAGAGATGTAATTATTAGAGGAGGGCGTTCGATTAAATTAACACGAAAGGAGGAGGATGTGGGCCAAATAACGACAAAGAAAATAGAGTGACAAATAGAGGAAAAAATCAAAAGTATAGGGTCTTATCATAAACAATGTAACATCACAAAATAACGCACCCCATCAGGCAAAGTGTGGATTCTCCCTATTTGAGGCTGATCTTACTTGTTGTTGCTCGGTTCTCTTGGTACAAGTCACTATCTCATGTTGTTGCGTTTTGACATTTTTATACAATAAGCTCTATATATGCGAATCATCAAATTTCAAATTTAGGTAGGGAGACAGCCAATTTCAAATTTCATCTTCTGGTAGAATAATTGTTTCCATTAAGATGGAAGAAAAATCTGAAAAAGACAAAAGGATGGAGGAGATAGCGCATTTTAGCGTGCATATCAGAGTCCTCTAGCCTGTCACTGGTAGTCCTAGTACATTACATCAGTTTTCTGTTTTATTTCATCTTTTAATTTTACTGTAAAATGGAGAATTAAAACAATTTTTTGTAACTCGGACATTTTAGAGAATATTTATATACAGCTGAGTGGACTCCCTTAGTTTTATTATACATGAGAAAATTAATACCCAATCCACTTTGGTCATTTTATCTATAAACATAAGTTTTTGAATTTAAAAATATATATAATATTTTATTATCAAAATTTAGTCTGATTGTTTATACGTGATATTTATGTTTGTAGTCACTACAAAATAAAAATTAATAGATACTTTAAAAAAAAAACAACTCATCAAATTATAAAGTGTACAAACAAATTCATAATATAAACAAATTCATAATATAAAAGAAAAGTGTTCTATTTGTTTTTCGAGTTTATTTTTTGTTGTTGTATGTTTTTCGGTTTATGTTTACAACTTTAGAAAGATGTTTAATGGAAATATGATATGTAAAACAAAATAATAAACAGTACAAAAACACAAACACTAAAAATAATCAAAATTTTTAATTAAAAAAAACTATAGTTGTAATATATAATACGCGAAATTAGCAATAAGAAAAAGGGACAAAGAAAAAAAAAGACGACAAAAAAAAAAAAAAGGGACAAAGAAAAGAGAGAGAGTGTAGAGTAGACTAGCATCCACCTTCCCGGGTCCGACAGTCCGTATCAGCTTCCCCTGATTCTCTCTCCCCACAACTCTCTCTCTCCTCTTTTGTTTTGCCTCTGTATCTCTCTCTCTCTCTCTCTCACTCTCTCTACATCATTTAAACGTCTCATGTTTCACCTTCTTTACTTAAGCCAACAAACTCATACATCTCCTGTGAGAGAGACTGTTGGAGACGAAGGGAGAAAGAAAGACTTCTTCTTTGATAGACCCGAGATTTCTTCTTTTTAAAAATAAAGCAGAGATTTTTTTTCTTTCTTTTCTTGTTTGCTTTTGCTTTCTCTTCTTTTCCTATGTGTGTTTGTGGGCACAAACCCAAAAGAAAAGTAAATGTTGTCTCCCTTCTCTTCTGAATTTTTCTTCTTTACTTCTCTCATAGCTAAAGCTTCCATTATGGTAATTTCTTTACAAGGAAGACGATGATGACTCAACTTCATCTCCTCTACTTGTTCTTGTTTCTCTCTTTCTCTACTCTTACTCTCTCTTCCGAGCCCAGAAACTCTGAAGGTAACACTACAACAACATAAATTTCTATTCTTTACTGTTCCTTTGGCTTAAAGTTTGGATTTTTATTATTTGTGTCTGATTTTGCTAAAATGGGTTACAGTGGAGGCGTTAATAAATATAAAGAATGGTTTGCATGATCCTCATGGAGCTTTGAACAACTGGGACGAATTTTCAGTTGATCCTTGTAGCTGGGCTATGATCACTTGCTCCCCCGACAACCTCGTCACTGGCCTGTGAGTTTTCTTCTTATTTTTCTACAAAAATTATTGTGTTTCTCCTTCGATTCTGCTTCTATAGAGTTCATTAATGGCGACAAATCTCACTGCTCTCTTCTCCCAATTGTAGAGGAGCGCCTAGCCAATCTCTGTCGGGAAGTTTATCTGAGTCAATCGGTAACCTCACAAATCTCCGACAAGTGTAAGATTACGACATCCTCGGATCCTCCATCCCTCTTGTTTTTTTTAAAAAAAAATTCTAAAATATTATTTTTGTAAAAAACCTCATTTTCCTGCTTTTGGGGGTTTTTGAAGGTTATTGCAGAATAACAACATCTCCGGCAAAATCCCACCGGAGCTCGGTTTACTTCCCAAATTACAAACTTTGGATCTCTCCAACAACCGATTCACCGGCGAAATCCCCGTTTCCGTTGAGCAGCTAAGCAGCCTTCAATATCTGTGAGTTTTCTTCTCTTATCTTCAATCTTGTTCACCATGTACTGAGTTAATCAGTTCATAAATCATCTTACCTCGTACGAATTGGTTTTCCAATAGGAGACTGAACAACAACTCATTGTCTGGGCCCTTCCCTGCCTCTTTGTCTCAAATTCCTCATCTCTCCTTCTTGTGAGTATAAAGATTTGTCTTTTCTGTTTACAAATTTTTTTTACCTTGGATGAAGATTGTCTTTGTTTTTGTCTGATTTTTTTTTTTTTTTTTTGAAATCCAGGGACTTGTCTTACAACAATCTCAGTGGTCCTGTTCCTAAATTCCCAGCCAAGACTTTCAAGTAAAAAACCTTGTTTTGTGTTTTTAAAATCTCAATTGATTTCACAAATTCTTATAGGACTAATTGTTGCTTCTGCTTCCTTGTTGAATGTAGTGTTGCTGGGAATCCATTGATTTGTAGAAGCAGCCCACCTGAGATTTGTTCTGGATCTATCAATGCAAGTCCTCTTTCTGTTTCTTTGAGCTCCTCTTCGGGTATAATTCTCGTTCTTGCCTCGGTTTTTTCCTGAATTACGCATTAATAACCAACCTTTCATTAAATCTGTCCTGTTACTTGAGTTTGTGTAGGACGCAAGTCAAATAGATTGGCGATAGCGCTCGGTGTAAGCCTTGGCTTTGTTGTGTTACTAATCCTTGCTCTCGGGTCCTTTTGTTTGTACCGAAAGAAACAAAGAAGGCTACTGATCCTTAACTTGAACGGTTCGTCGATTTCAGCTTTGTGCTTTGTACAACTTTGATTCATGAAGATGTTTAAAGATTAAAGTTTTGCTTTTTAGCAGACAAGCAAGAAGAAGGGCTTCAAGGACTTGGGAATCTAAGAAGCTTCACATTCAGAGAACTCCATGTATCTACAGATGGTTTCAGTTCCAAGAACATTCTCGGCGCTGGAGGATTCGGTAATGTGTATAGAGGAAAGCTTGGAGACGGGACAATGGTGGCAGTGAAGCGGTTGAAAGATATCAATGGAACTTCAGGGAATTCACAGTTTCGTACCGAGCTAGAGATGATTAGCTTAGCTGTTCATAGGAATCTGCTTCGGTTAATCGGTTATTGCGCAACTTCTGGTGAAAGGCTTCTTGTTTATCCATACATGCCTAATGGCAGCGTCGCCTCTAAGCTTAAATGTTGGTATAAGTCTTGATTCGTTGATCCAAAATCTCATTTGCAACGACTTCTTTTAACCAATTTTGTTTCAACTGTTTTAGCTAAACCGGCATTGGACTGGAACATGAGGAAGAGGATAGCGATTGGTGCAGCGAGAGGTTTGTTGTATCTACATGAGCAATGTGATCCCAAGATCATTCACAGAGATGTCAAAGCTGCTAATATTCTCTTGGACGAGTGCTTTGAAGCTGTTGTTGGTGACTTTGGGCTTGCGAAGCTTCTTAACCACGAGGATTCTCATGTCACAACCGCGGTTCGTGGCACGGTTGGGCCACATTGCACCTGAATATCTCTCCACCGGTCAGTCTTCTGAGAAAACCGATGTGTTTGGTTTTGGTATACTCTTGCTAGAGCTCATAACCGGATTGAGAGCTCTTGAGTTTGGTAAAACCGTTAGCCAGAAAGGAGCTATGCTTGAATGGGTAAGTAACGAGACTCAGAACATACATTTTCTTGATTGCTTATATAAGATCAATCAAATTCAACATTTTTTTTAACTTGGATTTTTAGGTGAGGAAATTGCACGAAGAGATGAAAGTAGAGGAATTGGTGGACCGAGAACTCGGGACTAACTACGATAAGATTGAGGTTGGAGAGATGTTGCAAGTGGCTTTGCTATGCACACAATATCTTCCGGCTCATCGGCCTAAAATGTCTGAAGTGGTTTTGATGCTTGAAGGCGATGGATTAGCTGAGAAATGGGCTGCTTCGCATAACCATTCACATTTCTACCATGCCAATATCTCTTTTAAGACAATCTCATCTCTGTCTACCACTTCTGTCTCAAGGCTTGAAGCACATTGCAATGATCCAACTTATCAAATGTTTGGCTCTTCGGCTTTCGATGATGACGATGACCAACAGCCTTTAGATTCATTCGCCATGGAATTATCCGGTCCTAGATAACACAGAGAACTCAAGAAAGACACAAAAAGATATCATTTTTCGATGGAAATGCTCTACACTTTTAGTTATAATATAGACATGTATATGTTGGTGATGATGAAAATCTCTCTACAGTTTGAGATTCTGTGTTCGTTATGTTAATGTATATATTAACTTTTTGGAAGGTATTTTTTCTTGTGAGTTTCATTGATTTATGGAGTTTGGAAAGAAAGATCTGAGCTTTTTGCTTTAACATTGTGATGGCAAATGAAGAAACTATGAGACTGATTTGTTTGACTTTTTCTTTTGACCAGAATCTGATTTGCGCTCTCAATCGCATCAATACTTATTGAGTTACCAGAATTTGGAATTTGTTTTTATCATAAGGTTTTGTGGTCCTCTAAGCTAATGGGTGGACACTTTTGTCTAACTTTGACTCTCATGTGTCATTTTCACTTGTCATCGCGAACAACAATACCAGATTCGTATGGAAATGGGAAACGACAGCGTTTTGGAGGAGATGGAGAAGAAGAAGACGACGAAAACACAACATATATAAAGTAAAGAAAAAAAGAAGCTGCTTGTAGAAAAAGGAGAGTCTTTTACAATTTGGCGACATGGCGAATCAGTCCTCTCCATCTCCAATCTATTGTGTTTCTTTCAATCAAGATAATAGGTGAGTTTTTATTTCCGCTTTCAATGTAGAAATTTAACAAAATTCGATTCTTTTAGTAGATTTTTCCCGGGAAAACGTAACACAGAAGCTGCCCTTTTGTTGTTGTTGTTGGCTGCTCCATTTTCGCAGTGGTTTTGCGATAAGTTCAAAAGATTCCTTCAAAATATTCGATTCCACCACAGGCAGACTTTGTTATGAACGAGGCAAGTTTTAATCATCCGATAAGATTCTCTGCTCGTTTTGGTTCTGCAATTCTGTGTTCATCAAGAGACCTACTGTTTGCTCTGTATATTTCCTTTTAATTGATCTCTGGGACTTTAAGATGATGGGTTTGAAAGAAATTTGGTTAGATTAATCGAATTCTCAAGTATGATTCTGATATTGAAGAAAATGACTGTTAGATGTTTAAAATTTTAGATTGGATAGTATCTGAACATTAATTCCCTGTTGTGATTGATTTATTTCAAGCTTCAATTTTTTCTGACACTATGGATTGAAAGTTGTTTGCTTTGTGATTTGTTTGTTATTGGTAGCTGCTGGGGCCTTTGTTATTGTTGAAATGTTGTATAGCTCAGATCTCCTTGCAATTGTTGGAGCTGGTGAACAGGTTTGTGCTTAAATGAACAATTTTTTTTCGGTTATCGAATTCGATTTTTGTATGATTAGAGAAAATTTCATATACTATAGGCTTCTCTATCCCCAAGGCGTCTCTGTTTATTCAAGACCACAACGGGTTCTCCTCTTAGGGAATTGAACTTCTTAACATCTATACTCGCCGTCCGTATGAACAAGAAAAGGTTAGTTAATTACCAAACTTATTATCACTGATTGTTTTGTTTTGTTGTTTCTTTTGAAAGTGAATTCATGGTGCTGATTGGTTCTTATCAGACTTGTTGTTGTGCTGCTAGAGAAAACATTCGTTTACGACTTGAATACGCTTGTTATGCTTGATACTATCGACACGGTGCCAAATCCAAAAGGTAGCTCAGAAAGTTTCCTTCATCAACTTCTAATCATAGCAGTTCGTTTTAAAAAAGAATCTCTTGTCTATCTTCGAGCAGGTCTCTCTGCATTCTCTCCATGTATTGAAGGCTGCTACTTAGCTGTTCCTGCTAGTGCGACGAAAGGATCTGTTTTGGTGTATAACGTCATGGAGTTGCAGTCTCACAGTGAGGTTTACTGGATGCTTCACCTAATTTTGGATTAAAATTTGAGTTTCTGAGTTGCATTCATAAACCCAATTATTAACAAACTTGATCGTTTTATTTCTCTGTTTGTGAAAACTCGATTACAGATAGATGCACATCGTTCTCCATTGGCTGCGATTGCCCTTTCTTCAAATGGAATGTATATTGCTACAGCATCTGAGCAAGGAACTCTGATCCGAGTCCATCTTGTTTCAGAAGCAACTAAGGTGAATAGTTAGTTGCTCTTTGGATACATAATACATTTTGGTTTTTCTTACGTTCGACTACAGATACTTAATCGTTTCTCTTTCTTCTGTTTGCAGTCATATAGTTTCAGGAGAGGAACATACCCATCAACAATATATTCACTCTCTTTTGGACCATCCACACAGCTTCCGGATATATTGATTGCAACGAGTTCTTCAGGCTCCATTCATGCCTTCTCTTTAAGGTTGGCCATAAACCAAAGGTGAGGATTAAGAATCACACTCTGTACTTCCTCTACACCGTGTGAGATATTTAACAGTGTTGAAGAGTCTTCCTCATCTTTTCTTGGTCCCAGAAGCAAAAGATCTACTAGCTTTCTTGGATCGGTTCTTCCCGACAGCGTGAGTGATGCATTAGATCCAGCACATCATCACGTGCTTCAAAACGCAGTTTCTCCCGGGATTAGAAGGTGAAAAGGCTAATCTTGTAGACGCTGCGAAATGAGACCTATTAGGCTATATATAACCCAAGAGGTTAATTTTCTGTTGCTTGCTTGTGTTGCAGTTATGCAGTGGTCAGGAAGATAGATAAACTTGAAGGAACATCATCTCCATCTCAGTTTACATCTCTTAGGTAAAGATTTTAGGATATCTCCACGGTTGTATTGTAACAGATACCACGAAAGCTTGATGGTCTTTCTTTCGTGTTACTCGTCCTTTTTCTCAGGGCAATGGTGTCGGTGATTACGTATAATGGATATTTCCAGGAGTATACGCTAAGTATCAATAACAAGAATGAATCTCTATGGACACTGGAACGTGAATTCAATCTCTTTTCTCCATAACCACTAGGTGATATTAACCCAATACCAAAGATGTCAATAGACAAATTTGTACATGGCAGCTCCTTTTTGTATATAAACAATTTGTAACTTGAGTTTCATTAAGATTTTTTTTTCTTTTCTTTTTGTCGCTGTATCTTAATCTTCATTTATTTTGTGTTCAAGAAAACGAACTATAGAATGGTCTCTTGAACAAAATGTCTTGATCTTCAGAACAGGAGCGAGGAAATGTCTTTATCTAGATCATTCTCATATCCAAATATTCCTTAATTAAGGAAACAAAACGAGATACACATATTCATTAACAAAGAAAAAATAGAAAGTCATAGATCTCCATATATCATCGTCATTCACTGATATAAAAAATTTCCATGATTCAGTTAATCAATTTGGATAGAAAATCATCTATGTTACGCAAAACCTCCCTTATATATAAAGGTTCCTCAAGAACAATAAAAAAAAAGCGTCTTCAATCTAATATCAATGGAATCATCCTCTAATCACATGGTACATACACATAATAGATTGTAAGATTAGTGTTTACATGATAATTTTTTTTAATGCATGTGTAGATATATCTTATGTGTTTAAGTATCTTCACAGGCGTGTGTTTTGAAGATAGAATCTCCTACCAAAGGATGGAAGAAGACGCTGGAAAATTTACTCATCACCATTAATGGTTTCATAATCTCTCACTTCTCTTGTTTAATTATATCTTTTTCAGTTTACTTGATTTTCACTTGTGTTCCTGAATTCATAAGTAATATTTATTTTTCTTCTATATATATATATATCCAGATGTAAATTTCACGATCGACAAGCGAAGTAAAACGGTATATCTATATGGGAAAATCGATCCACAAAAAATACTCGAAAAGATTACACAAGCAGGCAAAAAAGCTGAAATTATATGGAGCAATAACGAATGCAAAAAGCCAACAGAAGATCGAAGAAACCAATTTATGGAACAATGTAGTTATCCGTCTGGCTCCATAAACGCTCCTAATGCTTTCTTCAATCATCATCAACAACAACAACAACAATACCATTCTTATCATCAACCCAATTATTATCAACAACAAGGCTCTTATGCTCCACCAAATCCGATGATGACTCAGTTTCAACCATACCATCAACCTTATGTTCTTCCAGTGCCATATACATTTCAGCGTCATCCTCAGCCGCCACCTCCACAACTGTACACGTACCACCAGAACGACGAGCCTAAGGAGCCTGTGGCTAAGAGTTTTCCACCGACGCCTCCTCCGCCTAAAAACTTTACGATGGGTGACTTACAATGCAGGATCATGTGACTTGTTATGTTTATTCTTTTTTTGTAGTCTCCAGCAACGATTTAGTCTATATATATATATATATATATTTTTAGAGTTTGTGCATGATATTTACAACGATCTTGTGCTTGATATCCTAAGAATTTGGAGTTGGTGATATCAATAATGAATCTTCATGGACACTGGAACGTGCGTATTTTTATCTCTTTCTCAAAAAGAACCATAATATCACACGAATTCAATGGACAAAAAAAAGTCTTTATCTTCACTGTGTACTACTCAGGAGAAGTAGAAATCTCCATCTTTAACACATCCATTTAACTCAAATATATAGTGTAAAGATAGCTACATCCGTACAACAAGATTTGCACTTTGTATGTTTGAGGAAAGAACACTCATCGCGTTCTTGTCCTGACGACTTGCCCTCTGGAAGCTTTTCTCTCCATCTTCTCCCTCTTTTTGCGAGTTTTCTCATCCTCTACACCTCCCTAAGTACAGTCATAGAGACAAAAAAAAATACACTCCATTTTCATAATGCTTTTTTCTCCATTGTTAAAAGCACTTTGAGAGTATTCCAAAACTAGGTGGTTACCTCTGAACCTTGTGACAGGAATCCTCTAATAAGTCCAGAAGCTTTGTACGCTCCAAATGCAGGAATCTAAAATTGTCAACAAAAAAAAAAAACAATGATCGATCGCATCATCGTCTTCTAACAGACGCCGCAATCTATTGAATAGTATTACATATTAAGATTTTTCCAAATTGAGATGCATGCGCTTACCACTAGATACGTGTACCAAAACTTTCCAGAAATGATAGTTGTTAGCTGCACGAAGCAGGTGATGTAGAGTACATCATGCAAGTATCTGCAAGAACGAGAGATCATTAGGCTTGTGATGTAGAATCTATTATCAATCCAATCCACAATCAACTGAATCCACCATAAAAGATGATAATCACTTTGCAGTTTTCAATCAAACAGTATAAAATCAGATACTAAAAACCAAATCAGCAACTGATTAACGATAAATCTCAGAGAGAATTTCAGAGAATGGTGGCTCAAACATCACTTTTCAAACAGCTGATAATGAAATAGTCCTCTCCTATCCATGGACAAAGCTATTGGCTTTGGAGAAAGAATCAAACCATACAGAACACTGAGACAAAAAGCAGCGACTTTCTGTTCTTAACTGATCAATTAAGAGACAAAGCTTATAGAATTTGAAAACGTACCCACAAACTCCACCAGTGCTCATGTCGAAGCCACCATCAATAAGCTCACCATTATCAGTAATACTAGGCTTTGCCATTTGATCAAGAAACTTATAAGGAATCGCGTAACCCAACGAGGTTACCACAAGCCCAATCCAATGCTTCCATGTAAAGCTTGAATGAAAAATCAGCATCCTCACTATGACATACACAACCTGTGACCACATCATATGATTCAATCCTCAAATTCATCGAAATATAAAAAAGGAAAACATCCGATCTCGACCTAAAAATTGAAAAATTCAAGTGCTAAAGATCAAACCAACGAAGTAACAGATCTAATTACATCGAAAGTCAACGGATTTATGCTCGAGAATCTGAGGAAATCAGGAAAGACTCGGATAAAAAAGGAAGTACATTGCAAGCGATGATGATTCGACGGAGCTTGGCCATGTGTCGAGCGTTCTCATCCTTACGCTTCTTAGCTCCTTGATTCGCCATTACTAATCTCCGATTCTAGCTCACGAATGTCTCGGTCTCTGGTCAGCTAAATCCACACCTAATAACAAGTCTCTGTGAAATCAGCGGCCAGGCAAAAGCGATCGAAGAAGATTTCCGATGAAAAAACAGAGACACGAGAATATTGGGCCAGATACGAGAATTGTGGGCTTAGGCCCTCTATTGTAGCCCATGTTTGATTGAAACGTACACAATTTCGGTTTTGGAATATCCCAATCTACTTCTAGCTAATGGGTCAGTTGAACATTTTATTTTGTCACGATTATTATAGGAAAAAAACAAAACAGGGTTTGGTGAGAAATAGACATGTTTTGTAGTACAATGTAAGAATTGACGTGGACACGTGGGAGCATGGGCAATGCAACCAGTCACCATTAAGGTCGGTCCATGATTCATCTACCCTTCGAGATCAAAAGGAGAAAAATCTATTCTTGTTTTTTTGTAACTCATGTTTTCAAGGATTTAGACTGTTCAAAACATACTACTATTACTATTATCATTCACCTCCGATACAATTTAAAAGAATTAGTTGACGGAACCAAAATCTTTTGGATGGGCGTTGAAAAAAAAAATGGGATCAAAATATAGACCGTTAGATCCTGATTAGGGACCAAGGAGGATTCACGTATCTCCCACGTGGAAGATGCTTAGCCCTTGAATGGACCATTTGCTACTTGCTTAGTCTGCTTTAGGCCCACCAGAATGGAGGACGCAAACGCAACTTCGAGAAGCTCCATTTTGAATATAATAATGACACCTCTTTTTTTATTTTACATTTAAACTTTTTCTAATTTGACTTGCAGACATCATCAGTAGCTTAGTTTAGCAAATTTTTTTAAGTTTGAGGAAAAAAATGTATCAAGACATTGCTAAAATAATTTTATAACATTCAAAATAGTCAACTCTTCCAAATAAGGAAAAAAATCCAGAAATACTTATCTTTCTGGAAAACAACTATGCAATGAACATTAGAGGAATTTCATTCGGTTCCAGTTGTAATTATATAAAAATAACAGAGAAACACACGTGTCTCAGCCGATAAAACTAGGAATATCCTAATTTATACTCCTTTTAATTATTTATTAATCAAGTCTCTATCTCTTATCAGTTAATCTTCCTCTTCTCTTCTTCGTTATATCTTTGCTTGTTTGATAATATCTCCGTTTTTCTTGTGTCTCTCTCTTTCTCTCTCTCTTATCCAGATATCATCCCATTACATAAACTTTTCAAATTCTTTTCACCTTTCACGTTTTCGTGTTGTGCCCAATTCTCATTCGAATCAGATTTCTCATAATTTCAATTCAAAGATTTCGTTTTTTTGGTTCTTAGTTTTGGGTTGTGTTTTGACTCTGTAGCCGAATCGACACGGTTTCGCTATTTTCCCGGGAAGCAAGATTTTCTCAGGGAAATTCTAAAACTGAAGGAAAATTTATAGCTGGTCTTAGTTAAAGGTGAGTCCTCATGAATTATTGCTCTGTGTAACAGCTTTGTTGTTATTGAAAGTTACGTCACCTGTTATAGTGAGGCTTTTTATTATAAGGATAATACCTGCAATAATGCAGATAATATATTTATATATTCTGGGAAGAATAGCTTATCATATATTGTGAGTTTGTGGTCGTTCTAGCTGATTCTTCTTTGATTGGAAACGCAAACATATTTAAAAAAAACTTATCATTATTTTTATTTTCTGGTGATAGTGATACAATACTCGAGAATTCTCATATTTTATGAATCCCTTCTTTTAAAGAAAGATTTTTCTTTATCTTCTTCTTCTGGTTTCAGCAGCTGATTCTGCAAATACGATTTGCATTGATCCGTAGATGAGACCAATCGTTAGATCATCTTCTCTCAGTAGAATTAGATGGGCTCTGAGGAATCAAGAACGCAATTCTTCAACTTTCTACTCGAAAAGCAGCAAACTTCTGATCGGTGTCAATCAAAATCAAGCTCTGGTGAACACAAACACTCGTAATCCAGCTTTGTATTCGAGGTTAAGTTTCTTGAGAGGTCTATCAGCAGAAGCAGTAGAAGCAGCTGATGCTGTTAGGCTCACTGTCTCAGGTTTGTTTCTTTCTAAGCAAATTTTAATTAATCTCAGAGGTTTGTTTCGAGTTTATTATGATGAATGATTTTGTAATTTTCAGATGTGAATAGAACAGGTCCTCTTGTTGAGTATGAGAGAAGAATCAGTGATGGTGAGCTCATGACTGGTGATATCTGCCAAGTACGAATAAAAACTTCACTCTTTTTTACTTCATTGAAGCTTGTAAATCTTGTTACTTGCGGCTGAGGTTTTGTTGAAATGTTGCAGCTTAGCGCATTGAGAGAGCTTCAGAGACTACATGATGAGCTTATGGAATCAGTAGATACATGTCGTTTAGATCGGTACAACACTTCTGATAAATCATCAAGGTGATTCTTCTCTTCTCTTTAAGTCTGTTTTTGTTTTTGTTCTTTCTTCTCTGTTTGGTTTGAGAACGCAAACTCGTCTTTGTGTGTGAAGCAGAAGCCGTTGGTTCTGGTCTAGGCTCATGCCGCAGTCTTCTTACTCACCCGTCAAAGGATTATACCTCTATGGAGGTGTAGGCACAGGAAAAACCATGTTGATGGACTTATTCTTTGATCAACTGTAAGTTTTGTATGATCAAATTCTTATCTTTCTTGATCACTGCATTGCGAGCTCATGATCTTCCTTTTGTTTCATTAGGCCTTGTTCTTGGAAGAAGCAGAGGATACATTTCCATGATTTCATGTTGACTGTTCATAGTCGGTTACAAGTAAGGATCGTCTAAATTTATTTGGTTTTAGTAGAAAGCTTTAGCCTTTTGAGAAACCGGTTTGAATTTCGGGTCAAAAAAATGTTTGCAGAAGCACAAGGGTTTATCAGATCCACTTGAAGTTGTAGCACAAGAGATTGCTCATGATGCGATCTTACTATGTCTAGATGAGTTCATGGTATCTACTTTTTACATATTTATATCTTGTTGAAAATGATAATCTTTGGATCCAACCCATCTTGAGTTTCGACTTTTCGGCTTCTGGTTCTATTATTACAGGTAACTGATGTTGCAGATGCTCTGATACTTAACCGACTCTTCGGACATCTCTTCAGCAATGGCATCGTAAGTGTGATCTTCGATAATATTTCTACTCTGCTACAAACCTCTCTGCTCATTTAGTTTAAACTGGATTAAATGTAGATTCTTGTTGCCACATCGAATCGGAATCCTGATAAACTCTATGAAGGAGGACTCCAGAGAGATCTCTTCCTACCTTTCATTGCCTCACTAAAGGTAAATCCATTACTCTCTCTTTTCTTTTTTTTTTCTTTTCGACTCTCATAGAAATTTTATTTGCGTAGGAACGGAATATGGTTCACGAGATCGGCTCATCTGTTGATTACCGGAAACTAACTTCGGTACTGTTCTTAAAATCTCTCTAGAAACTCCTTAGGTTGGCTTCTTCATGCCAAAACAGAGCGTTCAATAAACTCGGCTTGCTTCTTGAATTGTGCAGGCTGAGCAAGGATTCTATTTCATCGGTAAAGATCTTTCGACCCTTTTGAAACAGAAGTTCCAACAACTGATTGGAGACAATGTTGTTGCGCGTACACAGGTAGTAGAAGTGGTTATGGGAAGAACATTACAGGTAACAACAAGTTATACCATCCTCTGTGTAATCCCAACATCAATCACTTCTGTTGTGTCTATATGAGTTCTTCATCAGACCAATGCTGCTTCATGAACAGGTTTCATTAGGGGCTAACGGATGTGCATACTTTTCTTTTGAAGAATTATGTGACCGACCTCTCGGAGCTGCTGATTACTTTGGATTGTTCAGTAAGTTACTCTACTTGGGCTTTCTTTTGTCTCTCTAAATGGGTTTTCTTGTTCTCATTCTTTCTGATGTTGCAGAGAAGTTTCACACTCTTGCACTGGAAGGAGTACCGGTTTTTGGGCTTCATAACCGGACCTCTGCATATAGATTCGTCACGCTAGTTGATGTATGAGATACCCGGTTCCATCTGATCAGTTTTAGTTGTCTTATAAGATTGCAGAACAAAACCATTCATCAAATCTGATTAATAGTTTAAGAGTTGCAGGTGATGTATGAGAACAGAGCAAGGTTGTTGTGTACAGCTGAAGCAAGTCCTCAAGAACTCTTGGAAAAGATTGTAACAATCTCAGAGGCGAAATCAATGGCTCCAAGAACATCGTCCAGATCAAGGAAGAACGATGTTTCCGAGCTCTGCGTGGATAACGAGTTAGGCTTTGCAAAAGATAGAACCATCAGTAGGTAATGTAACTACAAGTCTCTGTGAGGATACAACCTGGAAGTCTGATTGGATTTTTTGCTCATCATGTGAATTTGTTTATTATGTGCAGATTAACAGAAATGAACAGCAAAGAGTACTTGGAGCAGCATGCCATAACACAGAATTTATGAAAACATAAAACGCATACAGGATCATATGGCTTTTCACGGATTCAATTGAATCCTATAATAACTTGTTGTATTTTATGTATCATGTATTAATCGCCCACCAATTGATAAGAATCATGGGATGGAAATATCATCCGTTGTTGTAAACATTGAATTTTGAATTTACATCTATATTAAAACCCACAAAAATGATTGCATCTTTTCAGTACCATAACACAATGGAATACTAACCAGATTGTTGCTAAACATTAGAATTGTAGAAGCAAAACATTGAAGACCACAACTATATAGGGACTAGTTTTGGAAAGAAAGAGAGTAGGAGCCAGTGTTGGGATCTTTAACAGCCTTGAAGTTGTCCACACTCATCCCAAATCGACCCAAAATCGAGTTTCCCATCTCCTTCAGCTTAGCTACAAACACAAGACATATTCGGCATATGTTAAGTAATCAATGAAAAGATTCCCAAAGCAAACTGTGAGAACATGACCACAAAGAAGCACACTTGAAGCTGATTGCAAAAAATTATAAACTTTTATGACGGAATACTATCAAAACTTACTTATAGCCTCTTCTTTCATCTTTTCTCGCTTCTCGGCAGCAAGAGGCTCAAGGCGTCGAATCCCTTTCCTAGCTTGATCATTTGAAGGATCAAGTTCTAAGATCTTCTTCAAGTCTGCGTATAAGAAGAGAGAGTTAGTGTTAAATTTTCCGTTAAACCCATTCCATAACCAAAAACTGATTATACTGTATAAGTACCCAAAACTAACATAGAACTCATCGCTTAATTTTCTAATGGATTTGGTTTCATGAGAAAACGGTTATATCTTGGCTTGCCTTTAAAGTAAATAGTCATGAACTCACCCGTGACAGCTTCTTCAAAGTGTTGAAGTTTTTCGTGTGCTTCTGCCCTTCGAACCAAGGCCTTAGTGTAAGTAGGATTTAGCTCTAATGCCTTTGAGCACTCCTTGACCGTTTCTTCATATTTACCCTGAGAAACATTATTCAGAGAAATCTTGAGTACTATTATTGATGATAACTATACCCATCTTCAATCGAAGAGATTCAAGAGACCAAGAAAGAAATAATCAGATAAAGGTTTGATCAGGACATACCAATTTTAGGAAGCATACACCTTTGTTCAAATGGCATATGGATCGAAGCTCCATAGATTCGGGAAACTCCTGAACAAGCTCTAAAGCAAGCACATACTTTGACAATGCCTCCTCGTAAAGGCCATTTACGAACAATTTGTTTCCTTCCACTTTAGCTTCATTTGCTTCTGCCATGGCTTTCTCCTTTCATAGTTCAAAAAAAAAAAACGCTACCTTTAAGCATTCTCTACTAAAAGGTTCAAAATTTCCCATAAACCCAGAACTGGAAAACACTAAAGATGAAATGTAACAACTCATTTTTCGTTCAACAAGCTACTGAATCTATGCGGGACTCACCTGGTTTTTTCCGTCTTCAGTAATGTCCTCTCCTTCTCTCATTAGCTCAATCTGCTCTTCCTTCTTCTCCGGTTCCTCCTGGATCGTAACGGCGTCGTTTTTGCAGTCATCTTCTTCATCGCTAATTTCCCGTTCGCTGGCAGTCTCGAATCCGTCGGAATCATCACCGTCGACTAGTTTCGCCTCCGTCGCCGCCATCGTTTTTTCGGGTTTAGTTGAGGATAAAGACGATGGCTTTGGTTCGTCTTTGATGGGAATCTCTACCTCACTCTCACTTGACTCAATCAACACCATCTTTCAAATTTAGGGCTCTTTCGAGAGTTTTGCTCTGAAAGATTTTAACTTACCCGATCGTCGATCAGAATCGAAAACACTGGAGACGAAGGTTCACGATGCTCCAACAAAACGGCGACGTTTTCTTATACTTGGCTAAATAATATTTTTAATTTGGGCTGCGTTACATTCTCAGACCCAGTCTTGGCCCATCTAAATATTTAAGCTTACTTCTTCTTCTTTTTTCCGAAGCTGATGTCTCTGAATTCTGGAAATTATGATCACTGATGGAAATTGTAACGACAAAGTCGTGCTTTCATTTGCATTTTAGAGGTGGTTTTTATCAATGTTTTGAAAAAATATTTGAAAAAATAAAACAGCATTCAAAAGAATTCAGTAATATTGTGATTTGTGCATGTCTTCCAACACCAAAACAAACACAATCTTTCACGGAAAGCATATGATTGCAAAATTATAGGAAAGCGTTGCTTTAAATGATTCGTATACGTCACAACTCTCCCATCCATTTTCAACATTAACGAAAATAAAAATAGAAAGCATTGACATTATGATCCCGGTGAAGTATAAAAGGCTCTACTCCAGCTAATATATAACCATAGGAAATGTGAATTTTTTTTTTCCAATATAGTAGTACTGTGAATTGAGAAGATCAATATACAAATTATAACCCTTTTTGGTATGAACTCCTAAATTCCAGTTTAAATATTTTGAATCATTCTTTAACAAGCAGAGCCAGCTTCTACCAGCTTGCTCAATTTATAGTTCCTCAATCTTTCTTCGTAAACTTCATTTCCTTGCATCTCACTCTCATACCTACATGACATATATATATATATATATATACATAAAAAGCATTAGACTAAGTTGCATCAATTCGATTAACATTTATAATTAGTAACATCTTCTCATGAAACAACAAAGATGATTTAACCAAAAAATAAAAATTGTACCTCGGTGGCATAGGTATCAAAGGAGACAAACTCTGGACAAGCTTGAGGGCTTCTTCTTCTGTGTTGACGATTTGGTTGAAGCAGAAATATCGACCACAAGCTGAAACATCCTCGAACGCTCTAATATGAACATCCGCCAAAAACTTAACGTCAACGTACGCCAACACTCCATTCTCGTACATTTGCGCAGCTCCTGTTACCAACACCCATTTCATCGATTATATTCAAACCCCGATCGAGTGCATGACCGTTTTGTTTAGCCGTGCAAGTGGTGGTTTCGCAAAATTTGAAACAAAAACATAGATAGAAATATCCTAAAACACTCATAAAAATTAAGAACATCACAATTTCAACCCAATATAATCATTTAGGAACTCTTTCTAAAGACATATTTTAAGATTCTCTACAATCAACTCATTTAGGAACCAATTTGTAGAATTTTTAAAATTTGTAAAGTTTTGGTAATTGGTATTTTAAGAAAAGAAAACATCAAATGATGTTCTTCAAGATGCAAGAAAAAAAACGTATAATTTGTGGGTTTTTTTTAATAAAAAAAATTACCTCTTTCGAATAGATTGGTTGTACTAATTGTAGACAGTTTAATGGAGTTAATGAATGTGCATTAATGAATATGTTAAAAAGTGAGTGTATCTCTGTAATTATGTGATGTATTATGTACCTTTGAGGTAGGACATGGTAGGCCCAGCGTTGTGTTGTGCGACCGATGGTCCGACGATAAGACCAGGATTGATAGAAACCATGTTGAGCCTACGGTCCATGGCTAGTGCCCAAGCTGCTTTCTCTGACAACATCTTTGCCAATGCGTGCCACAACTGCAACCAACATACAATGTGTACGCACGTCAGTTTGAGCTTGTGCGTATGGAAAGGTAAAAATTACTACTACTAATAGTAACCAAACAAAAAGCGTAAATTCCTAAACAACATGAAAGAAAAGAAAAAGAAAAAAAAGGTATTGGAATAATCTTTCATTTCGACTACTGTTCGATTCGATGTCATACAGCGATGCACGTTAAATGTTGTCCCCGAATAATTTGTTGCACAAGTTAGATGAGTTCATTTATGGTGATCATAACAATATACCAACATGTCACCCTTTAATATAGAGATGATTAATTGATAATCATAAAAGACTACTACTAAATCAATTATTCAATAGATACAAAATATGCCCTTTAATTTTCCTACTTAGTGGTATCCAATTATTCAATAGATACAAAATATGCCCTTTAATTTTCCTTAATGGTACCTATGTATATAATTAATCGAATCAAGCGTTGAACATTGTATTTATGAGTCAGGAATTTGAATATATTCAATTAATCTGCGCCCTACGAATTTTCTATGTCGCCCATTTAAATTATTCGAGATAATTGTGACAATACATTCGATGAAGACACAAGTTTGACTATCAGAAAGATACCACTCCAAATTTCCAAGTTTTTAATAAATGAAATAATAATAAAAAAAAACATGGATAGTATGCATTTCCAAATTCAAAACATATAGAACTGACTAAAAAAATACTGCAATATTGTGTGAGTTAGGTACATTAAATAAAATGTCAGAAGACAATTTTAGTGATTCCAATCCAGCCTATAAACTTTAACTTATGGGTCCAATTTTTTTTAAGCAAATAACAATTAATAGCAAAAATTCATACTGTATTAACAAAAAAAAAAAGAAGGGAGAGAGTGAAGAAAAAACAGAAACCTTCTTTTTGCGACAGAAGTCTTGATCACTCCAACACTTCTCATCAACATCCTTCTGAGTTCCAATGTTGTCTCTCCAAATTGAAGCTGTTAACGAAGAAGAGAAGACAATCTTGTCAATGCTCTCTGTTCTTCCACATGCCTCCACCACATTGATCGCTCCTCTCACCTCCAAATCCACTTCCTTCTCCTATATACATAATGATGATGTTGAACTTCAATCTCAAACAAAATCTCAGAATCTAGAGACATATAGAGATGATGGTTTAGATGAAGACACTCACATCGTACCCTTCAGGGCTATCTAAGCAGCAGAAGACTGCGTTACATGTCTTGAGGGAGACAAGTATGCTTTGATAATCCAACACATCAACATCGTACACCACTAATCTCTCCTCCGTTGCTTCCATCTCTCTGATTTTCTCTTCAATTTCACTCTCTCCTGTTTTACCAAAACACAAAAACAATCGAATCAACAACCAATACAAAGACTCTCTTTTTTCCCTCGAAGTCGTCGGAAAAACGAACCCTTTGCTTCAAAATCTCATAAAAGGGTAAAATTTGATTGTATTCAGAAGAGAAAGATACCTTTTTTACGAATCGCTGCGTGAACAGAGTATCCTCTGCTAAGCAATTTCTTGAGAATCCAGAAACCCACAAAAGTGGAAGCATCGAGAACGCAGCAACAGGAGGTAGACTTTTCGTGATCCATTTTGTTTTTTTTTTTCTTCTTCTGATTTATCGAATCAGAGAGTTTTTATCCAAAGCGTGTGTGTATATATATATGTGTGTGTGTGTGAAGAAGGTTAGAAGAAGTATGAAGAGAAGAGACAAGTATTAATAGGAGAAAGTTGGGTGAACTATTTTCTGTTGCACGTTCCCAGCTACTCATCTTTTATTTATTGTCTCATCTCCTATTACTTTTGACAAAAAAAAAAAAAACACTTGTAATATTACTAAAATATTTCTTAATTTTTTGTACCCCTCTATCTATCTTAATTAATAACTTGGTTATCCAATATCCACAAGTCAAGCCCCTATTGGGTTATGTGTACGCGTTGATCATTTTGGGAACGTGTGTCTTCTTTCAGAAACACTCCAATATTAGTACCAGCTAATATCATCAAATTCCATAATCTTCTTACTTTCTTTCCTATTTACTAGTACAAATTTACATATATAACCAAATTCAATCAAAGATAAGTTTTATTTCTATGATTGATACAGTAGTAAAAATTTCAAAGTGTATCACTCGGAGATTAGTTGATAAAGTGCATATACACACTAAAATATTAAGAAATGGATTTAAATGATATGAAAATGAATTTAGTTGAAAAATAATTTTCCCAAAATATAATTATACTTATAAGGTGTATAGAAATCTAAAACCAATATTTAAAAATTAAGTACATAAATTAAATAAAAAAATTAGTTAGCAGCTGTAAATTTTTATAAGAAGATTATTAAGTATTAACTTTTAAAACTTTAATCAAAATTTTTTGCCACTATTGGTATTTCGTATAAATCCAAGCTAAAGAACATTTCTTCAATTTTACGTGATACTAGGTTTTACAATGTTTTTGTATTTTAAAAAGTTTTTTCATCGAATATTTATTAAAAATTGGGTGATGATGATTTTAAAAGATGTTATATTTACAATTCGTAGTAAACTAGACCGTAGTTTTAATAAAACTGCGGAAACTCTCCTAATAGTACTCTATTATATATAAAAACAATTTCAATATAGAAGAATGTTAGAACTTAGAATTAGAATGAGACTTAGGTTCCAGAATGCCAGGTTAATGAAACAAACTTGGGTCTGTAATTGCATAAGCGAAATCACACAAAGGTGGCTTGTTAAAAAAACTATAATATAGTTTATTTAAAGATTGTAAGAATATAAACATGTAATAGAAATGAGGAGATAATATAATAAAGGGTTTTTAGTGAAAAATCCCCTCAATTAAGTTTGAATTGGATAAAAACCCCTCAACTATTTTTGTAATGTAAAAACCTCTTAACTAAGTTTTCGAAATGATTTAGCCCCTTCGTGAACAGTACCGTCAAATCTTAACGGATTACAGTTAAATGAAAACATGATGTTTTGTATTTTATTAAAAAACGAAATGACTTCAATAAAAGAAAACCCCAAATCGATTTGAAACTAAAAATCCTCAATTTAAAAATTAGGGTTCCTCGTTCAATTTGAAAAACTCTTAAATTCTTCTTCTAAATAAATTTGTTGGAGGAAGAAGAACAAGGTTTTAAACATCAAATTAAAACAGCTGCCTCATCTTCTTCCAAGCTTCAGATTTGTAATTCTTTCTCCTTTTTCTCCCAATTTGCGAAAATATTTCTCTCAATTCAAGGGTTTTTCTCTCAAATTCTTTTTAATCAACACAACAAATCATTTCCAATCTCACCCAATTGACTTACAAACCATAAAAACTACTTAGAATCACACTTTCAAAAATTAGGATTCATCAATTTAAGTTTAAGAATTTAGGAATTTTAGAGATTATATTTAATTTTGGGATTCTTATATCTGGCTTTCAAAAAACTTGTTGTTTATAGTAAAAATCGTGTAGTTTTTGCTAAAAAAAGAACGATTTGTTAAGATTTGACGGTACTTTTCACGGAGGGGCTAAATCATTACAAAAACTTAATTGATGGGTTTTTATGTTACAAAAATAGTTGAGGGGTTTTTATCCGATTCAAACTTAGTTGAGGGGTTTTTTCACTAAAAGCCCTATAATAAAAAAGCAAAAACAGCGAAAGGGTGCTGTACGTAAAGTAGTTAGCAGTTAGTAGGTAGAGATTGTGGTGAGAAGATAATTTACGTGGGGAAGTTTTATTACAAGCCATCACCTAGGCACCTATCAACGTCTCTAAAATTATTTTATATAATCCATAGTTTTCCATGACATTTAAAAATTCGGTATTTACGGGTTAATGTAATGTTTATATAACTTTGAGTAGTTAAACGAACGACGTATCATAAATTATATATTTACGTAATCGAATTGGTGTGATTGTAGTACGAAGATCGAAAAGATGTCTTAGATGTTTGATTGATGTGTATATGCTTCAATGTGATTGCATCAGTTATAAAATGAGGTTAGACGTTAGTTCTAGCTAATATGTATCCTCACTCTTATTTAACGAGAATGAACATTATTTTTTCCCATACAGATGTACTCTGGCGTCAATTCAATAGTGATGTTTGAATTGTGCGGCTTATAAGCATTTAATCCTCAAAAAATGTGGTTGAGTGATTAGTACGTATACGGTTGAAGTAGTGAAGTCAACTAGTTGAAGGATCAAACAATAAGATATTTTGAAATTTATGTTGAGTTGTTGACGATAAACTATTTTTAAAGAGGCGTCTAGATGGGTTTTTTTTTTTTTGTCGTCGGCGTCAAGATGGTTCTATTTCTTTTTAAAATACCTTCAAAAATACCAAAAAATACATATATGTATGTATGATTTGCCTCAGCCATTCGGTTACAAACTTGCAATTGAGCTGTGAAATTCTGGCGCTTAATTTCATCCAATGGTTCAACCATTTGATTTGGACATGATTTGTGTTTTATCGATGAGATGATGATGATGATGATGATGACTGACTAACTGATGAGAATACACAATTCAATACGTATTCAACCTCTGTTTTTAGCTGTTTAAAAACAAAATTGAAAATTTCTTAAAAATACAACTTTTGTGTGGCTAAAGATTGATGAATGAAGCCTCGGGGCTCAGTCTTCGTGCCAACGTGGAACTTGGGAAAGTGAAAAGGATTGTGGTGAAAGTCGCCAGGGTACGTGTCAAAATCTCGGATGTTTTTTATGCTTTTGCATATAGATAAACACTGCGTGTCGTTCTGAACAAGGGGAATCCTTTAGTGAAAAAACTCAAAACTTGGTAACGCACATATTACACCAATCAATGAACTAAACTAACTTAGAGCCACGTGTTCATTAAATCATGATTTGATAAAGACCACACGAAAGTGTTTAGATTCCTTCTATTTCGAGTTGAGAATGTAGACTTGTGTCGCATTTTCCGTTCACCTAATTCGATTTACCTCTTATATAATATTGAAATTGGTAGAGTAAGGATAATGAAATAGTAGCAGTTAACTTATAGTATATCATAAGTAAAGTGATATTATGGCTTGTTGTAACATTGTTCATTTCAAACATAAGCCCACCAAGTCCAAGTGCAAACCCGAAATTACTGGTGTATTACTTAATTCTATATTGTTGGTTTTTATGGATATTTGCACAGGCCGTAGGGAGTACACTTGGTTCTATATCTTGATCACAATTCCTCTCTGCTGCTCTTACGGGATTGCAAAGTATTTGAACGATGAGTCAAAATCAGGCTTCCAAATACTCTTTGGGCTGGCGTTTATAGGTTCTTTTCCGTGTTATCTACTTTTCATATTCTTGAAGTGGATGTGGCCTCTCCAGCTGAGGACTCTGAAGCCCAAAATTCAGATGATTTTGAAAGGATGGTCGACAATGGTTTAAGCCCTTTTATTTTCTCGCGTTTTGATAATTAGGGTAGGATTCTCATATGTTTTAGTATGTGAAACGATATGGTGTTATTTATATGTTATATAACTTAATAGAGTTCAAGTGCTTTGATTATCATTTTTCTTAACATAAATGCAGAAATATACTTATTGGAAAAAATTATTTATTACACACTTGAGATCGAGTTGCTCCAGCTTTGAATAAATTTCTCCTTCCTCGCCTTGTAAACATCAGCCAGGCCTAAATCGGAGCCATTTCTCTCACTATCTCTTCTTCTCAAATATCGTCGTTTTACTATTTGCATCCTTACTATTTTTTTCCTGAGTCCGAATCGTTTCCTTACTATAAACAGGGAACTATGTGGACTACAAATAGGGAAAAATATACTAGTACATTCTATAAATAAATCAAAACATCAGCGATATACATATATTTTTTTTAAAACACTTTTGCCCACTTTTCGTAAAAGAATTTCTTAGTTTTGTATTTTATACAACTTTTGTGATGTTTGATATCAACATATAATAGATTCGATGACTCGGTAAAAAATTGATTAGCATTTTTTTTTTTGCTAACTAATAATTAAATTATGTAATCTCTTAATATTCCGTTTCAAAGAGAGAATATTTGATGGATTGTTGCTTCCTTCTTCAAGCCTTGCCTCTTCTCGAACATGGCGATGAACTGCCGGAATGTAACCAGAAACTGGAATGCTCATCTCCGTTGAAGCAATTTCATCACTAAACCAGATTAAAGTATGTTTTCGATTTAACAATTTCCTGTACATAAAAAATTTACATAAAATATGAAGCTGGATGTCGTGAAAAAAGAGAGAAGAAGAAGATGATGATGAACGTGTAATGATTGTTTTGCTCGAAAAAATAACTATGTGGATGCAAAAATGTACAACGTTGCAACGAACACCATGCGGTGCCTGCTCCACTATCAATCTCTAAGTGACTAAGTGGACCTCCCATAGCTAGGTCGGTCATGCCTCTAATTAGAAAGAAAAATAAACTTTAAAAGTTTTTTTTTTTCCAGTTACACCTATAGCCAATTCGCACAGCTAGTGGTTGTTTTGGAAATAACGTGCTGATTAAGGTTGTCGTCATTGGTATGTTTTAATTATTATCAATATATATTCATAAGGTATGAGTCATAACTCATAACCAATGAAAATATAATGATTAATTACTTCTATATCATTATTGGTGAGTGGACACAACTTTTGACTTGTAGGATTTTCACTACCATATGCTCAGGATCGAACGCCTATAAATACCTTCAGGCTTCAACGTATGGTATCATATTCATCAAGAGCACTACTAAAGTACTTAGGATTGAAACAAAGGAAAAGAGAAAGAATAGCCAAACCCAAAATAACTATGTCTGTGAGTAACTCATCATCACTTGTTCTAATCACTTTGATATTGGCCACGTCGTGCCTAGTCTCCGAGAGCCGTGTTGCAAGAAAAGACTTGGGTATAGACCTTGGCGGGATAGGGATCGGTACTGGCATCGGCATCGGCATAGGCGTTGGTGGAGGTGGATCCGGATCCGGTGCTGGTGCCGGGTCTGGATCCGGAGGAGGAGGAGGATCAAGCTCTTCTTCCTCATCTAGCTCCAGTTCTTCTTCGAGCTCTGGTGGTGGTGGAGGCGACGCGGGATCAGAAGCTGGATCATACGCGGGGTCACATGCCGGGTCTGGTTCGGGTGACGTTCCGGGTCAGCCGTAGAAGAGGAGGTGGAGGAGGAGGAGGTCACGGTGGAGGAGGTGGAGGAGGAGGGGGTCGTGGTGGAGGAGGTGGATCCGGTAACGGAGGAGGGTACGGTGAAGGCGGTGGATATGGAGGAGGATACGGTGGTGGCGACGACTAAATGTGTAATATCGCATGCATGCATGTGTTTTACGTAATAATTATGAGTATGTTTATTTTCAAAAAAATTGCTTCGGAAAATAATAGCCTAAAGTGGGTGAGTAAAGGAGATGGAAAAAGCTTCGAAATTGTATGGTTAATTATGTATTCTTCCATATTCAAAATAGATTATTGGTGTTTGTAGATGTGTTTACTTATGTACTATATACTTCCAATTATAATAGTTAAGAATTTGTATACGATGTAGTGTTTTTTTTTTTTGGTTTTAATACGATGTAGTGTTTTTATTCCCTGGTACGTTTATATTTTATTTTTTAATAAACATTTGCCGGCACGTTTCTAATTTCTTTGTTCTTCTCAGTTTTTCGCTAGTATCAAATACCTAACGATGAAATGGAAAGTTTGACTCATCGTTCAGCCAAATAAAAAACACATAAAGTCGTCAACCAAACAAAATTTAGAACGATCGACTCTATGTCATCAACAATTCAGATCTGTTTGTCTTTGAGAATTCGATTAGCATTTTTTTGTCATGTTACGTTTACATTCAATATAAGTAATATGTAATAACATATGTATATGTCTACAACAGACAGGTTTACTTTTACAAAATTGACAAATACTATGTAAACTGTATCTGGAATAATTATGACAAACGAGCCAATCCGCACCATTCAAAATATAGAGATGTATTCTCTATAACTCTTCCGATCACTTCAGAACACCTCTTACAAATTGGGTTTAAACTTTAACCTAAGATTTAGATGTCGTTTATCATTAATGAATTTACCCCTAAAAAAATGTGTTTGTATTGATTTAGATTTACAAAATTTAACATCCGACGTCACACAAAAAGTTAAGAAGACAGCACTTAAGAGTATCATTATCGTAATTAGAACTATAAAATAGCATTTATTGATTTCAGTAATATGCTTTAATACAAAAAGAGTGAATAATTAATTTCGTCTTAAGAAAAAATAAATTCAATCATTTATATATATATATATATATTATGTATATATGTTATATTCTATATGACGGGTGAACATTATGGGTCATTCATAGTAACAAAAACACAATGTGAACGAATAATTTTTTTTTAACGGATAATATTTTTTTTGAATGGATAATTTTTTTTTTGAATGGATAATTTTTTTTTTGAATGGATAATTTCGATCTTTCGCGAAACAATGATTTAAGCACGTGTAAGAGGTAGTAATACTTCATAGTGGAACAATAGATTAGTGACCATTAGAATGTATATGGGTGGCTAGTTTCAGCGTGTATAAACCACTACCACTGTCTTCCACTTAACTTAGTGACTCTGGTGGTTGGCAGCAGCAAAAGATTAATGCACACATCACCTGCATCCACATTTTTAAAAAAAAAGATGCACTAACCATTTCTCATCTTATCCTTAAATTTTTGTTTAAGTCATGAGATAATAATCTTATTATGCATTTTGGATGATCATATATAGTACGACTTGTGTGATTCATAATTTGCGGGTTGATAGAAAACTGTGACATATATATACTGACGTAATGAGATTTCTAATGCTAAACCCTTTTCTTAAACGTGGGATATGTGAAACCGCAAGTTTTATCTTTAAACGTTTTGTTTCTACCTCACCGGTGGTTTTTTAAAAAACCTCCTCAAATCAACATGGGTTAAGCTACAATTTTGTTATTGTTATTTACATAATTTTCAATTTTTTTTTTTTTTGATAAACCCTATCAGCTGATCCGGTCGGCTCCGGTAGGAACGCACCGAAGTGCTATAGTGTGGATTTCTTTTTGGTTCAACGGTTCAACGGACACCATGAGTTTCGAGCGAACTCGAGTCAACGGGCCATGAGATCCATGAGATCCAAATGGGTCACCACACTACCTGTCCCGAGTTTGAAATGCCTTCCAACTAATGACAAGGGGTAACCAGATCGCCTGTTACTGGATTACCATGTAAACTGCTTGGACCTTTGGCCGAAACCCAGACTTCCCACATAATTGTGTTTTTTATTTCCAGGGAGGATCGAACCTGGGTAATTTTCAATTCTTCACATCCCGAAATACAATTTTATCATGCATTTTGCATATTGCCAATCTTTTTTTTTTGTCAACGCATATCGCCAATCATGTGTTCAATTAGTATTCATGCTCTCTAAAATGACAAAGTATGAGTAAACTATGACAAACATAGAATAAAATGATAAAACGTGGTTGAACTGAATTTAGTGATATACACGTAACGGCTCACTCTACTATCCCAAAGCTTCTATAAATACTCGAACAAGAGATTCTCTCGTACGTATCTAATTTAGTTACAAAATAAACTCAAACACATCGATCGGCAAATCTTTACGCGCTAAGAAATACCAAAATGGCTAGGGTCCAAGGTCTAGTTCTTCTTGGTTTATTAGTTATTTCAAGTTTGGTTATGTTAACCGAGAGCCGAGTCGCACGAAAAGACTTGGGGCTTGACCTAGGTGGGATTGGAGTAGGTCTGGGCGTTGGATTGGGGATTGGTCTTGGCGGCGGATCGGGCTCGGGTGCTGGTGCAGGCGCAGGTTCTGGTTCAGGTTCCAGATCATCATCTAGCTCAAGCTCTAGCTCGTCATCAAGTTCGAGTTCTCGTGGTTCCGGTGGATCAGAAGCCGGTTCATCTGCTGGTTCATTTGCCGGATCCAGAGCTGGATCCGGATCTGGTAACTGATTATATATAAAGTACAATTTTAAACGTGTGAAACTAAAAGTATGTTTACGTTGTTGGTTTGTCGTAATTAATATCGTGTGTAAGAAATTTGATGAATAAATTGTTGCCAAAAGTTATGTTTTGTTTTGGGTGTACGTGTCCTAGTGTCTATTTCACTATGAGTCGAAATTTTTATATCCGGTTAAGAATGTTTCCTTGGTCGGCTGTATATATGATCTCTTTATATCCAAACCAGAGCATGTGCAATCGTAAACTGGTAATTCGAATCTGAGAACAATCCCCAAGAAAGAAAACAATTTTCTATCGACAAATCTATTAAATTCTAGGTTGCATCAGGGGTGTTCAATTTGGCAAAACCTATCCAAACCAAACCGAACCAGTCAACCTAAAATAGAGTAGTTTAATGTGGTTCAATTTCTGTTATGTTATACTAACCGTATAGACATCAGTTTCTAAAAAGCCGTATCATACGTATATGATTCATAATCTTTAAACTACAATTGGATTGACGTACGTCCCTAAAAACCGAGACTCATAAATTGATGGTTCATAATTGCTACCAACAAAATTAATAACTACACTAATTAATAAAAGTGAAACTAGCAAACAAATGAAGAATGCGGATAAATTTTGCGACTTCACGTAAGGGAGCACCATAGATACTCATGGTGATGAGGACTAACGAGTCCGAACCAAACTGAGGGTGTCAATCCCCTTTCAATGAGACAAAGTGCGAGAGGCTCACCGTCCAAATTATCGGGTTTTAGTTTTTTTTTTTTTTTGTGTGCTAAAAAACGTTTTTTAGTTATTAATTTTTGTAATTAAAATAACCAATTTTTCGTAAAATACAACTCAACACGTTCCAAAACTTACGTAAAATCTACTGTCAATGGATAATAGTCTTTGTTAATTATTGTATAATTTAAAACTTACGTAAAATAAATGAAGCAAGGCACAGGATTTTTTTTACTCTTAACAAAAAAAATGATTAGGAATTTTTTTTCGATCAATAAAATTCCAATGAAGCAATGCATATGATTTTAGCATGGAAGCTTCACGACAAAGACTCCAACAACGATTAACTAGTGCTATGTATTTTTTCCCCCCGATAACTTTTTTTGTTTCCAACGTTTTTGTCGAGAGCTGTAGCCTGTAGTGCTATGTATGTAGTACTAAAAATTTGGTAGACCTAATGCTTACTCCATTATTTTTTAATATCTATATATATAAATAATTTGTAATCAAGCAGGATCGCACAAATCTTTTCTTGCTCAAATACACAATCTTAGTTTGGAAACAAAGAATCTTCCCCATTAAAACAACAAAAATAATGAAAGAAATATGAAATATGAAATAATCAGAGACGACATTTCATGTACAGAAAAAAAAACAACAAATTATTCTAATACTAATTCACGCAATTGTAAGATGATCTGACCAAATATTAACTATTTTTTAACAAACGAGTATGAACCTGTTTTTGGCGATAGTCCCATTTTCTTTTGTTTGACGTCAGCGATAGTTCGACTGGTTTATGTTTTGGAATGAATTAATCTGTTTTTAAAAATATAGGAACATGAAACTACACCGCCCACTTTTAAAAAAATAAGGAAACCTGTATCCTTATCAAAAAATATTTTGGTCAACATATTCCTATCAATTTTTTCACGCATTAACATGATATAATGACCAAATATTACCCTCTTTTTGTTTGGTCGGCAGCATGCTACATGAATCTTTTTCTTTGGGATAGTATGATTTTTTTTTTGAACTAAATATGTAATCTTTTTAGAAAACAATCTAGAATAGCATGAAATTTCGAATATATCAAAATATAGTTGTAAAAAAAAAACACAACCAAAGCACCGTCCAAGATACCGAGTATCACCGGTACTTGCAAGGTCTCGACACACTAAAGTATCTCCCGATTATCCCGGTTTTCCGGTAAGAGGTGGCCCATCCCTTCTCTTTTATGGTGAAACCGTGACTTGGGGAAGCGGTAATGTTAGAGATACGTGGAAACGGCACGCAGTTTTCAAATGTCATTCTTTCATCGCTTTCCCAAAACAGCCAATGGTGAATGCTGTGGTCCGCACGTCCTCTCTGCATTATCCTGTTTGAAAATTTACATTTTCTTTATTTTTTCACGCAAATTAAAAACAAGAAAAAGTACTGTTTCATTTAGTATTAAAAGTTAAATCAAGATATTATTAATGCACTAACACGTCTTTTTGCTGAAATTGACCCAGGGCTGGCCAGTTGCAGTCGGCAAAATCATACGGAGAGCACTGATTAGTACTCATAAATTACTTTGCTTATTAAGTAATTACACATATCGAAACAACTTTCTATTCTGGTCTTTTGCTATCTGAAACTCGAAGCCACAATAAGCCTTTTTTAATTTACGATGTTAAATATATTAAAGAAAAAAAATCATTTTTACAGCTAGTGCAACTATTCTTTAAAATTTTGATAAGGACTTTCATCAAAAATGAAACAGCAGAGAATAAAAAAAAAAAGAATAGTTTTGCTTGCTTGAAAAAATGCTTCCATTCCATTTTCATATCGATTATCTTCTGCAGTTCGGATAGAAGACAATCAATTTCTGATTTGCTTGTCAATGTTTTGAGTCACTTGCTGAGCTAACTTTGCTGGTTCACCATGTTGGCCCAGTGCACTGTAGCACAGTGGTTAATTTCAAAACTCAGTTGGCATAAAGTTTCTACTATCTTTAAAGCCATGCACATTGCTCTAAATGCATTCACCATTTCATATCACAAGATTTACAACTTATGGAGTATTATAAGTTTTACGAATTGGATACATTATTAAATTGTAAGTATCACCGATTGATAAAGTTTATAATGCTAATGTGGATTGAAGATTAAAAAGATACTTTTATCCACGGATCACGCCTTGCGATCCGGACTTTGATATATTAGAGAATCCTAAAAACAAACCACACCCAAATGACATAAGCATGTGGTGTTTACAAGTTTAAGAAAACATTAGTAGTAAGTCGGTTGCACGTTCTTGATTTCAAATTCTTAAATGTCATTGGTGAGAGATAGCATGTGTTAATTGTTGAATTAGTGAAATTGATGATTTAATAGCTAAAAGACTTGTAGTCTCATTCGCATTAAGTATGTGTTGTAAATTAAATTGTCTAAATGTAAATTTTAAATCATATTGCTGTAAAAGAAAAACTGGATACGGTTATTTTGTTATAAAACAAAACTGTCGAATCACATAAATTTTATTATACTCGACTAGCTATGTAAGCACGACTGCCCTAACGATACTAAAGAAAACTGAATTAACTAAATACGTATCCACGTAATTTTTTGTGTAGCAAACCAAACAAGTCATCATTGACCATTAGTATACAAGCAAGAGATAAGAACATGGCGTAATTAATACCATCTCCTTGTCATTAAAAAAACAAATGGAGTCATAATTTTGTCGACTCGATATCCAAAATCTTAAGTGAATTCTTTCACATTTAGTTAGGCTTTTAGAATATCCAAACAAAACTCACAAGTATTATATAGTTTACTGATCGACACACTTTTTACCTTTAAACCAGAAAACGCTATGAAATTGAATATTTTTGTTCTATATAGTTAGGACACTCAACGCTATAAAATTGGTTCAGGTTAATCCACCAAAATCCTCACTAATTTGAACAGGGCATAGTCGATGTAATAAGATTGCTGCTTATAACCCACACTTAAGTGATCATTTTTCAAGTTCACAAAAAGTACTTCCTGTCAATTTATTATTCTCTTTTCTTGTAAGTTTGACTCTTGATGAAGTTTTTAAAAACTCCTCCGTATATTGCGGTAAATTAGTTGAAAATAGAGATTACGGTAGATTCAACATTTATCCAGAGTTAACTAATAAAAATAAATTTACAAGGGATTTTGTTTTGTTTCTATAAACAAAATTAATTAGGAGTTATAAACAAACGAAAAAATGCCAATCTGGCAATCAGATTAACGCGTCTCCATGCCCCCTACACTTGTATATATGCTTCTCCGTCTCTTCCTCTTCTCCTTGGCAGATTGCTTTGGAAAATACCCCAAAAAAAAAAAAAAATTCCAAAGAAATCTGCATCTGTCTTTTTTTCTTTTCTTTCCTCTAGAATTTATCCCAATTTTTTTTTTGTTTTAATATTTTCAATTCCTCATTCGATAAATTTTCTGGAGGAAATTTAGGAGAAAAAAAGATTTGTAAAGAGTGATGCCTTCGATAGAAGATGAGCTGTTTCCGTCAACGCCGGGAAAATTCAAAATCGACCGGTCAAACCGGCAGCTCCACCGTTGTTTCGCGTCGACGAGCACCATGTTCCTCTGGGCTCTCTTCCTCATCGCTCTCACCGCTTCCTACCTTAGTTTCCAGAGCTTCGTCGATTCCGGCAGCCGCTACCTAACCGCCTCCTGGGGCGGTATCCAGTGGGAAAAACAAGTCCGTACCTCCGCTCAGATCCACCGCTCCGGCGGTATCTCCGTCCTCGTCACCGGCGCTACCGGATTCGTCGGCAGCCACGTGTCACTCGCTCTCAGGAAACGCGGCGACGGCGTCGTCGGCCTCGACAATTTCAACAACTACTACGATCCTTCCCTCAAACGCGCGAGGAGATCTCTCCTCTCTTCCCGAGGGATCTTCGTCGTCGAAGGAGATCTCAACGACGCCAAGCTATTAGCCAAGCTCTTCGACGTCGTCGCCTTCACGCACGTGATGCATCTCGCCGCTCAAGCCGGAGTTCGATACGCATTGGAGAATCCTCAATCCTACGTCCACAGCAACATCGCCGGACTTGTTAACCTCCTCGAGATCTGCAAATCGGCGAATCCTCAGCCGGCGATCGTCTGGGCTTCCTCCAGCTCCGTCTACGGCCTCAACGAGAAAGTTCCTTTCTCCGAATCTGACCGGACCGATCAGCCGGCGAGTCTCTACGCAGCGACGAAGAAAGCCGGCGAGGAAATTACCCACACTTATAACCATATTTACGGTCTTGCCATTACCGGTTTAAGGTTCTTCACGGTTTACGGGCCTTGGGGCAGACCGGATATGGCCTACTTCTCCTTCACCAGAAACATCCTCCAAGGGAAACCGATCACGATATACCGGGGCAAAAACCGGGTCGATTTAGCCCGGGATTTTACTTACATCGACGATATAGTCAAAGGATGTTTAGGGTCGCTGGATTCGTCGGGTAAGAGTACCGGGTCGGGTGGGAAGAAACGTGGAGCAGCACCGTACCGGATCTTTAACCTGGGGAACACGTCTCCGGTAACGGTGCCGATTCTGGTGGATATATTGGAGAAGCATCTCAAGGTCAAAGCAAAGAGGAACTTCGTGGAGATGCCTGGAAACGGCGACGTTCCGTTCACGCACGCGAATATTAGCTCCGCCCGAAACGAATTCGGGTATAAACCGACAACCGATTTGGAAACCGGGTTGAAAAAGTTCGTTAGATGGTATCTTTCTTATTACGGATACATACTAAAGCCAAGCTTGTACATTAACGGTGATAATTGTTTTTCAAACGAATTAATTTTTTTTTTTTACCTCCCTACATTAATATGATGATTCGTTTCTTACTCTAAGTAGTTTATTTATATTTTGTTTATTTTGGGGAAGAGGAGATATTTACTGGGGTAGGATAATAAAAGAAAATCTAAAATATTCTTTTCTCTTAAGACAATCAAAATATATATAAAAAAAGACAGCGAATAAATCTGGTTTCTATTTCTTAATAAATATACTTGATCTTAGCAAATAATTTCATGCCAAAAGTGTTGTTGGGTTAAACGGATCTTCAGCATCTCTGCAATCAAAATTATAAGATAATTAAGAAAAAAAAAATGGAATATCGAGGACAGCTGGTAGATTGAGACAGCAGAGAAAGTGGGGATTTTTAGTGGCGTGTGGGGTCCATCAGAGCTTATTTATAAAGGTGGAAGAAGACCTAAGATGTACGGTAACCGTTGGATCCGCTGAAGAATTTAATTGTTGCAGTCGTAATCTTACGGTCCAGCTGTGGAGTAGTCATGCCACGTTATCTTCTCCACCGACACTAAAACGAGTGCAAATGATATATAAAAACCATTCAACATTTTTGTATTATTGAAGGTAGCCAAGAAACTAGAAGAAGTGGTGTTTCATCTTTTTTTCTTTCTTGAATGTTAATAAAAGAAGTGGCGTGGAACCTGTTAATATGATTGATTCTTTAGGTTTTGGTTGGTGTAGTCTCTTTGGATTTAAAGCATTCAACATGTAAATAACTCTTTGTTTGTTTGTTGAAGCAAACGAGTTAGCATATATTTGGATAAATATGGTGAGGTCATTGGGTGAAAACGAGTACATAGTTTAAGAATGCTAAATTTGTTAATTTAGTTGATAGAACTTACAAGGCCAAAACAGAATATTAAATGCGAGAAAACAAAATTATTTTATAAGAAAAAAATATTATTAGAAAATCTTCTAGCATTTAGATAGAGACCCTTCTGATGTCGGCCAGACGAAGACACTTTGTACCGTTTCTTTGTTTTTGGTTCGTTACGCTCTAACCGTACGTTATTGCAGATAGATAATGATGCATATGCGGTCAAAGCAAAAAACCGGGAATACTTTGATAGTTCGTAATTTATACGGTGGAGATCTGATTTGGTGACCGAAATCCTAATTAAACTGCTACTTTATGGGTTCTTATATTGTTATCTATTTGAGTTTTTTTTTTTGTTGAAATTTATTGTTTGAAAGGGTCTCGATCCTGGTATATTACATGGAAACAGTGAAAAGCTGTTGTAACAGATTACATTTGTTAAAGTACTAGATTTTAGAAGAAAACAGCATTGTACAATGCCTCCTTACGTTGAAAAAAGTATTTCATGCATAATTGTTACTTTATTGCATTGCTGTGGTTTTAACATTGTGTTGTATCATTTTTTTTTTCTTTCTTTGACGAGGTGTTGTGTCATTCTTGCTATATTCGTCTCCTGCTATCTTTTGCACAAAAGTTCATGTACCATTGTTTACGTACAAACGGTACAAGACTATTCCATATGTCTATAAGACTATACCTATTAGATCAATCTTTGTTCTACTTAATTTTACATTCTCGTAGTAATACTGATGAAAGACTTTACTTTATATATAGGAATGTCGAGATTGTACCAAACGAAGCATCTAAAAGGAAAAGTTCTGATGTGTGTAACGTCCGATCGTTCCATTTCCAATCACTTGAGAGAAAATTGCGCATTAGGAACACTCGCCAACGATTAGCTGGTTGAGATCTTTCATACACCAAGTTGCATGACACTGTGTCGATACCACTTACAAAATCGTTTGAAATACTTCGAATTACATTATTTGTAATATCAATATTTTGAAAACTACTCGTAATAATATTCATGAATTGGTATCCCAAATCATTACACATACTAAAAAAAAAAACTTACTACAATAAAATTGATGTATACTCCTTTTTATGAATAGGAGTATATTTAGATATTGGAACTTGTTCAAAGAAAAATAGATATTGAAAAACTAATTAAAACTTGCTAGTTGCTATAAATAGTTTTATTTGTTTATTTTCTTTTTAATAGCGTTTTGTATGTACGTACATCCTCGTAGTTTAGTATTCCTACGAGGCAGTTTAGGGAAGATTGCAAAGATATCAGTAATTTATTTGTGCATACTTTGCAAAAATAAAAAGAAAAATTTAAACCGCTAATCAAAAGTGTATATATATATATATATATATATATATATTTTAAATGAAAATGATATTGTAGTTAATAATTATTTAATCTTTTTACGGTGTAACTTTCATTGTTATATATTTTAAGTAAATAAAACATAATTAGTCAGATTTCTATTTTGAAACTGAAACAAACCTCTGAAGAAGAAGAAACATCAGGTATGCTATAGTCATATAAGGCAAAACGAAATCTCTCAGAAAATCTCTTCACCTCCTCTACGCGTTTCACTTGTGACTATATAAATCCTTCTCCCTAATCAAAACCATTTCGATCCAAATTTTCGTTTTTTTCTTGCTGATTCCATCGATTCTTCTTCATCCATTAGTTAATCATCTCTCAGTCGTTACACCATGGCTCGTTGCAGTAACAGCCTCGTAGGAATACTAAACTTCCTCGTCTTCCTCCTCTCGATTCCGATTCTCGCCGGAGGAATCTGGCTCAGCCTTAATGCCACGACGCAGTGCGAGAGATTCCTCGACAAACCAATGATCGCTCTCGGCGTTTTCCTCATGATTGTAGCGATCGCAGGAGTCGTCGGATCTTGCTGCAGAGTGACGTGGCTCCTCTGGTTCTACCTCTTCGTGATGTTCTTCTTGATCCTCATCGTCCTCTGTTTCACCATCTTCGCGTTCGTCGTCACTAGTAAAGGCTCCGGCGAAACTATCCCTGGAAAGGCTTATAAGGAGTATAGGCTCGAGGCTTACTCCGATTGGTTGCAGAAGCATGTGAACAACGGTAAGCATTGGAACAACATTAGAAGCTGTCTTTACGAGAACAAGTTCTGTGCTCGCTTGGAGTTTTTCTCGGGACGTGTCCCTGTTTCTGCCTTCTATAAAAAGGATCTCACTGCTCTTGAGGTGACCAATTTTGAAACTCATTTTACGCGAATTTGAATTAAATACCGTGAACCGCAAGGTTAGATTTCAAGAGATAGGTAAAAAAGTTCTCCTTTTTAGGGTTTAAGTTCTGACCCTAGAAAAGCTAAATCTAAGATTGAATTTTGATTGTTTGTGTTTACAGTATTGAGGTAACAATTCTGAGTAGTTTTAGGCCATTCAAAGATTAAAACTTTGCGACAATATAAGCTCAAATTCAGAATCTGAATCATTAGGTTTTAATTAGGGGTTTAGGCCTGACCTTTTTCGATTGCATCATGTTTTTCTAAAATTCCAAAGCAATAGATTTCATTTCTCCTTTCATAATCTCTATAAAAAATCTAAAACTAGTAAAAGAAATCACTATGGCTCCCTTGTTACAATGTATCAAAATCTTGATTCTACTTCTATGATTGATTCTTGATAGTTTATGTTTCTGTTTTTTTTTTTTTTTTTGTTTACAGTCTGGTTGCTGCAAGCCCTCTAATGACTGTAACTTCATCTACATAAGCCCAACGACATGGAACAAAACAGGAGGAACACATAAAAACCCAGATTGCCAACTTTGGGACAGCGACATCGATAAGCTCTGCTACAATTGCCAAGCCTGCAAGGCTGGTTTTCTCAACAACCTCAAGAGCTCATGGAAAAGAGTTGCTATTGTCAACATCATCTTCCTTGTTATCCTCATTATCGTCTACGCTATAGGATGTTGCGCCGTCAAGAACAACAAGAGAGAAGACAATTATGCCCGTTCCAATGGAATCTAGGATTACTTAGAGCGTGTTTGTTTGATTCAAGCTACAATTTAGTTTTTAAGTAATAAAAAAATCATTTCAAATTTATTAGAGTAAACATCTTTCGAAATTCTAGAAATAGAAGAATGAAGGAATCTTAAATCAGTTTAGTTGTTGCTGTATTTGGATTTCTTCAATTGATTTGTTTCTTGGCAGAAGAGGATCCTTCAGATCTCTGTTAGAGATTGTTGTGTTTGAAGAATCTTCTATATGAATCTTCACTTCTGAGTTGTTTTTATTGTTTCTCTGTTGTTGATTCATCATGACATCTTTTGCTTTACCCCAGAGCACAGTGTAAAGTCCCATTATCACACCTATTCCTCCGATTAAACTATTCCAAAAAGAGCAAAAAAAAGATAAAAACAGATTATGTTTATGAATTGTAGTTAGTTATCTGTAGTTGTTTATTTTCTTAATTTTTACCTTCCAGTGTAAATCTCTTCTTGGAAGAACAGAGCAGCCAAGATTGTGACAATGACTGTACAGAGAGGATTAAACAAGGCAGAGAACACAGGACCTCTCTTCGATATAGCCCAAGCTTGGACCGTAAAGGAAAGTGCCGACGCTCCAACTCCCTAACAAATGCATTTCATGATTAGAGTTTATGCTAATCTTTGGATTTATCTGACTGCCAAAGAAAGAAAGAAAAAAAAAAACAGAGTAATGTTTTCTCAAAAATGATTTATTTGCGTACTGCGTAGAGACAGGTTGCAAACTCAGAGTAGGAATGGAGAATCCAAGCGTTAGGGTCTTTCTCAAGGAAGAAAGTGACGACCGCACATTGTATCGTACCGAATAAACACATCCATGCTGATAAAGAGAGGTGATCTGGGTAATAGGCAGATATTGGAACCTAGAGTTTTGTTGGGAAAACATTAGCTTTTCTTCTACGGCAAGAAACTTTAAATGTTTATGATCTTTGATTTGTTCAATGAAGTAAATTTACCTGAAGTGTAAGCCAAAAGGACCAGCAAAGGGTGCTAGAGAACAAGAACAAACAACCAAACAGCCACAAGTTCTGGTCTTCTGAACCACCTAATACCGATTTAGCGATCGGTAAAACGGATTCTGAGTTAAGAATTTTTGGCCCACGAAGCAGAGTCATGGAGATCGCTCCTCCTACACAGAGGATCGTCCCTGCAATCTTTGCTAAGCCTCTTATATCCCGGAGATTCACTTTCTCGTATCTAAAGATCAGCAATGATTAGTAACACATGAATACATGATCAAACCTATTTCACAGATTTCATAAAAAGGAATATGTCTGTATATACCCGACGAGAAATGAGATGAGGAAGGTGATTGCAGGGATGATGTTACCCACGGCACTTCCCATCGAAGATGAAGCTAAGTAAAGACCTTCAAGATACAGATTTTGATTGATTGTAATGCTGCTCCAAGAAAAGAAAAAGAGAATAAGCAAAATGATCCAAGATTCATCAGATTGGAGTTCTTTAAAAATAAAAAGCTGAAATATATTTGTGAATAGATATAATACATATACACTTAATTACCCTACAAGCGAGACCAAGAATATTAGAGAGAAGCTCTTCAGATCCAAAGAAGATATCTTCGATTTTTTCCTACATGCAATCCAAAAACCAAAAACAAAAGATACATAGAAATTAGCAAGAACTAGTTACAAAATTCATATCCGTAGAGAGAGGGAGAGAGATGGATTTTTAAATTACCTTGAGAAGTAGAGAAATGGGAAGATGAAAATGGTTGCAAAGGCTTGCCTGTAGAAAATAAAAACCCGAGGGCTTAAGCCATTAACCAAAGTAGCTCTCGCGGAAAGAGTCACCCCTGCGTAACACACTTGAATCCCCGTCATAGCCATTACAGGCTTGTACTCCTCTAACTTCCCCATCTCTCCTCTCTCTCTCTGTCTCTCTTCTCTCTCCTCGTAAAAATCTTTCTCTTTCTTTCTCTCTTCTCTCTGTATGTTTATGTCAAGTGTAGTAGTAGTATATATTGCTATGACGATCTTGTTATATAAACTATTATAAATCATCTCAATAATACACTGTATGCTAAAAGAATAATAGTTTCCAAAACGATTCGCTTGGACTACACGTACTTCGTTGTCGTCTTGTGGTTTCAAATTTTCGTGTTGTCTTTTCTTTGAAGTTGGATGTATTCTATACATCGTATCATATCATCTACTGTTTTTTTGGAGTGAACACATCCTTTAAGTTATGCTAAACCATTTCACATACTTTTTGTTTTGTGTTAAATCGTGTTTAAAATCTAGATTGTGCAAAAATATAATTTTACTTTGAAAAGATAGTCGAATTTTTGTTGGGAGACTGACTGAAATCGAGAGAACTGGATATTGACGGACAAAATGATTAACCAAAATTTCAATATTTTAGTTTATAAAAATTAGTTTTTATTTTGTAATTTTTTAATGATTAAAAGGTTCTGGACCAAGACACATACATCTCTCAATTAGACTTAGGACCAAAGCATGCAATATGGCTTGGTATAAGATATTATTTATATTTTCAGTTTTAATTTAAAAAATTAAGATTAACTATACATCATTTTGTTTTAATACCACTCACATTTGTTAATCAATCATATGTGGCTACTTGAAACTGTCTATAGACCATTCAACAAAACTTTAGATATTTTTGTTGGTTAATTTAAACTATATTAAAATGGCATTTTCCTAATGTTTTTTATCAGCTGGCACCATGTTAAACCTTAACCTTTTTTCCCTTGTTAAATTAAACCTTAGATCTCAGTACAAGAGATCTGATCATCTAACATGCCAGCTCTTTCCAGACTTGGTATTGTCTTATTGCAGACGAGTGAGGCCATGAGTATGACTACTGTTTTTTAATTGTTTTTGTTTGATCAATTGTTAAAGTTTTACCAAATTGCATGCACTTATTTAATTAATACTATATAATAAAAATATATGCTTTTGTCAACATCATCTAACATCTTCCTTGTAATGCTCATTGTTGTTAACCGTCCTAGTGGATTCTACAACCCTTTGATTTCGCCTGTTTTAATTGACAAGTTCATAATGATAGTGTGCTCTTATGTCAGCTTGACTTCATTTTTTTTTCAGTATAGTAAATCGCTTAATTTATGTTTATTAGAGCAGTTACATCTTTCAAAATATTGAGAACTAACAGACGAAATGAAAGAATCTTGAATCAGTTTACTTGTTACTGCGTTTGGATTTCTTCTGTTAACTTGTGTTTAGACAGAAGAGGGTTCTTCAGATCTCTGTTAGAGATTGTTGTGTTTAAAGAATCTTCTATATGAATCTTCACTTCTGAATTCTTAGTATTGTCTATCTGTTCTAGAATCATCACATCTTTGGCTTTACCCAGAGCACAGTGTATAGTCCCATTATCACACAGAATCCTCCGATTAAACTAATTCAAAAGATCAAAAGATATAAAATGATGTTTTTTAATTGTAGTTATCTTATGTTTATAGGAAAATAGTTTTTTTGCTTACCTTCCGGTGAACATCTCTTCTTGGAGGAACAGAAAAGCCAAGATTGTGACAATGACTGTACATAGAGGGTTAAACATTGCAGAGAACAAAGGACCTCTCTTCGATATAGCCCAGGATTGGACCGTAAAAGAAAGCGCCGAAGCCACAACTCCCTAATTAATTGAAATTCAAAATTAGGCTTATGCTAATATTTTGGAAGAAAAGACCGAATCAAAACAGGGGAATATTTATGTGCTTACTGCGTAGAGACAGGTCGCGAACTCGGAGTAGGAATGAAAAATCCAAGCATTAGGTTCTTTCTCAAGGAATAAAGTGACGACTGCACACTGTATCGTTCCGAATAAACACATCCACGCTGATAAAGATAGGTGGTCTGGGTAATAAGTGGAGATTGGGACCTAGGGTTTTGTTGAAAACTTAGATTTTCTTGCAAGGCAAGTAACGATATAAGATCTTTGATTCACTGAAGTTTACCTGAAGTATAAGCCAACAGGACCAGCAGAGATTGCTAGAGAACATGAACAAACAGCCGAACAGCCACAGTTTCTGGTCTTTAAAGTCTCCTAGTAATGATTCCGCGATCGGTAAAGCGGATTCAGAGTTGAGAATTTTTGGCCCACGAAGCAGAGTCATGGAGATCGCTCCTGCTACACAGAGGATGGTCCCTGCTATCTTTGCTAAGCCTCTTATATTCCGGATATTCACCTTCTCGTATCTAAAGTTCAGTAATATAATTGGTTAAACATGATCAAACCTATTTTCACCAATTTCATATAAAGATATATGTACAATATATACCCGGTTAAAAAGGAGATGAGGAAGGTCATTGCAGGGTTGATGTTACCCATGGCACTTCCCATCGAGGATGAAACTAAGTAAACAGCTTCAAAATACAGATTTTGATTGATTGTAATTCTGCAACAACAAATAAAGAAAGGCAAAAATGGTCCAAGATTCATCAAATTAGAGTTCTTAAGAAATAAATCAATAATATATTTGTCATATATATGAGGCTTGATTACCCTATATAAGCGAGCAAGAATATCAAAGAAAAGCTCTTTAGATCCAAAGAAGGTATCTCTGATTTTCTCCTACAAAAAGAAAAAAAAAACATAAGAATATTAAGCAAGAACTAATTACAAGTTCATATACATTAATACATATATATGGAGAGAGAGAGAGAGAGAGAGAGAGAGAGAGAGAGAGAGAGAGAGAGAGAGAGAGAGAGAGAGAGATGTGATCTTAATTACCTTGAGAAGTAGAGAAATGGGAAGATGAAAATGGTTGCAAAGGCTTGCCTGTAGAGTATAAAAACTCGAGGGCTTAATCCATTAACCAAAGTTGCTCTTGCGGAAAGAGTCACTCCTGCGTAACACACTTGCAGCCCTGTCATCGCCATCACCGGCTTGTACTCCTCTAACTTCCCCATCTCTCTCTCTCTCTAAATATGTTATGTATAGTAGTAGTGTATATATTAGTAGGAGTCTAGGACGATCTTGTTATTTGACTAGAATCATCCCAATGATAGACTATATGATAATTGATAAGAAAATAAGTCATTTTACACATTTCTAATTGAAATGATTGGTGTAAGTAATGCAACGCGCGTATAATGAAGTTTACAAAAGGGAAAATTCCTTATAAAATCATCAACTTAATTTCAATAAGCTTTTTAAATCCTCAACTTTTCGTGTGCCCAAAAAAAAATTTCAAATTTTTTTTCTATTTATTTTAAATCCTCAATTATTATCCGTGTGATCATTTTACTTCAATATGATTTGGGGATTTTGCTTCAATTTTGTCGAGATTTAGCTTATATCGAGTTTTATGTTAACCATTATTTAACCACGACGAGTACTGTAGCTAGTTTGTCAACGAGATTCAAATAATGTTTCCATTTTCGTTTAGTATTGTTTCGTATATGCTGTAAATTAATTATACGAATAACAATTGAAGATTTAAAATGGGTAAAAAAAATATTTGAAGGTTTTTTCTGGACACAGGAAAAGTTGATGATTTTAAAAACTCATTGAAATTAAGTTTCGATCCCTTTACAAAACCGATCGAGCGTTTGGTTATGACACTTGTTTGAAAGTAAAATTTCCAGAATGGATAATATAGAATTTTAAAAACATCAATTTTTAGTCTTTGCAAACTGCAAAGTGTAAATATATTTGTATTTTGTAACGCACAGTACGTCAAGAAAATTTAAATATAAAAAAATAAAAAATAAGCATGGTATGGATTAATTTTTAATCGCTAATAATAATCGAATTTGTACAAAATCTATTTTAAAATAATAGAGATAACGTGATTTTTTTTAATTCCTCCCTATACCCATCATTGCAAAAAGAAAGAAATTAATTATTATTTGTATGTAAAACATTTTATAGCATTATAAAACAGTACTCCACAACGTGTTTAATTATTAATTTCAGATACTTACAATCGCAATCCTCTACAAGCACAACCCCTATCTCATTTTGGTGTAATAACCACTAGCATTAATAAGTCTTTTGTGGCTACTTGAAAATGTCTGCACCATTTAAGAGAACAACTGCTTTTTTTTATTGATATAGATTTTATAAATGTGATATTTTCTATTAATGTTTCTATCTGGCACCTTTTTAAAATTTCAAAGTTCTTCTTCTCCAAATTAAACATTAGATTTTAGTACAAGAGATCTGCTTATCTTATTAACATGACAGCTCTTTTTAGACTTGGTCGTGGGATAGTGCAGACGAGTGATATGGAGTTATCAATTATTTCTTGTCTTTTAATAGTATAGATCTGTTTCAAATATAGAAGATAACTCCCAACTAGCCGTTCAAATTTTGTTCTTCTCAACTATCGATTCGTTTTGTTAAATTTGGTAAAATTACTTAAGAACGACACTAATCTCAATTCAATTTGGTCGACGTACGACGTTATATATATAACTCTAAATTTGTGTTTTTTCCTAAAGATATGTGAAGTTGCTAATTCAATGGTGCATTGAGGAATTTGAATTTCGACCTGATCTTAAACTCAGTACATCTCTACAATACCATGCTTCAGAAAGAGAAAAAAAAAAACTTATTAAAGATCCAACATTCTCAAATGCGTGGAAAAATAAAAATCAAAATACACAATGTATATAAAAAAGGACTTGTGAAGTTTGAAGCCTTGATCACTAACCAAAGTTTGCACATGGAAGCAATCAATCGATTAAGCCCATATGAATGGTATGATTACACCATGAAAGCCTATGGTCAGAATATAATATTGTTGACTTTCTAAAACATATGGTACATACAGTTGACTACATGCTTAGGTCATCTATCTTAGATGAATTCGAATTACGATATGTAGTGTAACACAATACATCGATTAGTATACGCCAACATAACATTATATGGTTTATATGTCTATATATATACACGTATTTGTATTTTCGAAGGATAGTGGTTATTCGGAGTTCTACATATTAGCATACTGTATATGCAATTTGCTTATTTCGAATAATTTTAAATGAAACTGAAGCTGATAATATATCGAGACAGACAATACAAATATTTTATCCAGTCTTGTGAGTAACTGTGAGTTTCAAATCAAATTAAAGTCAAAACCAATTAATAATGGTTTATATATCTTTTAAATACTAAGTAATGTTGAATATCTCCATATATTTATTTTTTTTGGAACAACTGAACAAGCGTAAGATATCTTAAATGACTCAAAGTCAAACTTTTTCATTGGCTTCGTTTCCCTAAACGAGAGAAACTTCGTATATGGGAGACACCCAGCTCTCCAATTAATGTCGCTTAACAATTACTCGTACAATTTTAATTCACATTTCAGAATTTTGTTTCGTTGTATCCTAACTCTCTGCTCTAAGGAAACTTGTTTTGACTACATTATTTATCTGTTTGTTCCACTACTACCATTGTACAATTACATATACACAGTGACATTTTAATTCTTATTGTGAGAAACGAACATAAATTTATCGCTTCATAGTAAAGTCTTAACTAAAGTTTTTTCAAAAATCTCCGATAAACAACTAAAGTTAAGTAACTAGGGAGAGAGAGGTATTTACTTTTGTCCTTGGAAGAGTACGGCAGAAGCCAACTAATCTTCCCTTGATTTAAGGGGACAAACATATCATTAAAAGGAGATTGTGTTTGTTGATTTAGATTAGAGCCAAAGCATTATACAATTGTTGTATATTAATCAAAAGAAAAAACAATTACTTTAGTTCGTTAACTTTTGGGCTGTCTCGGTCGTAGATTCGTAGTAGCTATCATGAAACTGAAGCTAATCCACTCATCACCATTCCGTCGGTTCTATCGTTTTAACATCAAATTATTTCACATATATGGCCTACCCTATATATTTGTATGAATATGATAAGATTGGAGGTCGTAAGCAGTAGATCAGGTAAATTTGAATGAAACGAATAGTTGATAGGTAAAATTATATTATTATAATGTTAAAACATACATTAAGAAAGTAAGAGACTAGAACACGATAGATTGATATTGAGGATATATACGCTTAGAGTTACCCTTACATTATATAAAGTAACAAACCTCAATAAGACAACATCCCGGTTTAGAAACACGTGCTCGTCACATGCAACAGCTTTAACATAAATGAAATCCTCTCTTTCCTTTAGAAACTCTCAAACACATTAGCAGCAACAACAACAACAACAAAACTCTTGAACAGATTCAAAATTTCTATAGAGAAACTTCTTAAAAATTCGGATTCAAAAACTATTAACATTATTCGAGTCCGTGTTTAATGCTAATGCTAAACCATGTGTTCTTTACTCGGTATTTTTTAAAAAAAAAAAATTTGTCACATTTCTCTCTTTCTAATGACTGAATCAAATCACAGCCGTCCTTATGTTGAGAGACAAAGCCACCGTTGAAATCAAGTGAGCAAGATAAAAAGAACGAGTAGGTCCCATATTTTCCTGATGGACAAGGGTCCCACCACGAGCACATGCGCTTCTGGTGGACACGAGCGTGCAAGATCGTTGCTCCTTTTACCTTAATGACGTCGTTGAAATAACGATTATTGAGACACAAAGCCGCAAAACATTTCGAAAAAATTGAGTGATATATTTATGTTTTGGTAACAAAGGTCGACAAATATTTAATCAGATAGATGGTGACGACATGAGATGGTGGGCGTGTAGAGTTTGGAGAATGATTGTGGAGATTCCCGTAAATTACGGAAGTCCATCGGAAAATAAATTCTCGCACCAGACGATCCATGTTCGATGTATTTTGTTGAATAGAAAAACTATTTTTAATATTTTTGAATAAAACATTGAACGGAAAATTCTATATTCATTTTTAACGGAAAACTTCTATATTCTATATTCATGTACGTCTGTCTATCCATATCATTATCATCCATGTGTTATAATTCATGTACATCAGTCAGTATCATGCATTTTTCGTTTTCCGAATTTTTTTATGTCCGAAGTAATACTAAAATTTATATTAATTATTAAATTATACCTTCTTTAAATTATTATTGCTTTTCTCTTTCTTTTTTTCAGAACCAGGCTTTCCCAAAGTTTGCGGATCGCCACGTTTTCTCCACTAAAAACCATTGATGTTATTTGTTGTAACTTGTATGAATGTATTAAAAGTTATAGCACAGTTAATGTCGTGACATGCCTTTTTATATTTGATACGTAGTAGAGGGAATGTATCACTATTAGCAAGAAAAATATACTCAACAATTTCACTTGCTTATATATAGGCCGTGGAGCTCTTTTACCGTGACTGCTTGAACATACATTGCATACATTTCATGCTGATAAATATATACATACAATATATGAAATATATGATTTTGAATGGTTACAGGTGAAACAAAAAAAAAAACTCCCCAGGAATGAAGCTACGCAAAATTTGTGATGATATACTTTGGGAAAACTACAAAATTATTCATTCCTGGGGATTACAAATTATCAAAATCCCAAATAGTATATCATCACAAATCCGCAAAATTACAAATTATAAAAAACATCAAAAACGTATATCATCACAAATTTTCGGCGGAAACAAATAATAATCGACAAAAGTTTCCTAAATCATAGGGTAATACAAAAGGGTACGTGGGCCATAGATAGCATGTGCATGCATGTGCTTCTCCTATCTCCTATTGCCCCCACCATTTTCCCTCTCCTTTTGAAACAAATAAAATGGTCCATCTCCTTCTCCTGTCTCTCTCTCCCTTACCTCTCTGTCTATCTCTTTCTCTCTCTCGTCGAATTCACGAATTCTTGAGGTGACCGCAGATTTCCTAGTAGCAATTTTGTGACGACACTCAAACGAAGGAAGAAAACAATTCTATAAAAAGGTAATTTGTTCATGTCTCATTTGGTTATGATAAGGAAACCCTAATTAATCGGAAAACGATCTATATTTGGTTATGATTTGATGTATATTACATGTCTCCCTTTGATGTATACTTTAATTTGATATATAAACGCATCATGATGATTACTTTAATTATTCGAATTAATTTAGTTTTTCTGAAGAGAATTGTTCATCATTTTTGAGTATTTCTACTTGATTAGCGTTTAGGATGCAGCCTACGAGCTCAATGAAGGAAGAATTCTTAAAGAAATGGCAAACGGGTCTTCAGATATTCCGTCCTTCAATAGACAACACCAACGTCACCGAGAGAAAGAAAGCGATAAAGCTCTCTGCAGACGTTGCAATGGCGTCTCTAAGAAAAGGAACAACTTGTTGGAGTCGAGCCCTAATCCAGAAAACCGCCGCTGAAGACAATTTCCTCGTCCGTCAAATGCTCTCTGGCATCAAAGCGGAAACGTTAATCAACAAGAAGTTGCCTAAAAAGACTGTGTGTCATAGAAAGATCGTGAGGCGGAGCAAGAAGATCTTGTTGAGGAGGTCGAGATCAGCGAGCGAAGAGGCCGCAGCAAAAGCTAAGAAGCTTGTTAAGAGACGGACTCAAGGATTAAGAAGCGTCGTCCCCGGTGGAGAGTTTATGAGCAATGACGTCTTGTTGATACAAGAAACCTTAGATTACATTGTCTCGCTTCAGACGCAAGTGAATGTTATGAGGAGTATTGTTGATGCTGCCGAGGCCGGAATTGAACGGTAAATGATTTTTTTTTTTTTTTTGGCGGAGATTATTTGTGAAAGCATGATCTCGATCGTATATTCGTATGGGATCATTTGTTGGTCGATAAGACCGTCTATTATTCGGACATTGCAATTGTATTATGAGGATGGAGAGAATTTTATAGTAACTCGTATTGTACATAAGGAAATTTATATACGCTTGTAGAAAGTCTCTACTTACTTAATGGTGATTTTGATTGAAACATCTTGTTAGCATGTTTTTTTTTTTTTTTTTGTGTTGTTAGGACTGTCGTTCGGTTGCATTTAATATACTATGATATAATTTTAACATATTTTTGTGCTTTCGATTGCTTTTCTTGGCATGTTTTTTTTTTCTTTTTTAAAAGAAAAAGACATTTATATATACTGAAGAAGAAATTGAAAAAGAGCATATAGACAAGTAGAAAAATGTATGGTTCAGTTTTATTAGTTCATATACAACTAAAACATATTTTAAGATGTAACATATATATATAATCAGGTTTGAGCATATGAGTTGTCCACATAAGAAATATATTTGACTTGTTTTGAAAGGATATATTTGACTATCTTTTGGAAAGGATATTAGCCGTGGACAAACTGACAATAGTTTCAATCTCAACTGTAAAAATCAGTCCTTATATTCTCCATGTTCCATCATCAATCAGCATCATTTAATAAGGAAGAAGACGCTTAATGACAATGAGAAAGAAAAAAAAACATACATATTCTCTTATTCTTCAGGTTTCGCTTTTGTTATGTTTTGTTTTGTTTTTTTTAACTAGCCAGATCAATACCTTTTTGATATGAGTCATGCCCCCACCCCACCGATGGTATTAATTTATCCATTTATACGTACATCTATATGCATATGATTCTCAGTTAGATCTTTAAACTCTTATTTACGCAATTCTTTTTATGTTAGATTGAAAACAAGAGTGATATTTTTCTGTTATGTATCCGCATAAACTATGAACACACATATATACATATATAAGATTAATCTAAATATAAGAGTTCTCTATACTGCATTAGAGGATTATTAGAAAAAAAAAATATCCCATTAAATTAAAAAATATGGATGTCCATATCATATTACACATTTTGAGAAACATGTTTATTTCTTCTTAGGCCCAGCCCAGTTAATCATTAACTGGACTATGATGGTCTGTCTAACCGTTGGTCTCTTGTTAACACACACACAAAAAAACAGGCCAGTGAAGAAAAGAGAGACAGCGGGACGTTGCGCATTTCCTTACATATCTTCACTGCTTGAGGAGTAGTGACTTATGTGACTTTCTGTTTTGTAGTAACTGTTGAGGAGAGGAAATTATTAAGTAGATACTAAACGACTGACATTTTAAGTGTTACGGACTAGGACAAAAGTTTTCTAAAAACTATTTGGAAACCTTTAAGTAAAGAGTAAATAAGAACAATGAACTCATGGTTTTACCAAAAAAAAAAAAAAAACAATGAACTCATGGTTCTCATACTTAGTAAAATGTTACAAAAAGGTTTATTTAACACCCAAACTCTTATATATGCAAATGTACCATTTATATAAATTAATATTTTTGATTACGAAGATTCTGGCGTATGGTCCTCGCTAGAAAATATTATATGGCTCAAATGTATGATAATATATGATTTTAAAAACAATATATAGGATATCTCACATATAAAAACCTATTAAAAACCTAAAGAAAGAGACGCCATATAGGCATATAAGGATAATTAACCTACTCTTCTTCTTCTATTTTTCAAAATTGAGTTGAATTAATTTTCACATAACCCAATGTTATAAACTTTAAAAAATTATATGTATGTTGTCACGCAATAAAGACCAAGTGACTAGTGGGCATGTAACCCAACTGCTTCCATGCCCGTTATTAATTCACCAATTAATGCAAAACTTTAGCCATTCAACATTAAAACATATATACGCATATACATATACGCGAACAATGATATAATAACATATCGCACAAGAATCAAGATGTCACCCTTTTGTCGTATGAAGAATTGCCTCAATTCAATGCAACTGTCTTACCACCACACCCACTTCTTATCTAATGCTCCAAAAGAAAGAAAAAAACAAATGAACAAAGAGGAAATCATTCCTTTAAGATTCTTAGAATAATACTCAATTGCAAATTATATGATTAAAATGTTTTACTGTTAAATTTTTTTTTTGAGCTACACATAACCAATCAGATGAATGATTGCTCTGCTGGACGTATTTAGTTATTGCGAGATAAATTTGGTATGGATGTTTAACCTATGAATTTTCCAACAAGGAAAAAATCCTGATTACGAAAAATAATGATAAAATTTGAATTGTACTAACCCTTATAATATAGTAAGAATTAGAGTCGCCATCCAAAAACTTGAACACTAAACTAGTCACATAAATATTTTCTTACGGTTCCTATCATATTATAAATGCTTTGAACTTTGAATCTTTGGCAATTAAGTAGTCTATCTCTAATTCAATTATTCATAACATTAAATCGATAAGTCGTTTTCTGGATAGATGGAAAGCTTAAATCGACTATTAATGGATTGGGCCAAATATTTAAGAGCTGAAAAAGATTTGCAAAAAATAATAAGACGCACCAAAATGTTCTCAAACTATGTCTAACAATTATGTATCTCAACACCACGTTTCTACAATGATTCATCTGTTTTTGCACTTTATGAGGACTTTAACACAAAGAAACAATTGAAAAGAAAAATAATTTTGAAAAGAAAAAAATAAAAATAAAAATATAGAAACTAAAACTAGACATTAGATGCAGAAGAAGAATGAACAACCTTGTTTTGTCTCCCTGCAAGCCAAAGCATAGTCCTCCTAGCAAAAGATGGTGTCTTCGTCTCCAAAGACTCCGAGTTTTCCCCTTTCTGATTCTCTCCTTCGCAACCACTTTCCTTTTTCGCATCCTGAGGATTCCGCTCGTTCGATAACCCAAAAGAAAATGCTCTCCCTGAAGACGACGAAACCAATGAACTATCCTCTTTTCCTTGAACCTTACTATGCTTCTCCTTCTTCCCCCTTAGCCATAATTTCGATACCGAAAAGCTATCTCTTTCGACCACGTTCCTCTCTGTTGCTTCTTCCACGATCCTCATCGATCCGCTGCCATTGAATTTCAATCTCCCCGTTGGATCGAAACCGCATTCGGACATAGCGGTTCTGTGTCCGGGCAAGCGACGGTTCTTGCTTGATACTTTCTTGGTCGAAACATGAACCTTAAGAGCGGTTTCTTCATCCATTATATACTCATATGATCCCATCGAAAAACATCTCCTTTCGTCTATATTGCAGCTATTACTAATGTTGTTGTTGCTATTACTTCCTTCTCCAGTGTCTACGTTCCTATATTTCCCTAGCTTCACTGCAAAAGGAACAATCTTTTCAATAGAACCACCCGACTCACCATCCGGGTATCGAACTCCACGACCCGAATCAATACGGGTCGATCCAAGATCACTGTTTCCGGCAAAACCCAGATGAGAATTGGATCGTGAATGAGCAGAATCGTCAGAATCATTTGCAGCCACACAAGCTGCAGAATCTCTATCTCCACCAATCTCTCTCGAGCTATGATCACTCGCGGACTCGAGAACAAGGAGGAAAGAGGAACGAGGGTCTTGGTGAGAAGAGAGATCGGAGAGGAGGCTGGATCTGCACAAGGGACAAGTAGAGTGAGAGAGAAGCCAAGTGTCGATACAGTCCATGTGAAAGGCGTGGCTGCATTTGGGTAAAAGCCTGAGCTTGTCCTCTGTTTCGAACTCGCAGAGACAAACAGCACAATCGAAAGGGTAATTCTTGAGGCCGATGATGGATTTGTAATGGAAAACTGGTAACGTGTCGATGAAGGATTGGTCCACTCCAGAGTCGTGGAGGTGGAAAAGCTGTTGAAGCTGGCCTTGAAGAGCTGTGACGTTGTCGAAGTAATCTTCTCTGTCTCTGCTCGATGGTGTGAGGAGGAATCTGACTAGGAGATGGAGGAGGCCGGAGATGAAGAAGATGATTGAAAGGATTATGATTATTAAGAGAATGCTTGGGCTGATTTTGCTGTTTAGATCGAAGTTCGAGCTGGATCGGAGAGGTACCTGTGGTGGTCGTGGAAGTGATGAAGGAGAGAGGAAAGTCTGGCTTGTTTTGATTTCTGGGAAAACCCAATTCATATTTTCCCGAGAAAATTTCATGGGTTTGCAAGAAAATTAAGAGGAGGGGTTACTTACAAAGGGTCAAGCTCTCTTGTTGGTTTCAGACATGGAAGCTCTCAGAGAGAGAGAGAGAGAGCTTGCTCTGTTTTTTCTAATGAGATTTGGTTTCAAAGAGGAAAGAGATAGAGAGAGTGATGAATAAGAGAATTACAGGTTGGACCATTGATGATGACAGAAGAGAAAATTTTCATTTAAGATTTAACAGTTACACCAAGAAGGGTGTGCCTCTTGAATCTGCAAGTTCTCTGAAGATTATAATATATACAAAATTAATTGCTAAAGTAAAATAAGAATGGGATTAGATCTGATTAACCTCAAGACATGCAAAGTCAATCAAACATTAGTTTAAACGAAGAAACAAATCAGAGAATAAGGAAATTAGTTAAATTTGGTTTTCCGCGAATATTATATTGTGATCTCACCGAATCCCATTCCCCCATTTAAATCAACAAGACAAATAACACCACCACTACTTCACAATCCACGAGAAACAAAAAAAAAAACTATATCTACACACTTCATGGACAATCAAATATCATTTTACTGAGCTTATGAAAGTTTATTACTTGTCTGCACTGCTCACACAAATTAAACAAAGAAGAAAAAAGAATTTGAAAATATCATGAATTTTGAGCTAGACAACCTGATCCCAAACTATTATCTCCATTTCAAGATAGAACTTTCTTATATTTTATGCATTCTTTTTCATTTTATTTTTTAAAAATATGTTTATGCATTTCTATGCTTATGTGTTATGGTGTTACTTAATTAGGGTAGGGTCCAAATATTTTTTTTGTTTGTTAAAGGTAGATTTTAAATAATAGGAGCGGGCCGGAGGAAATTATGTCATTTCAAATAGAGAAAAATGAGTTATACAGTTAATGAAGAAATATATTTTTTTCTCATAGAGTTGGAATGAATTAGCAATATTTTTTATTTCTTCGTGAAACACTATGTTTTTTTTTTTTCTTTTTACATTAGTTTATGTAAAATAAGAGTTTTATAAACATTTTGGAAATGGAAAGATGGGGGAACGGAAACATAGGACAAGAGGACACGGAGGCGAGAAGCAGAGCAACTCTGTTTATCGAGATTTAGCGGGGCCCATCTTATTAAGTCAAACCAGAAGAAAACACTTTCCTTTATTTCCTTCTTTTCAATATTTACACAAAAACCTCTATTATTAACCTTTTCTTACACGCAACTCTCAAAAGGTTGTTCTAGTTACTAGAAGTCTAGAAATACTACAATATTGGCAGTATTTTGGGCAGTGGATTAACTTCTAACTGTGCTGAATAAGGAGAGAGAGAAGGGACGAAACATGAAATCAGCATTATAAGAAGGTTCGATGCCTTTTTATTTGATGACTCGGGGTGAATCTTGTCCTACGCACTTTTGATTACATCATTTTCATTTTATTCGTCAGTAAAAATATTTCGCCAAAAAGTTGTAGAAAATATGTATACTCAAAAGTTATACTTGTTCTCCCAAATGAAAATACTGTCATTCAGTACTATTAATTGACGTAATCACACTCTGACCCCAAATTTTTTTTTTGACGTAATCACATTACTTTGATTGTATATACATTGACTTTTTATCTGTGTTGTGATAAATTAAATATATAGGTATTACGATGTTGACATATTTTTATTAATTTTCATAGCTTGTTTAAAAACGTTGTGTCAACATAGACTGATTTAATTCTATCCTCTTAAGATAATTAATATGTATGAAGTTTTCATATGACCGATCATATGTAAGTCTGTCTACTTTTAGCCGTTATTTGTCGTATCGTTACTTTCACATATTGCGAATATATCTGAATATACATATTAATTGATAAATATTTGCTATGCATATTGAGATTATATCTGAATTTACATATTAATTGATAAATCTTTTCTATGCATATCAAGAATTGATGAAATTACTCCATTTTATAAAAACTATCATTCTAATATTTTTCTCTTTCTTTATTAATACATGAAATAATTTTCTCTTTCTTTATTAATACATTAAATAATTTTCTCTTTCTAATGAATAAGTTGGAATAGTAAGAAGAAAATTGAGATTTAGTTTAAAAATTTACGTGAAAATACAAAACTTCTTTATAAAAAAATATAAAGTCTTATTACGATATTTTTGTAAGATATATAGAGTATCTTGTATTTAATACGTATACGCACAATCTGAATGGGACGAGCGTTAAGCCGTTAACATTGCCAATCATATATATTGGCGGGTTCACTGTTTGTAATTGTAATTTATTACCTTTTTACGTGGTTTGATATAAGTAATGTGACTAGGGTGAAGTTTTCGATTTGGCCTTTTGAAGGTTCATGAATTGAAGAGCTTGATCTATGAACTATAAATGTATACATATAAATCTAAGTATTTATATTTGTTTTAGTATTTATAAATGTACGTCTATAGTAATGACACTAAAAGTTTTGGTGCTCGATGTTTTGGCTTATAGATAGACCTATAGCTAGAAAGTCCACTCACTTTTGACGTAAATCTCCTTAACAAATTTCTACCTAATTATTTATATATTTCGAGATGTTTATCCAACCTAAGAAACTTAAACGAGACCAAAAAAAAATTAAGGATGTAAACACGTAAACAAAAAATAAGTTACCTTCGAGAAGAATAATTAATATAATACTGTATTTATTATCTATTTTTTTTGTAAAGAAATATAATTCCGCTGCGTATAGAACTTAGATTTACATGCTCTTTTTTCTTTCAAGGTCACCTGCTACCCTTGACCAATAAAAGTGTATAAAACCGAGTTACTGATATAACAAGTTAACAACTACCTGAAATGTTTGTAATTATTCATATATGTCAACTTATCATAAACGTAGTTAACTTTAGAGAAACATAATCATATGTACCCTTTCCTTATGTATACTTATTCTAGAAACTTATAATACATCATGGCAAACTATTCTAAATCTACACACCAAAAAAAAAAAATATTCTAATTATAAATCGATATCAATTAAACAAAGAATTGATATTTATAAGAAAACAAACCAACGAAGTATTGATTGTTCAAAAAAATGTCGACAAGAATCAGAGAGGTTTTTAAGCTAATGTATATAAATTTTGGCCCTGGAAGTGGCGTTTTTCTTACTAGGCAGGTTAGCGAAATCTAACACGCTGACATAAAGTTATATGTAAGCTTTTCTACTACTTCCTATTCAATAAACAAATAAATTAGAATTTGATGAATATATAATCACCCCGTCATGATCAACTTCTTTGTTGATAATTTGATATATACACTCTATTTGTTAGAAAACAAATAAATCTTGCCAACATTAAAAAAAAAAAAAAAACAGACTGGGTGGAACTTGAACTTGAACCCAAATCTTAGCTCAAAGATGGATGGAAGCAAGCCACAGAATGGCTAATATAGTCAACATATAAGTACTGTATAAGTTTAGCTGTCAAAATTATAGCATGTGGAACAAAGCTTGTACGTTTTGAAACATGTATTACTTCAGGGTTCTCGCAATTATTAGTCATTGTTTAAGATTCGAGATTACTCTTACTGAAAAGAAAGCGTTTAAATACACCCACCCAAAACAAATTAGGATTGACTTCACTTTTGTAAATTTCAAATGTCGTTCAAGTTCAACATCCATTTTAAGCGAATTTTATATCAGAAACAGTTAATTGATTTTTTTTTCCAATAGAAAATATGTACCCCAAAAAAACGAGAAAAATATTTCCAAAAACTAGCTTATAATCTGATGATAGTTTATTTTTTAGTAGCAACAGTCAAACATTAGAACCATGAGCCAGAAACATATTAATGCTGATAAAGTTCATATGCAAGAGTAGACAAAAACACAGATCTGTTGGGGTTTGAATGATACATAATGTGAAAACAATGACAAACATCTTAGGGTTGGGATCAATGGGACAATGGACGTTCAAGTTAGATCTCCCAGAATCTTGTAACCACTAATTGTCATTACATGGTTTTAACTTTTTTAAAAAATCCACCTAAATTTGAATTTAAGGGATTAGTCAATTGTTGAAAGTTTCTAATTAATCGACACCTTTTCTCACGAAACAATATTAAAATGTCACAATACATATTGAGGAGATGTATTTAATGAGAAATTGGACATTATAAAGAGAAAAAGAATCCCCATGTGCATGTGCTAGACAGATAACATTTATTGCTTTGCCAATAAATTTCAGACCTTGCTTAACTGTCCATCCAAATAAAAACTATATAATAAATATTTTACATCATAATGTGCCTTTCTAAGCAAAACCATCCAGAAACTTGACATATCATTCACATGAAGAAGACTTTCTATCTACAAATTCATCAAACCTCAATAAGCCTTTTCCACCAAAAATCACTTAAGTGGTTCTTACAAGTACTCTTTTAACCGATTTTATAAACAATTATAACAACATTTTAATAATCCTAGCATACATAAAATTCTGGATTGAACTTTTAAGTCTTCACATAAATTACAACTAAGTATACTCGTAGTAACGTCAAACCCGAAGAAAAATCTATTACAGAGTATATACTATGTCCTTAGCTGTTTTTTCAGCTCCACGATTTAGCTGAGTTAAATTCTTTTATATCTTTAGCGTATTAATCATATATAGTTTAATTTGTGGTACGTTAGGTTCACAGTATTTTGATTTCATGTATGCCCCAACAATGTTTATGTTTGTGTTGTCAATTGTCAGTTCCACGTATCTTTTTGTAGCTCCACATTTGTCCCATCAGTTGCTTTCACGAATATTATAGAACTGACCTAAACGATTGTATATTCAATTTCACTCTATTTTCTATGGTCTAAACCGAATCAATAAATTTAGGTCCAACTGGTTAAGGAAATCAGTACGTATAAATACTATGTATCAAATTCAAATATAATGTTCAAGCAATTGCAAGATCCCAATGTGCCCGCGTAGTCGCTTACCCAGTTAGTGGGCTTGAGAGTGCAGTTTATAAACATAACAAACATAATTGTCGGCTCTCTATTAATTTTGGCCCATCCGTTAGGGAGCTCGCTCGCTTGTTGCAGAAACACAAACACCAATATGTTAACACTATTTGTGAAAAAGATACTGTTTCTGCAAGCGAAGTTATTGTCAACTTTGAATCCAAAAACTAATAAACTTAAGATACATAGGAAACTAAAACGTTGTACATATATTATTTGTTAACGTTTTAGATGACTCCAGCTCTAGCTGAAGTGTTAAGGATGTGCATGGTGTTAGGCAATGGTTTCAAGGAAATTATTTTCGAAGTTGATGGAGCGACCGTGATTTCAGCGTTAACAAGCCCCAAGCATGGGCAAGTTAAAACATATAACCTTCATAATATCGAGGAAACAAGCTCCAATTTCGAGTGTTAGAGTCACATTCCAGTCCAAAAGAGACAAACAAAGCAGCTGATACCATTTGCAAAACAAGCTTTGTGTTTATATATTTGTATGGAACTATGGATTATTGATTGAGTTTGTGTTCTATTTTGAAAATTGAAAAAATATACATGTATTTCTATATAATGAAGTTAGGTTGTTTAAGAAAAAAAGTTCTTCATAATTCGGATTAAAATCCCTAAACAAGAAACAGTTGGTAAAAAAAATTTCCCAAATATACAAACGCGATTTCTACAAACGCCGACGCTACCCAATATATAGTAAAACGCGAAAAGAAGAGAAAAGAAAGAGAGAGCCCCTTCGTTTAGTTTGGCCCTTTTTGCTTTTCTTTTCTGGAAACGTCTCTCAATGGGAAGATAGATTTCGATCGTGGAAATTTCAGATTCGGCGGCGGATTCAAGAAGAAAACCCTCCTCCGTCTCTGTGAATTTCGTTGCTCTTGACTGATTGAATGAGAAACCCTCCTCCGTCTCTGCTCTCCCTCACCGTCAACGCCGCCGTCTTAAACCTCTCTCGCATCAACGATCTCTCTCATCTACCTGATCACATCATCCTTGATCTCTTCGCGGTAAAAACCCTAATCTAACTGATGAATCATCCTTTTTTATCATTGGTTGGTGTGATTTTGGTTATGGGTGTTTCGAATTTAGTGCCAAAATTGAAACTTCTGGATGAACAAAACAAACTTTATTTTGATTCTGTGAAGTTATAAGTGAAAGTCTAAAGCTTTTTTCTCTTGTGATGATACTGCTTAGCTTAGTGTTCCAGAATTCTAGTGTATTATATGGTTTGAGAGGAATATTTTGTTTGTGTTGTTGATGTCTGTTCTTAAATCAATGATAGGTTAGTTGAATTATTTGAGATTTCAAGTTCAATTTCATATGGTGGATCATCTTGCTCTTTTTATTTTTTAATAATGATTAGAGGACATTGAAAGCTGGGAAATTGAACGAGAGAGTTCTGAGACTTTTTATGGCATCGGGAAACGAAGAAGTTCTTTCTATTATAGACGCCCTTAAAATCAAACACGTAACACCCATTCTTCCTACTCGTAAGTCCTAGTCTTACTCTTTCCTCTTTTGATCTTTTCAAATGTTCTTGAAGCTAATAACATCTTTACAAGTGTTCTTGAAAGTTTGGTTTTCACTTGCAGACTGTCACGAGAAATTTAGAATGAATGGGACTAGACGCTAGTTGAATGATTGTGGCGAGAGTTTGTAAACTCGGTCCGGTGTGTTAAAAGGTTGGTTTTCTAATTGCATTTTTCGGATAATTTAGGCAGAGAAATCAATCTAGACAGCTGTAGATACATTGCCAGATTGAAGTCTGTTCTTTTGTCTTCTTTTTGTGTGTATATATATTAAAGGAAAGGGATCAAATGATATGATATAAGCTTCTTTTTTTCCCCCTCAGAGGAACTGCTTATGCAATCAATGATGAAAGCTTTTTGTTTGCAGCAGAGTTCTGTGTGAATATAAGTTTCCAACTATCAAAATATAGCTCGTGTAATTTTAAACTCGGGTTCCTTTTCGGTTCGGTTTTGGGTAAGAGATTAGTTCTGGGATTCATCGAAGTACCCATGAGTTTCTTAATCTTTATGTGAGAAAAGAACAAGCTGATTAATCTCGAAAAGATTCGTGTATGCATAAATTCTGAATAACTAGAATTAATCATAATCATTAGTATGGTACCACTTACTTGTCAGTAGCTTTGGCTTCTCATTCTGAAGGCTTTCGGGCATATGTTTTTCTTCTCCATCATTTGAGTTAATTGCAACTGAAGTCTTAGACTTTTTCTGTTTTGGTTTTTTCTTTGGAACAGTTCACATCTTTACAATGCTCTCTCGCTAAGTATGTGAAACTATTTCAAAGAAAAAACCTAAACAGAAAAAGTCTAAGACTTTAGTTGCTAAATACTTAGATGAAGAAGGAAAACTTATGCCAGAAAGCCTTCGGAAAAAGAATGATGTTTTTTTTTTTTCTCAATGTACCATACAGTACTAATGATTATTGTTTACTTTCTAGCTATATAGAATTTATGTTTACTTTGTTGCTGTTCAGAATAAGAAGCCAATTAACAAGTAATTGGTCTCAACACCAATCCAACCGTTTTTTTTTTGGGGGGCCAAAATCACGTTGTAAATTTATATCGAGTGAATTTATAATAATTAGATTACCTAGTAACCAAATTTAAATCCATAACCCGAATCAGCAGCAAAAGCATAAAAACTGTAAATTAGGAATTCCATTCTATATATCTCAAAACAGTAATAAGATTAAGTTACTACAATAGATTTTTTTATTATTTTTGTTAAAAATACTAGAATTGGTGAAGATGTAGAAATACACGTCCGTCAAACAATAATTCCCATGAGAAAATTCCGTTTCCATTAAGCCTTAAATCCTGCAGAATAGATAAATGAACAATTCAGAAACAATAATAAAAATTAATCATAAAGATTTGGCGAGGGGTTTACATTCGGTGGAAACGAGCATAGTTGATGTCTATAATTTCAGCAGCTGGATCAGCAATCTCAGCGAAGGCTCCGGGAGAAATGTAGAAAGTAAATGGACAACCAAAACAATGGTCAACAATCTTGACCGTCACAGATTTGCCGGTGCAATGAGCTCCGGTGCATTTCACGGTGAACTTTTTGCCACACCCCCGACCATTGTTCCACAGTTGATCGTTCACCGCCGCTATATATTTACTATCCGCATTTTTTAAATTTGTACACGTTGTAGCTATTATAGAACAAAGAAAGATATATCAGATAAGTTGAGAATACATCTTCTTAATTCACCTTTTTATTAATTAAGCAAGAGATTTTTTTTCAATATTGTTAAAACCGAACAAAATGGATACTTTTATGAAAAATATAATAACCTTATATATAAACGTTTTGTTCTCCGTAACAATAATCTGTTATTTATTGAAAAGATCGAAAAAGTTTTGGATCCTGACACAGAAAACTTAAATCAGATGAAAATTCTACTCAGCTCGTCGTTGGACTATGCCCGCCTGATCCGAATATAAATATCAAATTTATTATAACTGAAACGGTGAAACCTGATTTAATTATATCTAATACAATGTCATAAAGTATGTTACTTACGAATTGAACTTGGGTAGAATGCTGCCTTTCCCGGGATCGCATAAGCTGCAGAGCATAGAGACCACACAATTGCTGCAAGAACCAAAAGATTTCTCTCCATCGTTATTTTCTTTGCGTTGATTATTATTGATTGGACCATGAATTTACATTACAATTTGTAGACAAACAACAAATCTACGCATTGTATATATCTTATATATCATATCGTGAATTTTGACTTTTTTCTTTCTTACTTTAGTTTTTACCATAGTTTAGAGAAATACTGCCGTGTATTTATTTAACTTCTTTTTATAAACAACAGATAGCAACGCATATACATATCATGGTTTTTTTTAACTTTTTTTAATTATAATCTAGAGTACATATACTATCTTCTTTTGGTAGATCATTAATTGGATTATAAATTTTACGACGAACACGACCGGTGGGTCATGTATGTTACCAATGTATTCAAATTTTCAAAAATATTTATTTCTTGCCATAATTTAAAAATATATTACAAAAACAAAGGATATTTTACCTTTTTATTGTTAAAAGACCTTCAAAAGAATTTTACGTTCTTCTGAATGCATAGTTCTAGATCTTGGTCAATAATGCTTTTGCATGTGACCTAAGAAAATTTAACACAAATTGTGTCATATATATGGCCCATCTTGTATAGAATTTGTGCCCCAAAATATAGAGAAAATGATTTTTTAGGTTGAGTATATTGGATTATAAATTTACAATGCAAATTAGAGACCTAAAAACACACCACCTGTATGAATGTATTCTTGACATATAAGGACTTACCATTTTTCTTATCTCTTTACTTTTTTTCATAGAACTCAACATATATGTTTCGATTAATTCAAACACATTTTCTGCATTGGCTTTTGTGTTTATATGAGAAAAACAAATAAATCATAAGTCAAATATCTTAGTATAAAATTTCAGCTTAAAAAATATCGTGCAAAAATGCAAATTAAATGCATACGAAAAGAGAACTTACGGTTTGCGTTTGGTATTTACGTTTCCAATTAATATTTTTTTGACATCAATTAATACATATATTTTGCTTAATACTTTTAAATTTATGAGGTTATTCAAATGTGAATTTTACAAACAAACATGTGAGGCCATAATGCAATCTTTTTTTTTTTGTGAAACTTATTTTTAGCAATAAAAAAAGAGACAATCTTATTTTTTGCCAAAAAATGCAATCTTATTTTGTGTATGATTTGTTTGACAAAAAAGAAAATTGTGTATGATTTAGGAATCTCAGACGAATTTATTCATTGTTATGAATTACAATTACAAAATCTTAATGTCAGTACATGTTTCATCAGTGTTTTCAAGATCCGAGCATCATTTTCCTATAGAACTCCATCAACGTTTAGGCCCTGAAATACAAACACATAATCTGATAATTAAAATCCCGGATACAAACTTTTCTAAAGTAAAATGAAAAAAAAAAAATTGGTAAAAGAATTACGGTGTATAATCAATGTTAATAATCCCAGCGACAGGATTAGCGATCTGAGCAAAAGCTTCACGGGAGAGATCGAGAGTAGAAGGGCAGGCACCGGGACAATGGTCCACGATTTTAACCGTCACGGATTTTCCGGTACATGGATGAGGCACGGGGTTACGAGCTCCGGTGCATTTCACGGTGAACATCTTTCCACAAACTCGACCATTGTCCCATAATTTGTCACTCGCTGCAGCTATCATAACTCCTTCTTGCGTACCTCCGTAACATGCCGATGCTATCGAACACACAGAATAAAACAACAGTTATTGTGTTATAGTGTTACAACATTTCGCTATAGTTACGTTAGATATTAAAAAGTTTGTTATTTTATGTTTCATATTAATTTGGTTTATATATAATCAACTAGTAAATACATAGAAGAAAATGTGAAATAATATTCTTACGAGTGTAACTTGTGTAGTAAGTTGCGATTCCAGGAACTGCATACGTAATAGAGAAGAGAAAAACAACAACGACAGAGAAAACCAAAATGTTTTTACCCATGGCACGTATTTTTTTCTTTATATATTTATTCTTCGTTCTGAAGGCAAAAAGATATATAAGATTGTTATATTTGATATGCGGAATAGCTATCTATTTATATATGTGTTATGTTACATGATTACCACCGGATAAGCATGCATTGTAATGTCTTACCATCGATAATTCTTTGACTGTTAGCATTTTCTTGACTGCTCTCCCATTTTCTTTAGTTTGTATCTATTAATCTATGGCAAGATATTAATTACAATGCATACTTATATTATATGGAGTTAAGACATATTGTTCCTCTTCGTTGATTAGAGAGGTTCAGACATATATTTCCATCTCAAAATAATGATATGTGGTCCAATAAAAAGAGCGTATACTCTCCCTTTTGACCGAAAATATAGAGATGTATCACAATTGATGGACTAGAAGCAATCAGTGGACAGTTCAAAAAATGCAACGTCTTAAGCAGATTATAGAATGCATGAGATAATGGGCCGAACGGCACAAACAATAAACATAATTATAAACCAAGTTCAACCGTAGAGAACCGGATTCGAATCGAAGAATGAACCAGAAGAAAGTGTGAGAAGAACAAAAGAGATGATAATATTAAGAAATGGTGGAAAGAATGTAAAAGGTGGTGATTGGGTATGGTGACACAAGGAACTGGTGTTACCGAGGAGCTGCCGTTGTCGGCTGGTCCCTATCTCTTCCCACTCGGCATTACCAGATAGGAAGGACTACAACGAGTTCAGAGATAAATAATTGGATCCAACATTATTAATTCATAAATGGCTAATCAATTCGCCCTTTGTTTTCTCCTCTACTCTTTTTTTTTATTCTTTTCCTTTTGTTTGCAAAAAATCATATAGCCGAAGCCGACACATAAAAAAATTTGTTATTCATTGTTTTAAAATTTATGCTAGTAGTATATTAGATTTTAAATACATATCGAACTATTTTTCAAATAATCTACAACCACTATTATAAACAGATGTATAAATTAATTCGAAAATTTTTAATTAAAAGTATCAGTGTATCACTCGTCTTCGGTTTTGTCACAAAATATATGACAAAATCTGATCATATTTTATTTCTGTTAAAGAAAATACATTATTTTCATCTATATATATATATATATATAAATAAGGGTTAATTCAGGTTTCTTTTTGTCAAATATCTTTTCAAACCAATAAAAAGGAAAGAAATCAAGATTTGTTATATTTAAATTTCTTGTTAACCTTTTTGTTTGTTCTGAACAATTCGGTAACGTCAATTCTCATTCCGATTTTTTTTAAAAAAAGAACCTTTTCTCAACGAAAAGAGGGCTTTTCTCACGAGTTCATAGGGCAAGAAGCCAAGAACTAGTTAAAATGTCCGAATATTCCCTTACTTTTATAATTAGTTAATTACACAAATTTATATAAATTAATAAAAAAATACACACCCGTGTATTTGTGTAGTTGTATTATCATCCATAGTTTTCGATCTTCAAAATTCACTTTCCTCCTATTCATTTATGGAATCCTTTATAAGAAAAATCTCTCTCCTTTATTTAGCTTTCAAACAGATTAGAGTTTGATTCGTAAGAGGAAAGACAAAAAAAACGAAATTCATAAAAAGAGAAGATTTTTATCTCCGCCGCAATCGTCCGATGTCGATACCTACTCCCCACGATGTCTCAATCTCCGGCGAGATATCGCCGTCGCCGGCGTCACCGAAAGCGAGGACGAAGAGTCTATCGACGGAGATTCTTTCCAGAATCCTCGTTGGTTTAATCATGATCCCTGTAGCTGTAACCGCTTTGCTCTTCATCCTCATGTCTCTCAGCTTATCTGTCTTCTTCTTCGCTCTCTACTGGTTTCTCCACCGAAACTACCGCCGCCGTCTACGCCGCCATCGCCGCCACGAATCCTCCTCAGATGGGTTGTCTCCCAGATTCGTGAAGAGCCTTCCCCAATTCAAGTTCTCTGAGCCAACTGAGTACGGAAGCGATTGCGTTGTCTGTATCGACGGATTCAGACAAGGACAGTGGTGTCGGAGATTACCTGGATGTGGCCATGTGTTTCACCGTAAGTGTGTGGACTTGTGGTTGATCAAAGTCTCGACTTGTCCGATTTGCAGGGATAGATTGGAGGAAGGAAGAAGTTGGAGCCGAAGGTGAAAATTTTTGATCGGAGAAGAAAGTAGTTTTCTAGTAGATTTGTATTTTGTTTGGTTCCTTATGATCATGTTAGCAATGTTGGTTTTCATCAAATTATCATCATGTACAGTCTTTTTACACATCTCACACAATTGAAGCTTGTTAGTTTCTTCACTTTTTGATTTGTGACCCAATAGAGAATTGTTCCGTTCTCTTTTAGCTTGATTTCTGCAGACTTCAACACAGTTTCAAGATTGATAATTATGTTACTTGTTGAACTCATCTGGCCAAATTTTCCATCGTTTATAATCACTGTTTTGTAGGGAATCCCTTTAGCTCACTAGTAAGCAAAATACTCCAACATGTTATATGTTTTCTGTTTTCCGTAAAGTTTCCATCTTTCTGATCAGATTCAGTTGGATAACACATGATACTCTGTTGAAATACTGATAAATTCAAATAAAATTGTTGTCCATTGTCACTTTAAACATGTTGCTTCTGTTACCTAAATGATTTATTGTAATTCACTTGAGACTTACTGTTTTGCCTTTTTTTCATCAGTGTTTCTGCTTCAATATCTCCTTGATAAGCAAAATAAATAAATCTGGTTCTTGTGACTTTAATTTACCATCAATGTTTCTGCTTCAATATCTCCTTGATAAGCAAAATAAGTCTGGTTCTTGTGACTTTAATTTACTTGCTTCACCTCTTGAGTTACAGCAAAATATCTTGGTATCCGTGTGTGTGTACAAGTTTAGATTGAACAAAGAAAACAAACTAAATTTCATTTACTGGTTTGAATGTGAAGTTGTGATTCAGTCGGATAAGTGATTGGATCTGGCTACAAAGGCTGTAAAATTGTTTGTGTGAGTTCACGTTAGCCTTGTTTAATTAGTATTTACTTACTTAGTTCTTAATGAACGGAAAATTGGTAAATTAGCAGTACTAATGACTTCGATCAACTAATTAAGTCACCTGGTCAAATGTGTTGACTTTCTTGTCTTATATCGATGGGCCCAAATATTCCAGAAAAAACAAATATCCTTCCGATTTTTCTTTTTCTTAAAGGTGAAATTTAAAAAAAGGGAAAAAACAAAGAAGATACGCTCTCTGACTCGTCCCGTGACTCAGTCATTCCTGCGAGGAATTAACGAGTTTCCTCAGATTTAGAGAGAAAGAGAGAGACACTAAGAGTGAGAGTGTCAGAGACACGAATCAAAGAAAGGATATTTTTAAAAAAACTTCTCTTTCTTAAATTTGTAGATCAAAAGTTTTTTTTTTTTTTTTTTTTTCTCGAGCTTCAGCTTCTTCTTCTAATGGAGTTAAGGAAGGACAAGCTTCTTATGTAAGTTTTTATTCTGTTCTGGATTTACTTCAATTAAGTTGTATTATTTTCTTGTTCTGGATTTGCCTTTAGATTTACGTTCCGGGTCATATTAGCTCTTGTGAAAGTCGTGAATTTTCAAGTTCGTGATTGGTTACCCAGAAATAAAAGTTTAGACTTTGCTTTAAATCAAGTGGAGCTTATTAAATCAAAGCTCAAGCTCCGAGTTTTCCGCTCAGATTACAGATTCGAAGTGTATTGAAACTATACATAATCACTATTTAGGAATTGCAGATGTTTAAAACCCTTCTCTCTTTTTTGTTTGTCTTTGCAGGTTTTATTCAGATGGGAAAGAAAGCAAAGAGTCTATATGGGCAGTGAATGATCCAATGAGCAAATCATATAAACTAGCTTTACCTTCAGCACTAAAGCCTGACAATCTCTTGGCTGGAAATAGAATTAGATACACTGATGCTTCCAAAATTAGCAACAACAAGTCCAAATCCTCCAAAGTCTCATGGTACAAAACAATTCTTGATCCAGGAAGTGAGATTGTCTTGAAATGGAACTGGGTTTTCATCGTCTCGTGTATGGTTGCTCTCTTCATCGACCCGTTGTATTTCTTCGTGCCAGCCATTGGAGGAAATGTAGATTATCCCTGCGCAAGAACCGACACGAGTTTAAGAATCCTTGTTACCTTCTTCAGGACAATCGCAGATCTTTTCTACTTGCTGCACATTTTCATTAAGTTTAGGACAGGTTTTGTAGCACCGAACTCAAGCACTAGAGTGTTTGGTAGAGGTGAGCTTGTGATGGATCCTAAGGCAATTGCTTGGAGGTATCTTAAATCTGACTTCATCATCGATCTCATCGCAACCTTACCACTTCCTCAGATAGTTATCTGGTTTGTTATGCCGGCCACAAGAAGTTACCGTTTTGATCATAGCAACAATGATCTTGCTTTGATTGTGCTCCTACAATACATCCCTAGATTCTATCTGATAATTCCATTGAGTTCTCAAATCGTTAAAGCCACTGGAGTGGTTACAAAGACTGCTTGGGCTGGAGCTGCTTATAATCTCTTGCTATATATGCTAGCTAGTCATGTATGGATCCCATTCCTTATTCTTTTCGTTATTGCATTTGATTATAGTCGATGATAACATAGTAGCTAAGGGTGTTTTTGTTTGGGCAGGTGCTTGGTGCGGCGTGGTATATATTATCGTTTGATAGGTACACATCATGCTGGAAATCGAAATGCAACAAAGAAGCTGGTGGAGTGAATTGTCATCTCTATTACTTAGACTGTGATTCACTCAATGACGCCATGCAGCTGAGTTGGGCAAATGTCACAAAAGTGTTTAAACTTTGTGATGCACGAAATGGGGAGTTCAAGTATGGGATGTTCGAGAACGCAATCACGAAAAAGGTCGTGTCTTCAAACTTTAACGAGAGATATTTCTACTGTTTGTGGTGGGGATTGCAACAGCTCAGGTAATTACAGAGAGCATCAAAATTCAACCTTGGATTCAAATTATTATCCTTTTTGATTGCGAGTTTGAAGTTTCTGATGGCTTTTTTCTTGTTATTATTATACTAGCTCTTATGGACAGAATTTGTCCACGACCACATTCATCGGAGAAACCACATTTGCTGTACTCATTGCAATCTTTGGTCTTGTCCTCTTTGCTCATCTCATTGGAAATATGCAGGTATGGATTCCTCCATTAGAAAAGTTGATTAAAAAAAATGTCTGCTTTTCTTATATATCTTGGGCTTCCCCTTTTGTTTGTTAGACATATCTGCAATCTTTGACTGTACGGCTTGAGGAATGGAGACTTAAGAAGAGAGACACGGAGGAGTGGATGAGACATCGCCAACTTCCTGAAGATTTGAGAAACCGTGTGAGACGATATGAGCAGTATAAGTGGCTTGCAACAAGAGGAGTCGACGAAGAGATTCTCCTACAAAGTTTACCCACTGATCTTCGCCGTGATATCCAACGCCACCTGTGTTTAGACCTTGTTCGAAGAGTAAGTTTCTCAATTCAATTGTTTATCCTACAAATGGTTTAACTTTACATTCCAGAGTATGGTTTGGTTTCAGTTTCGGATTAGTTTTTAGGCTGTGCTGCTAGTTGTAAGAATTAATATCTCATTTTGATTATATCCCAACTTTTTGTAACTCCAAAATGTGTTATCTCTGAATCATTCAGGTCCCATTTTTCTCCCAAATGGATGATCAGTTGCTAGATGCGATATGCGAGCGTCTGGTTTCTTCTCTGTGTACGGAAGGGACTTACCTTGTTCGTGAAGGTGACTTGATCACAGAGATGCTGTTTATCATCAGAGGTAGACTCGAGAGTTCCACAACCAATGGAGGCAGAACCGGTTTCTTCAACTCAATTATACTAAGACCTGGAGATTTCTGCGGGGAAGAACTACTTTCTTGGGCACTGCTTCCAAAATCAACCTTGAATTTACCGTCTTCTACAAGAACGGTTAGGGCGTTAGTTGAAGTCGAAGCATTCGCTCTTCGAGCTGAAGATTTGAAGTTTGTTGCGAATCAGTTTAGGAGGCTACACAGCAAGAAGCTTCAACATACTTTTAGATTCTACTCTCACCATTGGAGGACTTGGGCTGCTTGCTTCATACAAGCCGCTTGGCGCAGGTACAAGAGAAGAACGATGGAGAATCATCTTACTGTGATTGAATCAAAGCAAAGTGATGAAGAAGAAGAAGAAGTAGACGTAGGAGAAAAAGAAGCAGAAGAAGAAGAAGAAGAGGGTGTTGGGTCGAGTCCAAAAACAAAGATGAACATTGGAGTTATGGTTTTGGCCTCGCGTTTTGCAGCTAATACAAGACGCGGTGTTGCAGCTCAGAGAGTTAAGGACGTCGACATGCCTCGGTTTAAGAAACCTGAAGAGCCTGATTTCTCTGCTGAGCCTGATGATTGACTGATTTATAACCAGAAGCAAAGAAGCTGACATTTTTTTTTTCGAGTTCCACAGGAGATTTTTATGATTAAGTACACTACAGATCAAGTTCTTTCATGGTCCTTTGGGAGTTATAAAGTAATCAGACAGTTTTTTGTTTTGTATATGAAAAAGCATATTTTGTATTCTAAGCTTGGAAATTTATAACTGTTAAAGAACTCGTTCCTTGAGTCTTTTTTTAAAAAATTTTTATATAGCAATGTTAGCAGTTTCAGTTTCCAGCTGAACCTGTGTTGCGAATGGTCAGCTGTTTATATCGCCATTGATGATCTTTCCACCATGAGCCCCAAATACTAGCGTGATTGTTAACATGACAATCTTCTTCGTGTTTCCAGTATCAAACTTATGTCCCTTAATAATCCTCCCTATTCGGTCATGTTATTTCTACTTGGCGGGTCAAGATATCCAAGCCATAACAATGTACAAATCACAGTCAACTTATGCTACCTACAAATTCATGAATCCAACAAAGACCAAAACGGGATGTCTAAAGCCCATTGAGATAAGAGTAGTCGAGAGCTTTTAGCGAGAATGATATAAAAACAAAAGAGCGTTTACCAGCCGGTTTATTGACCTCCCTTATCATCCAGTTGAATTGTTTTATCTTGAGCATGTTTTGCATATTTACAGGATTATAGACACATTGGGCTTTTCTTTTAGCAACAAGACCCTCTCAATGTAATCATGCATCCTGAGCAGTAACTTTTGGTGAATAGAAATTGCAATAACTTGGTTTTAGCGAGTTTTTACAGAATTTGTTTTCATAACTTGGAAAGTTAATGCTAATTCACAGTAATAAGAATGTTAGAATTTCTTTTATTTTCACTAAAGTGGTGATACAAGGAAGTGACAAGATCAATCGACATTTCTTGAATTATCCAACAACCAATAGTAAATTGAAATTAGAAATTGTCCAAATAATCTAACTTACCAAGTGACTCAATAATTCTTGGGATTCCATAATTCTTTGACTCTGTCAATTATATTAACTTAAAAAATTAAAAATATTATTTCATTCTTCTACAGTTTCTTTTATCTTATTATATAGTTATCGTTTTTTGTAGGTTTTTTTTTTTGCCAACTAGCTCCTATTTTTTTTTGTTATAACAGTGGAAATATTTTTTTAAAAATGCATTATAAATATATTTAGTAATTTTAATCCTGTATATGTTATTATGGGTTTCTTACAACATTCATTTTATATAAAAAACGGAGAAAATGCTTTTAATTGAATATAATCTACAGCTACTTGTTAAAGAAAACCTACACAGTGTATATATAGAGAGACATGCATGCATATGTTAAAACATGCCATAGTAGTTGTACCTTAGTGTGTAGTTGCTCACTACAGAAGTTAAGTTCATTAACCCTTTCCAAAAAGCTCAAATTCAACATTAGGTTTTCAATCATCTAAGGTTGAGATCTGCGACCCCTTAATTTTATTTATAATATATTGCATACTTATATTCGTTAATCATTATCTTCACATCCTTTTCATGGTATAATTACAATAATTAAAAGAGAGAAGACTAGAAAATGTATTATATAGGAAATAGGTGTTTGAGTAAAGTTGCAGCATTTTCTACATTATTTTATTTTCCACTTGAAGATTATTCAATTACACTCTCACATCGGTGTTATTATGAGTTTCTTTTTGTCACTTCAAGATCAAGTATTGGCATGGTGTATGATGAATCTTTTTGTGTGGGATAAATTGAATCTATTTAATATTTAAGATTTTTCAACTACTACAGTACCGTGCCTTACTCTTTCTTACTTTTTGGTGGATGATATGTTTAAGTATGAAGTGAGGAGACATATATAATGCAAACCCACCAAAAAGGTAGATAGACCATAAGGTCCATATATATAACTAAATAATTGAATGATATAAAGGCATGTTTTGGTTTGTCTTCTCCTTGTTCTAGTGCTTCTCTTTGGCTATAATCTTTTATTTTGAAACGAATATTAAAGTGTATCCCCTTAATTATTTGTTGTCAATAATTAGGTTAAAACCTGCTTTATTTCAAACAAATCCATATTTTAATAATACTGAAAAAGTAATGGATATGCTTTTAATTATGTATAAACTAAGTACAACAAAACTTCAGCCTTATCTTCCACTCTTAAACATTACTATATTGTAATATGTAAAAAGGCGAAGGAAAAAAAAAAGTAATTTAGAAAGCTTTGTCTTCAAGTGTCTAACAGGGAACCGGGGTTATATGACTTATAAAAGCCAAAAGTAATTCATGACTGTTCCAGCAAAACAAATAGTAATAATTAGTGGGTGGTCTACGAGAATGAAAAAAAAATTACAAGATCTCAGAAATATGAGGTCTGGGTAGAAAGATCGAATTTCATTAAATGTAGTATTGTATGCTACTAGATTTTGAAATTACTCTGAATTTTGATAGAAAAATCCAGTTAAAAAAAACGCATATGGGCCATGTGAACTCACTGCATGCATGTCGTTGTTAAGTGGTAGATATTCATATAAGAATCAACTTAGATTAGAGATTGTGACTACTCCTTTCATATTAGCTATAATTTATATATATAAAAAAAAAATCCCTAGGCTGACGAAATACGGCAAAAAACATGTTGTCGCTACATAAAATGATATCGTGGATGTACCGGATGTCATTTTAAATTCGATCTATTTGTCTAAATCGAACATGGAAAGCCATGGCGTCATGTAGTTTAATTTAGATCACTAGACGAAGGGTCATTTTCTTATTATCATACGTTAGGTTTAAATTTAATATCGGTGGTTGACCGGTTTGTAGGTTGAAGCTTTGAATCAATGGTCATAAATGATATCCCAATCAAAGCATATGACCTCAAGAGCACAAAAGGAGCGATCACAACGTGTGGTCCGACCGACCGCTTGACAATTGAATTTTGAACACGTTTTGGTCAAAGCCGGTTTGGTAGTTTTCAACTTTGTTTTGAACTCGCATGACTCTAAATTGCGCGTATTGACCAAGTGAAACTCAAAGACGGATTATATTCCAGTGATTTAAACCCAAATGTGAATGTGTTACTTAAGATCCTAATTTTCACTCTATCTACTATGAAATGAAACTTGTAGAGGATAAATCTTGTTGTCAATACACTATTCAAGACCCGATAGCACTAGAAAAAGAAAAAAACCTTTTGTACATGCACGACGCTATTTGAGTTGAAAATCAAGTAAGAAACATTATCAATCTTCCTAGTATTATTATTATTTATCACTAATTTGTTTTAGCACAAAGCTTATTTCGAATGTAAAAAAATTAGAAGCTCAACATTCTAATAAAGAAGATGTTTTATACCCTTTCATAAAAAACAAAAAAAACTATAAGTGATTAGTCTGACAATGGGGAAGGATTTTTCTAACAAATATTTGGTCCATGAGAGTGGTTGGATTTGCTGCTTTCATTTTAAAAAGGTGAAGTAAAGACAAGCCACATACTAGCCGAACCCACCTAATATTTTAAAGTACAACTTTCTACTGAAATAAATGTCCTCTGAATATTGCAATCTATTTAGTATAGTTTTCCTAAAATTCCATCTGCTAAAACACTAATATATTCCATAAAACTCCAAGAAGAAACATACGAAAAAATAATCAAATGTAATCTTGAATATATATATTTTTAAAAATCCACTATGTCCTCAATAAAACCTCTATTTATTTAATTAATTTCGTTATTTGTTTTCATATAAATTACTATTTCTAGAAGATTCCTCCATTTCTTTTTGTGGAGTATATACTTTCTACTTTCATATATACGATCATATAAAGTCTGCGAATAATTCTCAGCCGTTGATTTTGATAATATAACCCGTTAACCTTTTTTATAACACTTTTTTTTACTGGTTAATGTTTTTACCGAACTTTCCTTCCACCCCGCCAAAGACGGTTCGGAGACATTACAATATTTACCTCTTTACCCTCACCAATTCTCATAATTACGAAACTACCAGAAAGACAAAATTATCAAACAATCACCGTTCTGATACTACTCGGAAGATACCCTCCGGAGATTCGATCACTCATATCATCTTCAAGCTCAATCCTAATCACAGAATCTTCAGAAGAAGACACTCGAGCTCTAACGTTATTCAAGCTCGAACCCATTGCTTCCTCAATCCATTCTTCTAAGCTAATCTTGCTGAGCCAAATCGCACCCGCGATTCTCTCCAGAGCATCGTCTTCAATCTCCACCGTTAATCCATCACCAAGACCGATCAAGAAACGTTTCTTTAAAGATTCCTCGGTCTTGTTCTTGATCGAACCAAAATCAACCGGTCTAAAGACTATAGCGTCGTCTGCCAAAGCCACTAGCTTGTGGACGAGATCACTATTATCTTCTTGATCGTGCTCGACCGTTACATCGCTCGATGAATCAAATTCTGCTGCCTCGTTCAAGTCGAAACAGATCTCTTTCCTCTGCTTTGTCTGATCCTCACTTTCGTTATAAAGCCAGTTCGGTTTTCGTTTCCGTGTTCTGCTGCTGTTGCAAACAGAGAGCCTTAACTGCCATCCTTTGCTCACAAGACTCTCTAGTCTCGTTTCATCGATAGTAACAACGTTTTGAGAAGAATTCGTGGTGAGGATTATAATAACGTTCCCTAGACTAACCTCGCGTCCATACGAATCGCAGATTCTCCCTTTTTCCATCGCTAGCTTCACGTTGTTACGTAGCAACAAATCCGCTTCATCGATGTCTTCCAATACAATAACCGCAAACGGGTTTCTCCTAACCGCTTCCGCGAATCTATCCAACGCCGTTTTACCACGGAGGTTTAAACCATCATCCGTCCTCGAACCAGAACCGAGGCTGATTGTTATTGGTTGGCTTCCAGAGACAAGATCAGACAACGCAGAAGCCATTTTGGTCTTCCCGGTTCTGTCTGGACCTGTGAACATCAACCAAATATCACCCTTTGATTTTCCGTTCCCGTGTTTGCATTCCGTAATCGCTGCTGCTACGGAAGACGCTGCGTCGTGCTGCCACCAAACGCTTTTCGCTAAGCCCTTTAGTAGCTTCTTGAATAAATCGATGTCGAACGAATCTCCTGGCTTTCCGAAACGCGCTTCTTGGTGGTTCTTCTTCTCCGGTGAGGATAATACTCTGTTTGGCCGTCCAAGAACCAAATCTGTACCGACCGGACTTCCTGGTGGTGTTATCTCCGATCTTGAACTTGGTTTCATCATAGACAACGAAGAAGGAGCTATTCTTTCAGACACAGCCGGATTCGGATGTAAACGCGAACACAAGTCGTTCCATTTCTTCTGCAACTCCACAATCTGTTGATCTTTTGTCTATCAAAAAAAAAATTCAAGATTTTCATTTTCACATTCTATTTTCATGATATCCTAAAAGCAAAATCTGTCAAATTACTTACCAGTTTCTTGTCACCGTCGTCGTTGGCTTTAGCGTTCAGTAGCCACGGCGGCAAGACCGGCCGGTTAGTTCCGGTTGAGGTTATTTCCAATTTAGCGACGTCGTTTTCGTAACTCTGCAGACACCGAGAGCAACAGCTCATCTGAACGTTCCTCTTCGGAGATAGCGATTCAACTGAAATGATGCTGCTGCTTAATAACGTAGCGTTCTTGTTGCTCATGTTGTTCCCGAGCCTAAGAAAATACAAAACTAAAAAAATGAAAACTTTGATCGATCCCATTTTCTAATCGAGAAACTCGATTAAATAAAAGACGCACCTTGGGAAAATCGCCGGAAGAGGCGATTTGGCGGCGATCGGAATCGCTTGAAGATCACAATCGTTCTCCATTGAAGGGTAATAAATTTGACATCGTAGATAAGTCTCACAAGTGGCAGTACCAATTAAGCATAACCTTCCTTTATATCTCTCTAAAAGCTTTCGCATCTCCGCCACAGCTCCTCCACCTCCGCCGTTCGCCGCCGGATGTTCCGCTAACCATTTCAAATCGCCGAGATCGAGAACAACTCCGCCGGTCAAATCAGAACTCCCGATCCGGGTCTCAATCAACCCGGAGATTTCACCGAACCTCGTCGAAGAAGCTAATTCCTTCTCTAAACGGATCACCTGGAAATTGCGAAGAGGCCCGTCGGAGAATTCGCCGCTCTCGATCTTCCCGAGAATCTCTTTGACCAGAATTTGAGGCTCTGAATCGCCGACGAGAACCGGGTTTCTCTTCCGGGTCCGGATCATTATCTCGATGACCCGTTTCGCTTCGTCATTCCTCTGCATCATCCCACTATGCGGCCCCGAGCCGCCTTGTTGCTGTAACCGGGGATTAAGATACGGATTCCGGGTAATCGGAGCCGGTACGGGTCGATAACCAAACCCAATTGCAGATGGGTTAACGAGTCCGGGTGAGCCGGTTTGTCTCGGGTTAGCGGAATTACCAAAAAGCGACTGTTCGATCGCGGATTTCACGGCGGGGCTAGAGAAGCTAGCTTCGCGCATGACCCGACTCACACTCGGGTCATCGAGAATCGATATGATAAGCTGCTCGAGCTCGACTTTAACGGCTAAAAGCGGTTGCTGCTGCTGCTCGGGACAACCACGTCGTTGATGAGCCTGAGCGCGTTTCAAAGCCGCGGTTAGAGCGTTTGAAAGTAGCGGCTCATGCGTTTGCGATGGAGAAGACGCGTCGGAAGTGGTGGTCGTAGTAGGGAGGCGTTCGAGGGCGACGCTGAAACAGAGCTCGAGAGCTCGACACTGGAGTGGGTGAGAGGAGTTTGGGTGGGATTTGATGCAAGCTTGTCGGAGAAAACCAGAGGAAGAAGATAAGAGAGTGGACGCCACGTGGAGCGGCGTCGTGTGGCCATGGTTGCGACGTGTCGCCTCCGCAATCGACTGGTTAAGAACAGTCGCTGCTTCCGGCGTCAGCGTTTGCTGTATTGTAATCAAATCTGCTCTCATCTCAAAAAAATTAAAACTTTCTCAACGGAAACAACAACAAAGAAAAGCCTTATTTGTTGTTGTTATTTTTTTTTTTTTGATTTTGGTTTTCCTCTTTGTTATCTTTTTAAGAAGAAACCTTTGCATAAAGAACTTTTTGGACCAGCCAAGATATTAAATTTAAGAAGAAGAAAAGGGGTCACGGAAAAAATGCAGGAAAATTTTGGCAGAGAAATTGTTTATGAGGTAAAAAAAAAAAAGGATCAACACAAAAGATGGCTTTTTACAGAAAAACAAAAGCGATCAACAGAAAGGTAAAAATGAGAGCTTTTTGAATTCTCTCTCTATATGTCTCTCTCTTTTTGAGTTACTGTGGATTTGCAGTGTATGTGTCTCTGTGTGAGCGCGTGGGAAAAGAGAAGAAGAAGAAAAGGAAAAATCGGATCATCTGCTTCACAAGAACTTAAACACTTTCTTATAACTTTTCAATGTCTATCTATTTGAACTTATTCGACGCTGTAACTTGAAATTACAAACTTATCCTTTTGTGTCTGCTGCGTCTACAATGGGGCAAAGGCCTCAAAGTCATTAACTTGGTTTGAAAATTGCTTGTTTCTTCCTTTTTGGACGATAAACAGTTAAACACCAAACTAATGTTCATAATTTGAGAGCAATATTTTAAAGATAACATATGTACGTATATTTGTTTTAGCAAAGAAAAAAAAGTGAAATTAGATGCTAATTAAAGGTATAAAAATTACAAAGCTCCGTTTTTAGTGTCATTTTTTCTAATCCATTGAACGTAGATTCAATGATTTGACAGTTAAAATTTTGTATGATTGTATCTACGAGTTCAACCAGAAGATAGAACATATCTTGAGATTATTTTTGTAGTTTGCTATACGGTTAAGAACTAACTTTTGTGGAAAAATAATAGACTTGATATATATATGATGTTACGGATTAAACGTGGAAAAATTATAAATTACTACCACTTTCAGATGAGTGTGGGAAAAAAAATAAAAAGGTACCAACTAATAAAGTTTTGATGACGATATAAAAGTTGAATCTAGTCAGAGAAATGAGACAAAACTGTTTCACGCGTTTAAAAGTTGCGCGTGTACGACATCGCTTGAGTGCTTTTGTGGTCGTGATCATAAGCTGAGTGCTGATCGGGAAGGGTGGTGTATCTCACGCGCCAACAATGCAAAACGTGTGAGTTTCTTCTTTTTATCCCTTTTTAACTTTTTTTGGGTTTTTCCTTTTAAAACGAAATATCTGTTTTTCACACGCAATCCCTGCAAAAAGAATCGCCACAAAAAGCTTTCACCTTTTCGTATTTGCCTTTTTTTCTTTTTCTCATGTCTCTTTTCCGCCGATTAAAAAGCTCTTTTTTTTTCTTCTGTGCTCTGTTAAAATTTTGTAAAAAATTTGAAGTAATTGACCAAAATAATATATAGAAGTAAATATTACACACAGAACGGAATGAGAGGAGTAGAACAAAGAACCTTTTATGTTTATATATAATTTTTTTTTGGTCGGCCGGTTAAATAATTTTAAGCCAAAACATTTACATTTCAAAAAAAACATTTACTTGAGTATTTCATGTTTAACTATTTTTGATATATGCGGATATTTTATTTAAATTTTGCAGTGAAATACACTTACTTAACTTTGAAGTTAAATTGAAAATTAAAATGAAACTTTAAATGAAAATGAAAATGTACAACATATATATAGTTGACGAGCTGATGTTATTGACTTAAGATCATAATTATATCGAAGTCTTTCACGCAAATTGTTAGATCATAAAAGTACAATGCTCTGTTTTTAATCAATTATTGTTTCAACTATTGAATTTCTGTTTTTAAATGCATCATGTGCCAGTCTTGCTGTTAGATTTCAAAATGAAATACAATCCAAAGTGTCACAATCGTTTTGAAAATAACATATAACCTTTTTACATCAACAGAACGAGCAAACAATTGAAAAGAACGTCACATAAGTCTTACGGATTTATATCCTTGATTCAATGATCATAATTTTGATTAAATGTCTTCCATCAAAGTCAATTGCTCTTAGCTTTTACACCTTCTGTTGTTTTCATAACCAAAAATGGTATAACCAGGCTGCTAAAAGCAATATAACCCATAAAACAAAATTTGATATAAACTTGAAGTATACCAAATCGATCACGATAACCAAATGCTGGACGACAGCTTGACATCCTTTTGGAACAAGGAAAGAAATTACAAAAGTTATAAATTTGGTTTTGTTACCAACTCAAACAATCCTAATTCACTTTTTTTTTCATTATTTGGACAAAGAATATTAAATGCAGAGACAAGAATGGTAAGGTCATCACATGTGCCGATGTGCGAGCCGACCCAATAAATTCAGAGACCATTTAATACACAATCTATTTTGTGCAAAAAGACTCTTACTTCTACACCAAACTAATTGTCTTTATTTCATTTGTTACCTCTCAATCTCTCATCATTGTGATGTCTATGTAACAGAGTATATTTATGTGAGATTTTAATATTCAGAAATCATAACCAATAATGCTATAGCCTGTACTGTACACACTCACGGAAAAGTTAGATATATATTCATGTTCCGTTCAAAAATCGTTATTGTGTCTATTGATTTACCATGGCATCCATTTAAATATAGTGAATAAATTAGTTGTTGACGACTTCAGAAAAGAAAAACCCCATCGAAATAGTCGAATCAAATTATTTTCATGATATATTTATTCGTTATAAATAGCTTTTTAAGAAAGCTGTAATAATTTTTGGTCCTCTCAAACTATATCTTTCTTGTAGATAGAAACGAAAGTTGAAAAGATAAAATAATTGGGGTAAGTGTAACGCACGCTTTGCCTTTAGGGTTACGCGTTTATCGAGTTCACTCACTTTTTAACCAACCTCCTTTGCAGCCTTTTTCTACACCAAACTTTTCTCTATTATACTCTTCTCTTTTCCAATTACAGACCCTCCTCGTCTTTCTAACTTTCGAATATTTCAGTTAGTTAATAATATTAACAATAATACTTTATGATTAGGAAAAGTATATGCGTGTTTTTTTAAAGAGGAAAACTTGCTATAGACATTGGCAGAGATATATGTATCCCTACATGCAAATCAAAGTTTAAAGTCCTTGGGATGGTTTAATTAGATCAATTACTATTTGGTCAGAATTCAAGAGTAAATGGATCTTCTCTTAAGTATTTCAACTTCATTATCTAGTTCATACATTCTCCATTAATCAACCACCACGAAGACAATGAAACCGATTATCTTAAAGATATTGAATAAAGAAAAACCAAATTATTTACATATTTAACAGTTGATAGTTACAAAGAGACATTTGCTAGAAAAAAAAAGTTACAAAGAGATAAAAATCGCAATATATAAAACTGTAAACTGTGTTTCAAATCTAAAAATAAAACTATATTTTAACCCTGTGCGTCCGCACGAAAATGTTTTATTTTTTTTATTTATAATATAAGTTGCATTTATCTTTTTTGTTTAGATATAATTTGTTTTTGTTATTTATTTTTTTAAATCAAAAAATTGTTATCATATTTTAATTTTAAACAGTAAAAGTTTGTATATTAGTAGAATAAGAGTATGCGTTAATTAAGTATACATTGATTTAATGTTAATTATAAACTTTGTATTATGTGAATTTAGATTTACACATAAAAAATCTATATATCTATGAATTTGCTAATCCATCCGTTTAGTTGTCTTAAATCATTTTTAATATCTTACATGTTTTGACAAACTAACCCGTATAAGACTATAATTATAATTGTATAACCTTATAAATATTTACTAATACAGAATATTTGGACCAACTAATTATGAAAAATATAATAAAATATTTATTTATTATTTGTGCTATTAAAAAAATGTATATATATAAACTGGCTAACCTGTTAGTTTAATTGTTTCAAATCATCTTAATATCTTACATGTTTTAATAAATTAACTCATGGACCTTAATATATATATATATATAACTTTTATCAGTTCGATCATATTATTGTATATAAATATTTATTAATCTCAAATATTTGATATTTTAGACCAATTGATTATGATAAAATACGATAAAATATTTATTTATTATGCATTTTTATAAAAATATTATTTAAATTTTAAATTTTAAATTAAATCTCTCCTGTATTTAAGAAAATTTAAAGTATTAAAATTATTATCTAAATTTTCGTGATAAAATTTAATTATAATTTTTTTGAATTTTTTGAATTTAAATTAAATTGAATGCAAATTTTTGTAACTAAATTTAAATAAATTTATAATAATTTGAAATTTAAATTAAAGATGACCTAGATTTTAGGAAATTTAAAAATATCTAAATTAATAACTAATTTTCAGAAATTAAATATATTATAAAAAAAACTTTAAGAGTGTTTGGATGCAAACACTAAATGTACTTCTGTTTTAATAGAATAAATGGTAAATCAAGCTGGACTATGCAAAATCTCTTATTGTTCCCGTGTAGATCGCAAACCGAATCATATAAACCTCTCTACGATCGGGTCACTGGGTTATCGGATTCAAAAAAATGGTCTCCGATAAAACTGAAATTGTCGTGTAGCGAGAGCAAACTAAAAAAAGCTGACGCAAACAAGAGAATAGTTTTATTGCGAAGACAAACAAAAAAAGTGCAAGTTTGAAAAGGAGTTAAAGAGTTTCAGCTTTCTGCATTTATTACAACTTCACGTACAATTCTTGTCGACCTACTGTTTCTATCTCAATTACCATTCTGCCCTACTATATGTTTTCTTCGAAGAATTCTGTAGAAAGTCGGTAAATAAAATTTTGGAACATGGTGAAATTCGGATGACTTTTTAAATGTTTAGATTTTTTCCATGTCGAAAAGAAACCCTAGATTGTATAATTTTCACAAATTTAGACAGCCATAGCTAATAAATTATAATAAGTTTTATAATACTGTTCGTTACTTTGGCTATATCTGTAGAATGTCCGGTTTTTTTTTGGTTTTCCAAATTTTACTAAAGTAATTTAGATTTGAGAAGCATATCCGATATTTAAAAATAGATTTTTTTTACCATATTATTTTAGGCCAATAAAAAATGATACCGACTTGTTATGCAATCAATGTATTCATCATGTTATAAAGTTGAATTCTCTCTTCTCTTTTCTTAAAAAAAAAGAAAAAAACAAGTTGAATTCTCTTTGACGCGTTTGGACCTCCCCAAAAGGTCTACTTTTTTTTTTTTCATTTTAAAGGGGCAAAACATTTTAAATGCGATAACTTTTTTCGTAAGGTATATGATCATGGGCAGCTGAAAAAGCCTTCCTCAAAGGCTACTTATTAAATTAATCTATAGAGACTATCATATAAGATTAGACAGCGCATTTTAGTTTTCTCACTTGTCCAAAGTTTATTTGATTCATATTGAAATATACTTCAATTGGTTGTATGTTTATGAATCTATCACACCGAAATACGTATCGATAATATTACTATTGGGTAATTACAAGCATAAATACTATTATAAATTTGCGGGTTTTAATTTCATGCGATTACACCTGTACCGCCAAAATATTGATACGAGTGGAGTAAAGTGACTTGACTCAGTAAACCGTTTACACCAGTGTCAAACTCTGAATAAGTTTATCGACGACGGAAACATTTATTTCATGGATCCTTTTTTTTTGGTTCAGCTCTTTTTAGACATGTTGGAGAGTCCATATATAAGAAGACCACCCAAAACCTAAGTCCCCACTCCCCACATTTACATAGTTTAAAATAAAACGATCACTATTTTAAACCCCGTTTGTTCTTCCACTATGGTTGCAAAAAAATATCTTATTTTTTCCGACAAAACATATTTGTTCAAATGAAGCAGGAAAATAAATAAAATACGAATTGAGAACTCATCTATAAGTAAGGGAATGCTAGTGTGCTGATTCTGCTATATATCAACATTCGAAATTATATTATTACACAGATCATCGTATTCAACGTTAAAAATATCATATTAGAGCCGTTAACTAATCAATTTGTGGAAATATTGCATATGACTGACAATGAAAAATATAGACGTGTATATTACAATGACGATCATATTTCATATAGAAAGGCCTCTCTTTGTAGAAAAATATTTTATGCGCCAATTATCATAGCCAAATCAAAATTTGTAATGAGGGAGTTCAAAAAATAAGTAAAGTAACCTGTCATTAAGCTATTAAAACCATTTTAAAATCTCAACTAAACCCATTAAGCTGGTAGGGCCGAATCACATTGATGTCGCACTTATTTGATTCCTATAAAAATACAACAAATTCTAAGGTGTACTTTGAGTGATTCAAGTGTCACATGATGCCACAATTATTTTTTCAAAACATTCTTAATTACAATATTTAATCTTATGCATTTTTTCATGATCAAGAAACTGTTGATGATAGTTAGACTAATATTTGAGATTACCTATATCAACAACATATGCATCCATATAACTGAATATTATGATCACATGAGTTGACGACTTTAATCCTATGACACTATTCCAAGAAGGGTGTCCCAACTCCCAACCCCAATTGATTTAAACAAACCACACAAACATTCAGTCCATGTTTTAAGAAAACATAACTCGGATCAAACTAAAATCGGACTTCATTTTTTTGTTTTGTCTGGTCCTTAATTAGCCCATATTTTAGTTTCTTATCAGGGAGTAGAGTCGAACTTCACTGCCAAAAGGAAGAGGGTAATGCAGCCTTGAGCACTCACTCACCTAAAACCTTTTAGTCAAATCCCACTTCGATATTCACAAATTTCCTACATAAAAGTTTCAGACCAAAAACTAAATTTTAAACCGGATTACATGACCATTATCGCCTTTAGAAATTAAGAGACCCAACAAAAGTTAAGTTCCTAGATTAAAACTCGCGACCTTTTGATTAGATTAAGTACTGCGGAACTAACCAAGAGGAGAGGACTACCGTTTTTTGTTTTACTTATAGTTGGAAAATATTATCGGTGCATAATTTAAATAATTTGATTCCAGTACAAAATACCGAATCGAAAACATGTTGACTTGTAAAATTCGTTTTGACTGGGAAAATCGTTTTCTGGACGCGGTCTCGAGAAGAAAATGTGAATATTTACATGTCCACCATTCTCTCTCACGGTGATGGTCCACAACATTTTGGTAGTCTTCCAATTTCCAGTTATATCTTCTTTTTTTTCTTTTTCAAGTTATATCACTATATGCTTCTTTTTCTTTGTAGCCATTTATATCATTGTACTGAAACCCAGACATTTTATATATTTTTCATTAAAGATCCAATGTAAAATTAATCTGAAAGCTACCAAATTTATTTATGATGGGAAAATGATGCCTAACCAATAACAAGAAACATATAGATTTATTAAAATTCTGAAAATGATTATGTTGGTTTAAGACACAAAACTAAAATAATTGATTGCATCATCATCGCCATCATAGTCAAAATTTAGAAGTATTTAATTTGAGTTGCAACAATTGTAATCTTAATTCGGTTTCAAATCTTTAGATATTTAAACAATACAACAATTTTGATCAAATCGAGGAAAACCACTAAAACCTTCCACAAATGCTGGAAACATTAGGACAATATCAATTTTAAAACATTAGGAATGGAGAATAAAATTTAAAACATTTCAAGAAACACATGATTATTGGTGGAAGTGAAATTACTTGATTAAGAGTCCACATTTGGTGCGTCGAACGGAGCTCGAGATAAGGGATCGAAACGTGCTTGAATGATCTTGGTGATTCAGAAGAATGTAATCGGACATTCCTCTCTTTCCATATTGAGTAGTTACGTGCTTGCAAAGCCAACTTTAAAATGAGAGATGTATTTTGGATAAGTTGAAGATGACTTACCTAGATGTGAAGTAGAAAGTTATTCTTACAACTAATCCCTCAAGACTGTTTTATATAAATTTTGTTTGAACTCCACTTTATAGAAGTAAGAACCGAATCCTGAAGATAGTTAAAACAACTATCTAATTACTAAATGAAGCTTTGTACGTCATTAACATATTCATATTCAAAATATCTTAAGTGTTATTTAGTTTTCATGGAATTGGTCAACTTGGTTGGGCTAAGAATCACGGCCATTAACAAGTGGGCTCAATTTTAGATATTTGATGACCAATGACTTCAAATTTTCAACCTTTTCTTTGGTCCCGTTTGTTCCATTTACACTAACAACGCCACTTGTCCGCTCGCAAACTCGACCGTTATTTTTTTTATTTTTTTTTTTGTAATGATAGACCAAACTTTTTTCTTTTTTCATAAAAACAAGCTCATGTTGATCAGCAACGAAAATTTGACGTGGTTGTACTTGTGGTAACGTTTTGACGTTTTGACTATTAAAGTTTAACAGAAACTCTGCATTTGATCATTTCTAGTAAACTACATTGAAATAAATGGTTATGTAACTCACCGGTTATAAGATGCAATAAATATAGCTGCACATCTCCTAACCAGAAAAGAAAATGAATATTGGATAAGCTTCACGATCTAACTCACACACCACAGTACCACACCAGTAAGGCAATAATATAATGCCCATATGTCTGTCATCCTGACCCAGTCCACTGCTCAATTTAATTGTCATTTTTACCCTTTTTACCATCTTAACGTCAGAAGTAGCATTTAATACTTTCTATAAACTCATACTATATTTTTGTGTATACAAATCAAATGTCAAATATGCCGTTCATAAGCTATTAGGGGGTAATGACAATTTAATGAATGAATTTTAGATGTAAAAAAAAAGGAATAATCATAAGAAAAAAAAGAGAAGATCTTTGGTCTTTCTTGCCTTGACTCTAGTAATTTTCATTCAAAAATGATCACAGGAGAAGAAAAAATAAAAGACTCATGAGTGGCAAGCTCGGTAAATTTCCCAGTAAAATGTAGAAAAGTCACAACTAAACTTTTCGGGAAAATCTCTTACACATATAAATATGCACACGCAGATTTGCTCTGTCTTCAAAAAGTAATCTTTAAAAAAGGGAAATAAAACAAAAACGAACTGTCATCTAATTACTCTATTGAATTGTCTCGGGAACAAAACTCAAGTCTTTAAACTCCGATCACATTTCAAAATTTCTTAACTTTAATCTGTTTCTTGACGAGTTTCGATTATTCTGCCATTCTTTCTTCGAGCGCCGGAGACAAAGGAGAGAGAGAGAGAGATATATATATGGAGACGCCGAGGTCTGTCGGCGAAGCGTCGACGACTAATTTCGTGGCGGCGCGACCGTCGGCGACGACTGATGATGCGGTGACGAAGAGAGGATGCGGTTTGGCTAACCTCAGGTGGGTCGGTCTAGACAAAGAGGAGCTTCGTCGGAGGCTAGCGATGCCTGAGTATCTCCGTCTCGCCATGCGAGACTGCATCAAGCGGAAAGATTCCACCGCGATTCCTGACCACTTGCTACTTCCCGGCGGCGCCGCGGCGGATGTAGCTCCTCATGCACCGATGGTTGTCTTCATTAACCCGAAAAGCGGAGGTCGTCATGGACCTGTTCTTAAAGAGAGGCTTCAACAGTTGATGACCGAAGAACAGGTCACTGTTTTTATTTCTTTTATCTTTGTTTCAGAAATTTGGGGAAAAAAATTATTCCGGAACTTATAAAGTACACATTACTTCAGTTTTGCAATTACATTCATACCTTTTTTTTTTTTAAAAAAAAATCATTTCTTATTTGGAGAGGATCTCAATTCTAGATTTGGGTTTGCTTTCATTTCTACTTCACTAGATTTGTTTTAGATTGTGAATGGAATCACTCTGATCCAAAGTTTATGGTAGAAGTGGAAGCTATGTGGGTTTAGTGTACAGTAGAAACATCTTTTATAAGGCTGAATAGTTAAGGAATCGGATCTGAGAGCTACAACATTCTTAATGTTCTGACATGATCAAATCCTCTGTTTTTCTCTGATTCTAGCTAACGGAATTTAAAACACTTTTCTTGGCTTAAAAGATTCTGATTCCTTTCGAGTAGCTGATGTCAAAAGTTTCTTGGTACTTAAAAGTATTAGCTTTTTTTTTTTTTGTCATGAAAAGGCGGAAACTTTATTTCTTGGACTTTTTGTGAAGTTTTTATTTATTTATTTGCTTTGTTGAAAATTGTACTTGCTTTGTGAGCTGATGGTGTTTCTATAATTACAGGTATTTGATCTCACAGAAGTGAAGCCCCATGAATTTGTACGGTATGGTTTGGCGTGTTTAGAGACAATTGCAGCTAAAGGAGATGAATGTGCAAGAGAATGCAGAGAAAGAATGCGCATTATGGTGAGAAATATATCTATATGCACATTTTGCGATAACATCATCTATTTGTATCAATAGGGATTGGATTTGTGAAATAATGGCGATGACGATGATAGGTGGCAGGTGGAGATGGTACAGTTGGTTGGGTTCTTGGTTGCCTCGGTGAGCTTCACAAAGATGGCAAAACACATATTCCTCCCGTTGGAGTTATCCCTCTCGGCACAGGCAATGACCTCTCTAGGAGCTTTAGTTGGGTGAGTCATATGCAAATGTTCTTCTTCTCTTATTCTTTTAGCTACTGATTTTGAAAAACTGTTCTCTTTCTCTATAGGGTGGTTCATTCCCTTTTGCTTGGAGATCTGCAATGAAAAGAACATTACATCGAGCAACAATGGGTCCTGTTGCTCGATTAGACAGCTGGAAGATTGTATTGTCGATGCCATCTGGAGAAGTCGTTGATCCTCCTTATTCTCTGAAGCCTTCAGAGGAAACTGCACTTGATCAGGCTTTGGATGCTGAAGGTGATGTGCCTCCTAAAGCAAAGTCTTATGAAGGAGTGTTCTACAACTACTTTAGCATAGGTTTTTGAATCAACTAACTTACTCTCTTTTATTTTTTCAATAGCCTTAGCAAGTGTTTGTACACATTCGAGGTAATGATTTTCTTGTGTTGTCAAAGGTATGGATGCTCAAGTTGCATATGGATTCCACAATCTTCGTAATGAGAAACCGTATCTAGCTCAAGGCCCTTTTACTAATAAGGTTTTAAAAACTTGAATCTTCATTCTTGTCCATGTTGCACTAATTAACTGTTTTTTTTTAGGTTGTAAATTGTAATGAGATTATGAATCACATTGCAGATTATTTATTCAAGTTACAGTTGCACTCAGGGTTGGTTTTGCACGCCTTGTGTCAGCAATCCGGGTTTAAGGTTAGTATTTTGCAGTGAAGATTTTTGGGGTTTACTCATATTTTATCTCTTGTTGTGTTGACATGTTGTGGTAAGATGAATTTGTAGGGGACTAAGAAACATAATGAAAATCCACATTAAAAAGGCAAATTGCTCCGAATGGGAAGAGATCTTGATCCCTAAAAGGTACAAAACTCTAATCCCATCATCATCAGTTAAAAAACAAAAAAAAGGCTTCATTTTATTCTGTTTTGGTTTTCTATAATAATAGCGTGAGATCGATTGTGGCATTGAATCTTCATAACTATGGAAGTGGAAGACATCCATGGGGTAATCTAAAACCAAACTATCTAGAGAAGGTAATGTTTTGTATTCACTACACTAATCTTCTTGCTTCTTGGCTTTCTTTTTCAAGATTTAAACAAATTGGATTTCTGTTTCTCTTTTCAACAGAGAGGATTTGTGGAGGCGCATTGTGATGATGGACTGATAGAGATTTTTGGTTTGAAGCAAGGCTGGCATGCGTCATTTGTAATGGCTGAGCTAATCTCGGCTAAGCACATTGCTCAGGTAAAGAAAACACCCGCCATGTACCTATAGAACCGGTTTAGTCTCGGTTTTATCTTAACCGTTTATTAATTCAGGCGGCTGCGGTTAGATTTGAACTAAGAGGAGGAGACTGGAAAGATGCGTTCTTGCAAATGGATGGTGAGCCATGGAAGCAACCGATGAAAACTGATTATTCGACTTTCGTGGAGATCAAGAAGGTTCCTTTTCAATCGTTAATGATCAACGGTGAATGATCTGATGTAGAAGGAAAAAAAAAAAAGAAGAAGAGAAAAGGCTGGTTCTTTTTGTATTTCTGATCGATCTATTTAGTTAAAGTAGTGATCTCTGTCTGCTGCTGTTGTGTGTTAGTACTGATGAAGAATTTACTTTGTGTATTTACAAAAAAGTTGTTGTAATCTATTGATGAAGTTTCAATTATTTGAAAGTGTAGAATCAATTTTGTAGATTCGATGTCTCAATTTATGAGTCCTCTAATTTTTGACAAAACAATTATCATTGTCTGAGGATAGTATTGGGTCTAATAGGTAAGTTAAACTTTGAGTGGGGAGAAAATTAGAAAAGTGTAGATTTTTGAGGATGGACAAAGCAAAATTTATAGAAAGAATCCAAAACTGAGAAAATTTGTTCTCGCGAGGAAGAGCAAAAATCATAAAACCGAATTCAGAAGATCTTTTAGGGTTTATTGAAGAAATCTTCTTCACCGTTTCGAGCTCCGAAGAACACTTGCAACCATGGCGAGCACCAAAGTTCAGAGGATTATGACCCAGCCTATTGTAATCTTCTCGATTCCCTTTCTCGATTCCTTGTTTCTAAAACTCTCTCTATTTCGTTTACTGACTCTTTACATTTTTTTTTGGTTTCTTGCTTTGTATCTCGATGGCTTCGTGTTGGATTTCAGAATCTGATTTTCAGGTTTCTCCAAAGTGTAAGTTTTTCGATTACTCTCTAGTTTTTGCCACTCGTTATGTATTAAGCAATCAGTGACGACAACTTGTATAATCTGGTTCTGAATGGTATCCTGTTTATGCTTGCAGAAAGCTCGGATCCAGATTTGGCTTTTTGAGCAGAAAGACTTGAGGATCGAGGGAAGAATTACTGTAAGTCTCATTTCATCCTTTGTTCTTTTTCTTGAAGTTTCTGGCTTTGTTGATGGGGCTAAAGTAGAGAATTTGCATTCGAGTGTTTACCTGAGAAGAGATTTAGTTACATCACTGATGTGAAGCTAGGGCCTTTTTTAGGAGAAATCTAACATTTGGAATTTGTGTTAGTGTTAGTTCCATGTTTGATTGTAACAAGAGACTGAATTAGAAAAGCAATTAGTTTGATTCTTTGGGCTGTGTCTAGCTTAAGAGACTGTGATTGCGTTGCTAAGATTTATTTCTTGAGGTGATAACGGAGATGGTTCCTTTCTTAAATGAAGCTTGAGACTTTATCAATGTCACGTCTTGGTTCTCTTTGGTTCAATCATGCATTGTTTAGTTGACTTTGAATGTTTCATTATTTTGACTTCTCCTCTTGTGCAGGGTTTTGATGAGTACATGAATTTGGTGCTGGATGAGGCTGAGGAAGTGAGCATCAAAAAGAATACTAGAAAACAACTTGGTGAGTTATTTGAGAATCTTCAAAATCTCTATCTTATACAAGACTTGTTCACATTTTTTTTATTTCCCGTAATGGTTGGTTCTAACTCGCGCAAATACGGGGTTTCAGGAAGGATTTTGCTTAAAGGAGACAACATAACTCTGATGATGAACACGTAAGTGGCATCATGAGATTTTCAATGAGATTGCATCTTTACGTTAACAAGAAAATGAAACACTACTCTTCTTTATGTTGTTACAGGGGCAAGTGATCTCTGTCCCAATGACTGCTGCTGTGAGAGCTCTCCCATTCTGGATCTTGTAGATTTCTCCGTAGGTGTCTAAGAGTTGTTTGAAACACGGTTGAATTTATTGTTTTTGTTTGGGTGAAAAAACATTTATCTTCAGAAAAGTCCTGACTGTCTCTTTTCACAACTATGCAAGAAAGTTAATTTTTTTTTTATGATTTTAGTTAACAGTGACTTATATGATCCAAAATCTGAGATTGTATAATTTATGTTAGTCTTATTAACCAAAAAGAAATGGATGCCCTCACAGAAACACATACATATAAGAAGAAAACGCTGGTGTGTGATTTTCCCGATCGCACGTTGAACCAATAAAATAATACATTGTATACAAAAAAAAAGAAAAGAGTTAAAACGCAAGAACAACCTCTTTTGCCATGGGTTTTTTGAGATATACAAATGGATCAAACTCGATAAATACTCAATAAGGCCTCCTACCAAGATAATTCCCCGGTGGATCGTAATTGCAAGTCAAGAACACGCCACGTCCGCCATTGCAGATCACGTGAGCACAGCCAATCCTCTGTGTGCTCCTCCACACAATTTGTGTGTAATGGCCACACATCTCGGCTCTGCACGAGTTAGAGTAATAGTTATAACTCCTTCCTTCCGACAACCATCCATTGGCGGCTTGAACAGGGCTCCATCTTCTGCCTGAGCCCCAGAATAGATTCTCACCGTATGGTCCATTCGAATGGATCAACTCGCAGTCTCGTCGTCTCTGGTTGGCCCACCATTTCGCGTAACGGGCTAGTTTTGGGTCCCACTTTAGCGGTTTTAGCCTTAAACGAGCTCTCACTGCATTTTGTGGACCCATGAATTGTTGTTGGTAGTTTGCACAATGACAACATGTTACAAGTAGTATGAGAGCAGCGATTGCTACACAAACGACATTAATGTGTTTAGGAGGAGCCATTGCTGGTGAAGCTTGAACTAATGGTATTTGCTTTGGTTTTATATAAGCTTGGAATCGTGAAGAGAATTTTGTTCTTAAGAAATGTTTAATTATGTATTTGTTTATAGTATAAGAGGGTTTTAGGGAAGAAATTGTCAACTCTATGATTAGTGGTATACATGTTCGATTATGATAGCCACATTTGAATTTGTTTTGAATTCTTAGTTTTTTGTGAATAAACTAGCATTTATTATAGTGGTTTATATGTGCTTAAGGTATATTTTATGCATAGTAGGTAGATATATTTTAAAATTATAATGTAGACTGCCCACCCCCACAAAGTCTTGGAGGCAAGAAGATTTATAGTAAATTACTTTTCCTTAATAATATTCACATAAACGATAACCGTTTTTTTTTTTTGGGGGAACAACTAAGTCAGCCAGCAATATTTTGATTTACTATTACACCATTTGACATTTTATATACAGTAATAATATAAGACAAGAAATACAATAATATTATTCACCACAAAAATAAAATTATGGTAAATAGGAAGCAATCTCAAGTAGAAATCTAGACTACAAGGCTCCTTCTCTTTCTATATCGTTGTCATATTAACAGTGTAAGAGTGGGGATAACGAAATATGTTTTGAATTTCTTTTAACAGTGTGCTGTGTTAGTTATCTTTTACACTAGCTACTTTGCGGGTTGTTAAAAATGACGAGGAAAAAAACAAAACAAGAAAATATGCAACATTATTTTTCTATGCTTATTGTCAACAAAAGCAATCAAAAGGCCAAATTGTATTATTATACAAGTATCAAAAGAAAGACGAATGTTGCACAGTACTATACAGATTCTGTTGATGATGGAACACTAGGAAAGAGCTTCGGCGATGATGGAACGGTGAGACAATTGCTGATCGTAGAGGTCACGGAATATACGGTATTTGGCATCGTGATACTTCTTAACCTTAGGGTCTGATGATGGGTGAACCACCTGAAAATTTCCATCGCAAAAGACTCATAAATGACATGATCAAAGTCTGATGAATTTTGTTTACTCTAAGCAATGAAGTTAAGATAAGCAAATATACTTGTCCAGCTGCGTTCAAAGCTTTCATAGCATCATGGAGGCTTGGATAGTTCTTGGCAGCAACCGCTCCAAGAATTGCTGCTCCCAAAAGAACAGACTCGCTTTCTCGGGGAAGAATAATCGGACAACCTGCCAGTCAATAATACCAATCCAATGAGTGTGTGATTGATTATAAAAGAAGTGGAACAAAGAGTGTGGTTAGTGCTATACCAACAATATCAGCATGTTCTTGGATGAACAATGGGTTCTTTGAAAGGCCGCCACAAGCAAGCAGTGTGTCAATCTAACATCAATCAAGCGTTAATGTCTTGTAATATTTCTACAGAACAATGTGTGAAAGGAAGGCAAAGCAAACTTACTTTGTGACCATGGGCATTGCAATGCTCTACAATATGACGTGTACCATAGGCAATTCCTTGTACTGTGGCAAGGTATAAAAGAGCCAGCTGCTTCTCGGATGTATCAAGAGTCATTCCGAATACCACTCCTTTTGAATTTGGGTCTGCAACGGGAGATCTGTAACACATATCTGAGATTAATAACTCAAAACATGGGGAATTTACAGAGCAATAACTTTCTATTTTCGCATTCACCTGTTTCCGTGAAAGTCGGGAAGGATATGCATTTCTGAGGTAAGTGCATCTACAAATGGAGAACTCGAATCTTGCACCATCGATTTTAGAATGTTGTTCAGCAGCTCAAACACAGAAACTTCTGCGAGAGACCGAGACAATAGCATTTCAGCTAATGTTTTTCTCAACAGAAGTGAAAAGAGAAGGAAAAAAAATGTGGAAGATTTGATGATACTCTGGGAAGCAGCATGATTTGCAAGACGGGGAGAAGCAACATGATTTTCGATTATGTGATCAAGTAAAGCTCCAGTTGCACTCTGTCCTCCTTCTGTAAGCCAATACTCCGGAACCATAGCTACAATAATTGTTATTTTTTAAGAAACAAAGCTTCATTGAGATTTATTTACTACTTCCAAGAAAAAGGATAGAGATCAAATGTGTATGTACCTGACCAGAAAGGCCCCCACACGCCAGGAATAAAAAGCTTTTCACGGGAAACAGCCATATGGCAAGTTGATGTGCCACATACCAAAACCATACGAGTGCATAAGGTATCAACTTCTGACTCTGAAAAGGCCAAATTCTTAGAGACTAAAAGTATCATCTTCTGCTCGAATATTGATAGCAAAAAGCATACCTTTTGCCACCGAGTCTGAATCTAATTTACTTTCCATGACCCCTACACCACCAGCATGAGCATCAATGAGCGAAGTTCCGACAGGAGTTCCAGCCAACAGTCCCAATTCCTGAGAATTTACGAAAAGACAATAGGATTAAAAAGGAAATTTATAACGGAATGAAAATATAGACCCTAAGAAGTAAGCATGCTCCAAGCCCCACAGAACAAATATAAAGTGCTTGCTTGCTCAGTAGAGAGAACTTGCCTTAGCAGCTGTTGCGGTTAGACCATTACCCAGTGGATGTCCAGGAAAGGCTACACTTCGTCCTAATTAACAAAAGAAATAGCATCGTTACCAAGTAAAAGTACGAATTCCTCTTAGAGAACTTCTAACAACTAAAGCAAACGAAGAAAATCTGCATACCGATCTTAGCATGGTGACCATCTACCAAATCGCCTAAGCCAATCTCTTCCCAGAACTCATCATCCCATCCACACGCTTCCATATCACGAGAAGCCTTCTCAGTCATCTGGTGCATATGTGCATGACCAAGATACGCCCATTTACATACTGTAGTGCACAAACTACGGGTATCATCTCCAGTAGCTCTAGGAGGAAACAAAATGACTCAGGGGATGCAAAGACAACTTTCTCAACGAGGCCCAAAAAAGGTTAAGAGCAAAAGGCTTGGAGGTACCTATAAGACAGCCAATCACTCAAGTCCATCCACTTATACACCATTGACCAAGACTCCTGTAGATTTTCTTTCACCCATAGAAGCTGCAAAAGCAGAGTTTTTTTTCCCATCATGCTCAAACAAGTAGAAAGAAACTAACTTCATCCACCCTTACGAGAAACTTGTACATACTTTTGGTGGCTCCATTTCTGGAGAAACACCGCCACCACAGTACTGCAAGACTGGAGAATTATATGAGTTGATTCTCTCTGCCTGCTTTACAGCTCTATGGTCCATCCATACAATAATGTTTCTCCTTGAATCACCACTCCAAGACACTGTAACAGGGGATCCCTCAGCATCGACCGCCACTGCAAACAACAACAATGTTACCGTTTATAAGCTTCTCTTCTTCTTCAGCCACAAAAACAAAAGGAAGCATCAAGCACAAAAGAGTCATAAGCAGATGGTACAAACCGAGAGAGCAAGTGGCAGCAAAGCCTATTCCTTTCACTTCTACTTCCGAAACATTTGCAAGAGAGCAAGCAGACTTCACGGCTGCACAAACTGCATGCCAAATATCGGTTGAAGATTGCTGTTCCAAATAAAGTTATCAAATTTGGGGTTAATCTCCTAACTAGTAAGTCGTCATGAAAACTTTGAAAATTCATGAAATGTTGGGTCTCTTAATCCAAAATACTACCTCGACACAGTCTCCATCCTTCCAAATTTGTATTGGGCTACTAGAAGAGCCTAGAAGCTTTCCATCTTCATCGAACAAACCTGCATATCAGTAAATCAATTCAAGTTACAAACCCCAAAGTGTCCATATTCATAACCCAACAAGGCAAAACCAAATCTCTCTGCCTTTAAAGTAAGAGCACGCGCGATGATGAAGTTACAAAACGGTATGAGCCAGAGAAGAAAGATTAGAGATTTAAAATGTTGACAATTTATAAAGGTCGAATTTCGAAATCAATGATCAAAATAAAATCCACACACAAGAAACGATATCATTTTCACGCATCTAAGAGCCACACATTTTTCAAAAATTGACGATAAAGAAGAGAAGGATCACCGGCTCGGGCGCTTCCGGTGCCAACGTCGACACCGAGAAAAACGGAGCGAGACGGCAATGGATTTAACTCAGCGGTGGTCATCTCTACGACTACGGCAACGCGACGGCGGAAGCGAGGCTGAGCAATGACTTGACTCTATTTATGGAATGACATTCTTTTTTTTTCGTTTTTCTTTTTTTTTTTTTGGTTGCGTAATTATTTCTTTTGGTGAATTTTTTAATTATCAAGTTT